GCATATGGATCAGCACCAACTGAAATTTATGCTCAAGAGTAAAACCTATCGCATTCAATTACAGTAGGATTCATCATTGTTCCTATCGATCAATGAATAAATCTATTATATAAATCATTTATATAAATTATTATTTATTCATTTCTAAATTTATTTATCTATCCATCATCTTTATACTCTTTTTACTACAAAACTACTTCATATATTTCTCATTCAATATGTTAATTTCTCACATATGTTCTATTAGGAAAAACAATATCTTATAATATTATTATATCTATCCTAATACTTATTTTTATTCAGATATCCATCTTAATTGAATTATTTTCAACTTATAATTATCACTCGTAAATTATTAAGTCTAATCTAATCTTTTAACATTTTAATCTCATCTTTTTATTCCTTTCCTTTCTTATCTTATTCATTTTTATTTCATAAATCTTTGTTTTGGATCTTGTTTTAATATATATTAAAATATTATTATTTAAGCGATATTTTTACTATATGGATATATAAATAGTACATCAGAAGTATAACAACTTATATGATACCAGTTAATTTTGTCTGTAATTTATAACACAAAACTCAAATACCTGAAATTATATTCAAAAATTGACTAAAACAACAGACACTTAAGTTCTAACAATCAAATTATGAAATCTAATGCAGAATAAGCTGCTAATAGAAAATTATTTCAATTTATTTTAGATAAATTTTAAATTCTGATGACATATATAGAAAACTAGTCAAAAGAAAATGGCGTTATTGATGATATAGTAAAATAGAGGTAAATCTAAATTAAATATAAAATATTTTAATCTCTCCTAAATAATAATATAATAATTTTTGCATTTAGGTAAAATCTATTTTAAAAGGTCAAGAGCATTAAAAAGTAAGCACCAAATATAAAAAAATTACTATGTAGATTCCAAAAATTATTATCACTTTCATTTATACAATCTACAAGTTCTAAAAGAATTATCAATTAGAATAAAATTTAACTTGCAAAAAAGGTCTTTACTACACAATATTATTTGTGTTAAACTAATTCATTATAAAATTTATCATTTCTTTTAAGACTCAATTAAATACTTATTTTAAAAAGAATCAAGCACTCTACTAAATATAGTACTGGCAAAGATTCTTTAATATTAAGGCTATATTAGATAATGCCCAAAATATTTAATTTTAATACATATATTTAATTAGACTTTCAATAACACATAAAAAAAATATACTCTCCATCACAATGATTTTTAAAAAGCAAAAATACTATTAATCTAAAAAATAAATTTAAAGAATATTTAATCTTAGCATATTTTATTTTTTTCAGAACATTTGTTATATAATACCTCATATTTACTTTAGTTTAAGATTTGATTTGACCAAAAAAAGTTCCTTCAATAAAATTTTATTCATTTACTTAAAAATTAATATAAAAATTAATTAACTTATAATGAATTCTCCTTTGAAAGAACTAGAATAAATTTAAAAGAGACAAATAGAATAAGGATATTATCAGAATGATACAGAAGAGATCAAATAGATTTTAAATTCTATAAAAATGATTGCTTATGAAAATATATATAAAAAACAAATTTAACAACCTACAAAATTAGATGAGGAATTTAAACATTAAGATGAAAATGAAATTATTTAATATTACAGAAATCAATATAAGTCAATTGATATGGAAGAAAGATTTAATTTAAAATCAAGAATCATTAATAAAAAAATTATTGAATATTAAAATCGAAACACTCCAAGAAATTATAAAATGGGTTTGCCTTCACTTAGAAATAGTGAAAATATAAGTAATTCTTTAAATAAAGGAACAAAACATGTGGTTAATCCTTAAACAGAAAGAGGTAGATTTTAATAAACCAAAACATTATTAAATAAAACTATGTAATAAACTTTCAATGATTTTACTTAATAATGGATTAAAAATGAAAATCAAAATTCTCCTTCATTAACTAAAAAGGATCCAAAAATAAAAAAAGGATAATCGATATTTTTAGATGAAATCACCACTAAAGCTTAATCAATAATTTAATCTGCAACCATCAATAAAAAACTAAGAGAAACACTACAAAATTCACGTAATTCATATACTCCTAATAACATAAGGGATCAATAATTGGCAATTACATCAATTTAATTAGGTAATCTTTCTTTTTAAGTACCAAAATGCAATAAGTTTTTAGTTGATCAAGAATTAAGAATTTTAAGAAGTAGGATAGCAAATAAAGCAAAACCAAATATTCTAGTAGTTGATTAAAGAAGAATGTAAATATGATTTATTTTTGTTTTCTAATTTAATTTTTTTATGTCTTTGACTTTTATTAACTTAGAAGACAGTCCTGATAAACCAAAACCTTTTGGTTTAGCTAGTGGAATGATCGAAGACTTTTTACATAATCCATTAGAAATGTTGAGAACTTTAAAATGTGATAAAACAAGCGGCAGTTGGGACTTAGGAAAAATAAGAGAGATTCTAAATAAAATAAATGATCTTGCAATTTAAAATAATGTGAGTCATGATGTAATAAAACCACGCAAAATTTCTTTTTAGAATGATAAATTAATTGAAGAAGTGAGTGACTTTGATAAACTATACAATTCATTTAAGAATTCATAATAATTTGATAATAAATCTGAAAGAATTCAAAAAATAATAAAGGATTTCAAAAATAGAGTAATACATGGAAAAATTAGACCTAAATCTGTTTAGACAAAGATTTTTGTATAACCTAAGAAATTGAAAGTAATGAGCAAAGATTTTGAATACAAATTAAAGTCTATTAATGAAAAATATAGTAGGAGAGTTAGTCAAATGGTTGTAAAAAGTAGATATATGAATAATTCTCCATTAAATACAAACTTTTAATAAACAACTAATACTGAATTTGTTCGTCCTTAGACTACATGTTCAGCTAGAAAGACATATTCATTTCGTAGAGAAAAAACCTTTGATTTAGATTAAAAATTTTAATAAAATATAAAAACTAATAGAAAGAGAGCAAAATCTGGATATTAAGTTGGAAATTTTGAATAAGAAAAATAAAATTAATCAATAATATCTAAGATTATGAAAAAATCAGAAAGACATTTACATAAGAAAGTTAATCTAAAAAAATATGATTTAGAAAATCTTGATATTTAACCAACATTCATGTTAGATGATAGTGATTCTTAAACTAAAAGATTAATGAAATGTATTTAATTCAATCCACTTAATTCAATTTAATAAGAATATCAAAACTATATGCCAAATGATGATGATTTCATTGTGAAATTAAGTTTTTAATAAATTTAATAAAAAGAAAAGAGATTAAATAATAAAAAATAAAAAGTATACTGTGCTATAGCCTAAAGTAAAAACATCTAAGATCTAAATTGATGAAGTAATTACTAATATATTAACCTTTTTCTGTAAAAATATTAAAATATAATATATATAATTAGAATCTATTCTGTATTAAGCAATTATGACCTTAAAAAGATGTAATTTATATGATAAATATATATTATCCAATATTTAATATATAATTCATCCTGTTTTGAAGAGCATGATTGCCAGTTATCCAATATAAAAATATATATAATGTTTTGTTTCATGTGTTACATATGATCCAAAGTTTCTTCCTACAATACAATGCCACGTACCATGATATTTTGCTCTTAATTCATCCTTGATATATGATGCAATTTATTGATCCTAAAAATTACAGATAGTAATACAGTTGAACTTTTATCTATAGCTTATCTTGATACTTCAATGACTTCTCTTTGCATTTCATCACTCATATCCATTTGTTTAATGACGGGCTGTAATTTATCAAAAGACATTTTAATATAAATTATTATATTAATATAAGTTTCAAGTCTTTAAGAACATAATTTATAAAATCTATTTATAAGTTAAAATACTCAAATTAATATTGAGAATATAGCTTAATTTTTTATACACAAAAGATATTGAGAACTTAAAGAAATTATATATATTTTATAATTTATTTAACATCTAAATATTTCAGCACAAAAATTTAAAATCAATTTTTTTAACTTTTAAGAGATAGACTTTAATCTATCTAATTAGTGCTATCACTTTAAATAATGTATATTTCTGTTGCAATATCATATGATTCTGATTAAACTATTTATTTAGGCTTTCTCTGCCAAAAGATAAAGAGAGCAAGAAAGTATGGTATAAAAAAAGAAAGTAATTTATCTAATAAGTCAAGAAATGAATTCAAGAGATTTGTCAAATCCTAATTATTTTGAAACTAAATATATTTAGAATGTATAATTACATGAACATATAAACATTCATAATTCATTCCTTTAGTGAGGTATATTGAATTCATTATTACAAAATAAATATTTTAAATAAAGCTAAAAAATGATCCTACTACATTTATGATTACAAACAACCTCAATAGAGAATATAAATACCAAATTTATTTTAATCTCTTTTTTACAACTTCAGTAAATTATTTAATCTCTCCATTTTAATCTACCTTAATATTCTTATTCACTTAACATGTTAACTATCTGATCTGTAAAAAGAATAATCCTTGAAGTAAAAATCCTACTGTAGTTATTATATTGAAAAACTAGGCTAAATAATTATAAAGATTAAAACCTTAGCATAAATGATAATCCTTAATATTCAAAATGTAGTCTATATAATTTAAGATAAAAATTGCAGATATAAAAAATACTAATCCATTGAACATCAATTTTGCCAACTTTATTTACATTGCTGCTGATATTGACATTTATTCATCTGACCCATTGAATGATGCTAATAATATAGATTTTCTCCCAAAATAGTATATACTATAACTGATAAACATAAATTGAAAATATGGAATAGGAAAATATAAAGCATCAACTCTGTTACTTAATTAAAATGCCAAATAAACTAAAATTTATCATAACTTTACAAATAATATCTATTGTTAATATGCTAAATATTATTTATTTTCTTGTCAATTGTTTTTTGTATTATGATTTTCTTTATTTGTATATTAAATAAATTGAACATATCAAAATTATTATAGCCATTATTAATTTGAGTAGAAATCCTAATTACTTTATGAATGTACGTAATACACCAATCAATAATTTCATTACTTTATTTTGTAAAACAACCAAATATTTATTCAATTCCTGATTGACTTGCCATTAATTTTGATAAAAATTATTATTTTAAATATTTATATATAATTATTATTATTTCCCATCAGTTTCTTTAATATATAGAATATTATATTTTATTTTTGAATCAATGTAAAAATTTAGATAAATGATAAGATCAATATTTTTAGATGCTTGTCAACTGTATTATAAAATTCATGCTTTAAATTTGATGATATTGATTTTATTTTTAAGAAATTAACAAAGCTTTCTTTAGGAAGATCAGTAAAAAGGGAAAGATTTTTGAATCAAATGATTGTATTAAGTTTTTGTTTTATATAATCAAACTGTGAATTTTAGTCATTGATAATTTTAAAACAAACAAAATACCATTACATTTAAGATATAATTTTTGCTTATTAATTTTAAAAATAGAAATCTTTTAGATTATAATATATGTATTATATCATGAATAGATTATTTAGAAGATAAATAATTTGTATAATTTAATTATTTGCAAGTAGTTTAGGAATAAAAAACTTAGTAAATTAATTATTCATTTAATAACTGATAATTAAATAATAATTGGTAAATAACAATTTATATTTATTTTTAATCTGATTATTATTCATACTTAAATTAAGCAATTTTCAGATCCTAAAAGTATCTATTTCCCAAAAAAAATTTGCGAATGAACTAAAAAAAAATATTAATTTAAATTATTTATTTTTACAATGCATTAACAATACTTAATCAATTATAATCCATTAAAAATAAAATGAATAATATCTCTTAAAATAAAGCTTTAAGAAACCTTATTATAAATATATGTTTTTTTATTCATAGAGATTTATGGTCAATGTATTTGTCTTAATAAAAAAGGTTAGGAAAATTCATGGAAACGAATTGAATTTTTAATCAAAATATAGATAAAATCTGGACATAAATATTGTTAGTATAGAAATTTTAATAAGAATTAAAAAATTGAAAAATGAAGATTATTGTCACATACTTATAAAAATTTTTTTAGTAATAAAAGCATATGAAAAGTTATTAAAATTCAATAATTGAAACTTGGATTTCTTTTTCTAGAATATATGTATTTTTAATAATTAACATAGCATTTATGAAATACCTAATAATGTTTTAATATAATTATACTGCATCATAGAAATGTTCTGCAAATTACGTTTTCGGGTGAAATAGCAAGACAAAAAAGATAAACTTTATGAAATGATAATAGGGTAAGTAATATAATATCCAATACAAATAATCATCCAATAAATGAACAATCATTACAATAACCCAGTATGATAACCATTATTTAGCATTTCTATAATCTAAATAAATATATTCGATTTATTACTTTAAGTTTCAATTACTTCTAATGTCATAATAAATGGGTAGACTAATGTCATTATTTTAATAAAAAATCCTCTTCCTATTCCTAGTATTATGCATGCCAATCCTAATAATACAACAATGAATGCTATATATGATGGCCGAGATATTTTAAATTTTCTTGCTTATAATTTTAGAAATGGTATTTCATCACAAGTATCCAAACCAAAGGTTGTTATTAATTAATCTAACTACATTTTTAATATTAAAATAAATATATATTTTATCAATAATTTGTAATAATATTAAAGCCTCTATTTTTTTCAGGTGTTTTTCTTCTCTTACGTACATAATCTACAGATAGCATCGTGTATGGAATTTCTTTTTTTGGAAATCTTTTATCATCTAATTTTTCGAGATTTTTTAATTCAAGTAAAGATTTGTTTTAAAATTTTCTTTTTGTATCCTTAAATGAACTATTCATGCTTGTATTCAATGTTTATTTATAATTCTCAAATTCTTTCTATTTTGGTGTAGTTATTACACTAATATCTTAATCCATTTATTTATAATTATTAATTTGAGAGTGATTTAATTTTTAATTTTAGTTATCAAACTATTAATCAATCTATTTCATATTTTAATTATCTTTTTTAATAGAAGATCTTTCAAATGAGATCTCATTAATTGCATTTATAATATTTTCATTAAATTTTGGTGAATTTATATTGTCTTATTATATTGATGATAATATAGAAGATTATTGACGAATACCTAAATTAAAATTATTTTTTGATTAACTTTCTTAATTTTAAGGTAAAGTTTAACATGATTTATTAATATTTTTTAACTAATTATCAAAGAATTATGATTATGAAATAATTTTTGTCTTTATTGGCGAAACAATATCTCTAATTATTTTATTAACTTTTTGAACATCTTTAATATTATTTGGTGAATTCGAATGATTTTATTAAATTTCTGAATTTTCTTAACATTATAAATATTTAACGATAAATTTCAATGAAATTTGAAGCAATTTTTCATAATCCATTTTTTTCAGTAATTCATGTATATATTATTCTGATATAAAATATTTAATGAATAATTTAGGTTTTAAAGCAATCAATTAATAACAATATTTTCTAATCTTTTAATTTTTATTTTAATGAGGTGTGAATTCAAAAATTTTAGTGGAGTTTGTTGTCTATATTCTATTCTTTATTAAAATTTATATATTTACATTTATATTTCTCATTTCTTCTCTAATAATGATCATCTCCTCGACTAAATGTTTTTTACTCATTTTATTTAATTAATATACAATATTATAATTTATTATATAATCAATATTCTCCTCTTGAATAAGGAGATCTTATATATGTTCTACAATTTTGATTGGGTGAAATAACCCTTTTTGTTCTTTATAAATTTGGATATTCAACAATAGTTTCAGGAATGCGTTCAATTTCTTTAATGATTGGAATTTCTCTATATACATTAACTGGTTCAGAATATACTGGTACTTCTTTATAAACAGGTACTTTCTAATATATAGGAACATCTCTATAAACAGGAACATCATAATAAACTGGTACATCTTTATAAACAGGAATGTCTTTATAAACTTTAACTTCCTTTTCAACTTAAATCTCTTTATAAACTGGCACTTCTTTATTAACTGTTACTTCTTTATATTAAGGTATATAAATTGGAATTTCTTTTGTATTCATTTATGATGGTTTTTCTACTTCTTTAATTACTTCTTTAACAACTTCAAAAGGTTTTACTACTTCTTTAATCACATCTCTAGGAACTTCTATAATTTTTGGTATTTCTTTATATTCGATTTCTTTAACTATTTTTTCTTTTCTCTTTCTTTTTTACAACTCTTCATATTTAACTTAAAGTTCATGATGTTATATTTTAGTATTTTTAATTTCTTCTTATAATCTAGCATTTTCAATTTTTAAATAATCATCCTTAGGTNAACTAATTATCAAAGAATTATGATTATGAAATAATTTTTGTCTTTATTGGCGAAACAATATCTCTAATTATTTTATTAACTTTTTGAACATCTTTAATATTATTTGGTGAATTCGAATGATTTTATTAAATTTCTGAATTTTCTTAACATTATAAATATTTAACGATAAATTTCAATGAAATTTGAAGCAATTTTTCATAATCCATTTTTTTCAGTAATTCATGTATATATTATTCTGATATAAAATATTTAATGAATAATTTAGGTTTTAAAGCAATCAATTAATAACAATATTTTCTAATCTTTTAATTTTTATTTTAATGAGGTGTGAATTCAAAAATTTTAGTGGAGTTTGTTGTCTATATTCTATTCTTTATTAAAATTTATATATTTACATTTATATTTCTCATTTCTTCTCTAATAATGATCATCTCCTCGACTAAATGTTTTTTACTCATTTTATTTAATTAATATACAATATTATAATTTATTATATAATCAATATTCTCCTCTTGAATAAGGAGATCTTATATATGTTCTACAATTTTGATTGGGTGAAATAACCCTTTTTGTTCTTTATAAATTTGGATATTCAACAATAGTTTCAGGAATGCGTTCAATTTCTTTAATGATTGGAATTTCTCTATATACATTAACTGGTTCAGAATATACTGGTACTTCTTTATAAACAGGTACTTTCTAATATATAGGAACATCTCTATAAACAGGAACATCATAATAAACTGGTACATCTTTATAAACAGGAATGTCTTTATAAACTTTAACTTCCTTTTCAACTTAAATCTCTTTATAAACTGGCACTTCTTTATTAACTGTTACTTCTTTATATTAAGGTATATAAATTGGAATTTCTTTTGTATTCATTTATGATGGTTTTTCTACTTCTTTAATTACTTCTTTAACAACTTCAAAAGGTTTTACTACTTCTTTAATCACATCTCTAGGAACTTCTATAATTTTTGGTATTTCTTTATATTCGATTTCTTTAACTATTTTTTCTTTTCTCTTTCTTTTTTACAACTCTTCATATTTAACTTAAAGTTCATGATGTTATATTTTAGTATTTTTAATTTCTTCTTATAATCTAGCATTTTCAATTTTTAAATAATCATCCTTAGGTAATTAGATTGGTTCTGGTTTTAATGCTGTTAGCATGGCAATCATTTCTGTATTATCTTTTGGTTTTTCTTATTCAGGAACACTGATATGATATTCTAATACTTAAGAAGGATGTTCTTGAATTTTAACTTACCTTATTAATTATTCTAAATGATCAACTTCTCTTTAAATATTAAAGTTTGGTTATTCTAATTTTTATTTAGACTTTTTGATTGGTATTTAAACTTAAATTTCTTCTGTTAATTCTTTAACATATTTCTTCTTCTTTCTATTTGATTTTCTTTCATTAACAGGCTATTCTTAGATTATTACAAAAGGTTGATAATTTACATGATGACAAAAATTTGAAGGTTAACAAATTGGATGACAATGCATTTATTAATGTTGACAAGTTGGTGCTATAGTTTCAATAACTTTTTAAACCTCCTTTTGTTCATTTTATTGTTATGATTATTATTATTGTTATGATTAGTTTGTAGGAACTTAAACCTATTTAAATACTTATCTCAATTCATCAATACTCTTTATACAAAGATCGTTATGAATTTAAGACATAATATAATATTAATGTTAATTAGATTAATAAAATTTATTTCTTATTATTTTTGATTCCACAAAATATTTTGCTTGCTATTTATATTTTTAATTTAGAATTTTTTTTAATTAATAATATTAAAAATAATGTCTTATAAAGTAAATAACTCACTCGAGGAAAGATAAAAAAAGTTTTAAGAATACAGTCAAAAAAACCCAGATAAAATTGCCATCATTATAGAATAGGGTCCAAATTCACAACTTAAATAACTTGACAGACCTGAGTATTTTTAAATAATTAATAATATAGAGTCTTAATAAATTAAGACAAGTAAGGGATAGACTTGATAACATTTCTCAAATAGAAACTTTGCCTCCCTGAACAATCTCATTTAAACTCTATCTATATCATTGAACCAACATCAAAATGTGTGCTTAATGGAAATGACAATCTTAGGGAGTTCTATGATAAGCATAAAAATGAAGAAGACGGTTTCCTCTACCTATAATATTAAAGACAAGAATTTTTCGGTTGATTTAATATTTAAATTAGCTATTTCTATCATAAATTTAAATTTTTTTTATATACTTTATAATTTAAACTCATATATAATCATGCTAATTATAAAAAAGAATAATTGAATGAAAAAAGAACTGTAAATAATAGTATAATTTATTTAATTTATTATTACAATCATTTTTTAATTTTAATTACTTTATTTTTATTTTTCATAAGATCTATCAACTTAAGACAATCCTTTTTATTATTATAATAAGAAGAACTATTAGTTGTAGTTCTAATTTAATCATGATAGGGTACAAATTAAGATTAATAATTGGTTAGTGAAAGTTAAGAATTAGATCTGAAATGTAATTTGCTTTTTGATTTATTAACTTCTTCATTAAAAATGCTTAAAGGTTTAATATTATTGTCTTTCTTAATTACTAAATGTTTTTCTAATTTATTAATATAAATTATTACATTCCATTGTTTTTAGCATCTTCTCTAAATATTATTAAATTTAATTCTTTTTTGGTTCTTATTGTTATGATTATTAATATTGATTGAGAGATTCATTCAAAATTATCTCTTCATTCTAAGTATTTAATAATATATTTTATGAATTGCTTGATAGCATTTCAACTGTTTTCTATAAAGCTTTAGATCTAGCTAATCTCTTGAATTCAATATAAGAATCTTTATTGTTTTAAGCTTATAGATGTTCTGAAAATTATTTATTATCATGATGTCTACATCCTTAAGAGATAGTTTAATTATTACCTGAATTTTCAATTTTTGGACGAGATTTAGATCTTATAGGAGAGGGATCAAAAGGTCTTAATTCTTTAGGATTACTAGAAGTTTATTAAGTATGAATAGCATGAGAATAATTATTTGGAGTACCTTTGAATATTTCATGGGAATTCTTGAATTGAAATTGATGAATGAAATGATTATTTCGATCTTTCAAAATGTATAAAATACTTGATAGGAAATTTCATAGATTAAAAATTTGGTAAAAGTTTAAGTGATTACAAAACTGCAGGTCTTCTTATAATAGTTAGATTTCTAGCTGCTTTTAATATATGTATTTTCTTTTTCCACTTTTTAATTGCTTCCAATTTGTAAATTAGAATAAAAATTATAGCATTTCCGATAGCCTTGAATTTTTTTAAGATCCTTTTCTTTTTCTAATAACTTATATAATTTGATAGATTTTACCAAGTTTCTTTAAGTGGTAATTCACCTTGTATTTTTAATTAAAATCCAATAGATTTTCCACAATTAGAACATTAGCAACTCAAATTACATCTATTTAATTCTAATTGGAATAAGTGATTGTTTTTATATCGTATAGATCTTCTCTTTTTAAAAGATACTTGATTGATCACGATAGATTTGGCATGTTTTAATTGATAATAATCTGAAGGAGATAAAGATCTCTCTGACATATAAAATAATATGATATTATAAATTCATGGAAATTTAATTAAGGATTAATAATCTGATTTTTTGGAAATAGGTTTTACTTAAAATTCTTAAAAGTATTACTATGATATTGAAAATAATTTACATGATTTAATGCTTATTTAGCACTAATTCTTTATGTCGGATCTAATTTTAACATTCTTGTTAATAAATCAATAGCTAATTAATCTACATCCCTATTTAATAATTATTTAAATCCTTAAGGACTCCAATTAGGAAAAGTAGTTTTATAATCTTTTAAATTAGTAACACCCTAAAAAAATATTAACTTTTAATTATTACTGGCCATGTATTTTCATTAGGAGTGCCTAAAATTCTAAAAATTCTAAATAATTAATCTATTTCTGAATCTCCTGTAAAGAGTGCTTTTTTAGTAATCAATTCATAGAATATGCATCCAACTGACCAAATATCTACAGGAGTACTATATTCAACAGCTCCCAATAATACTTCAGGTGCTCTATACCATAAAGTTACAACTTCGTGTGTATATGGTCTTATTGGAACTTAAAATGGTCTAGCTAAACCAAAATCAGCTATTTTTGTATTCCCTATACAATTTCTATATAAGAATACCTTGTTTATCAATTAAAATATTTTATGGTTTAAGATCTCTATGCAATATTCGTCTTTAATGACAAGCTTGAATTCCCTTCAATATTTGATGAATTATTTTTTTTATTGTAATCTTATCAAGAGATTAATCTTTTGGAGAACTATCCAAAAGTGCTTTAAGGTCTCTTTCCATATATTCAAACACTAGTTAAAGTTTCTTATTTCTAATAACTACATCCTTTAATTAAACGATATGTGGATTGTTGAGCTCTCTAAGTAAACTGATCTCTCTAATCGCAGTTGAAGGCACACCTTCTTACTCCAACTAATGATTTGGCGGATTTTCAATACTTCTTAGGTCATTTTTTTAACAGCTACAAACTATCCATTTAATTTATCTAATGCTTTATACACAACTCCATAAGTTCCACTCCCTATTTTTTCTAATTTTTCATATCTCTCTGCATCACTTTCACCAAATTCAGGCAACATTGAAATTCAAATTAATTTGAATTAATAAATAATAATTTATTTTTATAAAAACTGTTGTATTATCACTTTTTAATTCCATTAAATATAAATTTTCCAATATCTTATTAATCAAGATCCTTAATTCTTAATTACTTAAATAATTACCTTTTTTACATCAGATCTTAAAACTATCTTTTATTGATCTTAATTTTCTTCCACAATATTTAAAACCAAACAGGTTCAAATAAATCTATAATTGATTATTTTAACTATTATAAATTGACTTCATGATCAATGTAACCGTCCTTATTTGTATCAAGCACAGTAAATATTTCATTAATTTTTTATTCCTAATAACTTTAAACTAAAAATGTTATTTACTATTTTTGCATAAGTATTATTTTATTATTTGATATAAATTTCATAGTTTCTCTAGCTTTTCTGTGGAGTAGAAATACATTGCAATTTATTCATTAATTCTTTAAAGCTTTTCATTCTATCTTACTTAGATTAATGTTCAATTCTACTATTGCATAATGTTCCATTACTAACCATAGACTATATAAAATTAGATTAAATAATATTTACAGATTATATGCTTTAATCAATCTATTGTTATGAGAAACTAATTTCTTGAGGTGAAATATTTCTAGAATTAGATTACTTTGATTTTTAGATACTTATTCTTCCTTTAGGTAATGTTTATAGAGTATTTTATTCTTATTTTTCTGGTGAATAGATTGGACTCTATTGAACAGATATAAATTAATTTGGTTTATTTCTTAAAACATTATGTGAGTGAAAACTGTCTTTAGAATAATTGATTTAAACACTAGGTCTTTTCATATATTCTTAATAAGGTATACCAATTCTTTTATTAGGTGATTTACTTGGTGATTTATTTTTTAATCTATTCATAATTTTTTGATTTAACTTTTCTTATTTTTATAGATTTTCAATTTAATGAATTGAATTGTTTTTAACATAATGTTCAATTCTACTACTTCCTCTTGAAGATGATTAATTTTTATCTGGATTAAGCATTTCTTATAATTTATTTTTAAATGAGAATTAGAATTAATCTTGTATGTTAGATGTATTATTTTCATGATTGTCTTAATCAAATGAAAAATTAAAGTTCTCTTCTTAATTTTTAGTTGATTCTTATTACTTAATGATTTAAATGCAATCATTTCTAATTTAAATAGAAGTATCGACAATCTTTATACTTTCTCTAATACTCGCATTATTAATGAATTTATCAAAGTGTAATCGTATTTATGTTTTAGTAGTATTATCTATACTATTAGAATCAAGTAACATGGAGACAAAAGAAATAATTTATTTTGAAAGTGGTGAAATGAAATTAAATTCTAAATTTTGTTATGTACAAAACCTATATGCTATTTATAAAGGAGTATCAAATGCAAATATCTATTAAACACATATAATAATTATTACTTCTACTTAATATATCTAATTTTAATACTTGATGGGCACTGATAAAATATTGTTTTTTTTCATATGACAGTTAAATTAATTAATGTAATAAGTTAATATACCTTCACAATATCCAAATGTAGCTTTTGATAATCATACTCCTACGAATAAAACTAATCAGTCTCATTCTCCTCATTAAAGAATGTTATTTCAATCATCTTCTCCTATTTAAGATACTAATAATCATACACCTGTAAAAAACCTTGGAGAATTAGAATTACTCTATTAGAAAATTCAATTGCTCTAAAATGAAAATAAAATGCTTAAATCCTAATTATAAAATGCTAATCTACAAATCCAATAACTCACATCTAAAATTAATTCAATCAATAGTTAAGCTATATTCAAGACAACTACTTTCGAATTAGTTGTACTCCAAAAAACATTAGAGCAATTATAATAACTAAAAACACTCTTATAAAATAAAGATATAAATCCTCATCATAATAATTAAACATTACCTACTGAAACTACTTTAGAGGTTATTAGTGAATTAAAGAGTAAAGTCATTTCATTAGAATAAAAGAATATTAAATTAAGTAAAGAAAACTCAGAACTATAAGTAAATAAATATTTCTTTGTTTTATAGCATCTCATTTTGTTTCCTACTCAATCTGAAACTAAACAATTTGTTAGAGAAGGTAGAAAATAACTATTTTCTGATCCAAGTGAAATTAGAAAAGTTAGTAGGAATAGTCCCATTAGATTTGTTAATCTAAAAGGAAGTCCTAATAATCCATATAAATCACCAAAACATACACAATGATTATTTATTTATTTACTTTATTGATATATAAAATATATATATATATATAAATTAATTAAATCATTTAATTAAAATTTCAATAAACACAATTATGGATTCAACTAAAGAAAGAGTAGAAGGAACAAGAGCAACTGTTATCGAAATTATTGGAAGAACTGGTATTTATCAAATTATTATTTTGCAGGTTCCAGAGGTGGTATTACATAAGTTAAGGTTCAATTGGTTGGTCAATAAAGAACCCTTATTAGAAATGTTATGGGACCAGTGAGAAAAGGTGATACATTAGAACTTATGGAATGTGAAAGAGAAGCCAGAAGATTAAGATGAAATAAGTACATTACATATATAATTTGCCATATATTTAATTATTTTAAGCTTATTACAAATACTATTATTTTCAATTCTTTATTTTATTTTTTTATATATTACTATAACACTATTTTCATTCAAAAATATCAAACTTTTTTCCTTAATTAATCTTCTCTGAATTATAGAAACTGAAAGTAATTAAATAAATTATCGTAATATTAGGGTGGAGTAACTTTAAATGATTAAAACAATATAATTATTATTATTAGATTTTGAAATTGCATTCTCACTCATATTTAAAGTAAATTATTGAAGGCTCTATAATTATATTTTAATTGATCAAAGATTGTAAGTTATAAATATAAACTTAAATTAGTTTGATTTAAAGGTTCCTACTAAATTTTTCTTTCTAGATTTTATTAAAATTTATATAAATTGGTCAGAAAAAAATTAGTTTTTTAAAATCAAATCCAATTTTAAATTTTAAGTTTTCTATGTAATAATTCATTAAAAAATATTATTTTAAAACACATTTTTTATTGATATATATTAATAAGTTTATTTATAAATAGTTAAGCTTTAAAAAGTTTTTGATGACTTTGGATATCATATTTTTTATTATAAATATGATGGGTTTTCAGTTTATAAAACTAATTTTAATATATATTATTTTTTTATGTTTTAAGGCAGGATATTGATAATTGTGTTTTCAAATACTTTTTTTATTATTTAATTAAAATGAACCTTTCAGCCATCAAATCAATCGTTTCATTCTTGTCATTAAATGCTTTACTCTAAATTTATGAGAATCAGCCAGTAGAATTCTGGGACACTAATCAAATGATGTCACATCCAAAACTGACACCAATTTTTTAATCAAATTAGGTATTTATAATGTTTATTTTAGTATATTAATTTATTAGCAGGTTTTGGTACGCTTGTATTAGCAGATAAGAACAATAAAATACAAATGAGTAATAGTATTTTAGTAGGAACATCAGTTATCATCTAAAATTTGAAGTAATCTATTATCTTTAAAATTTAGTTTATTTATGCCTAAAACAATGAATATGATAACTATCTACTTCTAACTTATTATTTTAATAGTTTAACTATTTTAATTGTTGTCCTTTTATTATGATAAAATTCCACCAACTATGCCTAAAATACAATAAGATATTCTGAAAGAATAAAAACAAGTTAGAAAACCTAATCAAAAAAAGATGATTTAAAACAAAAAGAGAGAGAAAGCTTAGCAAAAACAATAAAAAACTGAATAAATTTAATAAATAGAAGGAATAGAAATAGAATAATAAGATAAATCGGAAGTTGAATCAATAGAAAATGACTTCAATGAATTCATGAAACCTCAATCAACAGATTAAACAGTAACAGAAATTGAAACTGAAAATCTTTATGAAATCAATCATGCTGATCTCTCACAAATTTCTTAAACAAAAGAAGATTCAAGTATTACTTAATATAATTTTAGAATTAACTTTCTAATTAAAATTTAATGGAGAAGTTTCCAATTTAAATTGTACTTTTGATACATTTGATTCTGCAATGAGCATTCTCAACTCAACTCATACATCAGAATAAATTAAATAAATCAAAATTCATTTGTTATTAAATCTTTATGATGAAAACGAAGACTGTACTTGTAGACTCTGGTGTTTAAAGAAGCTTTTGATACTTAATTGATTATAGAATTCTATGAAATTTGCTCTTTGTTTGATTTATTATTAATAAGTTAAATCATTTATTCACTAAATATAGTAATAACTTTATAATCAAAATTTAAAATATAACTTCTCAAACAAAATGATCCTTAAAACATCAATTAACATAGAATTCTAAATCATTTTGAAACTACTCTAATATTATGAATTATACAGCTATTATAAATCAGAAAATATTGATTTATATAACACTCAATCTAATTATTTAATTATTTTGTCAGTCTAATCTTTTCATCAAATTTCAATCTAAATTATTTGAATATATAGATGTGAAAAGAAAAAATCGACAGTTACTTAGCTATTATTGTTTTTTAAAAAAGTAAATATATATGTAAATTTTTAAGTTTATCAAATTCTTTTATCTTTTCTATCATAATTTCCAAACTACTTAGTTATTAAACTAGAAGGATTGCAATCTATAAATAAGTTAAAATATTACATTTTTGTAAATTTTGATCTGAAGGTTATCTTATTTTGTATTCATTAATTATATATTTATCATTTATAGGTTCTCTTTATTATTAGTTTAATCTATCATAAGCTGCCTTATATTCTTTATCCCTAATAGGAGATTTTTAATAATTAATTTTACTGTTTGTAAAACTTACAAGTCTATCTGCCATTCTATTTTAATTTTTTTCTCTTTCAATATATTTACTTAAAGCTGTTCCTTAAAGTATATCTTCAATAGCCTTATTATTCAAATTATATCTAGAATTTCCTTTTTCTAATCCTAAACGATCATTGATTGATGATTCCTCATGATAACTTTGTCTTTATCCAAGGCGATATTAATCTCTTTAATAATATTTCTAACCTAAATACTCTCTAGCTCCAGCTATTTTAGCTTAAATTGGTTCTGGCCTAAATCTTTACTCGAAAACTCTTCTTTTATCAAATTCTGATATTTGTTGGTTCATTTCTGGTTTCAATTATCCATATTTTTTTTCCAATTCTTATTTAATTTAGTTTATCTCAGGTTAATATTAAGATCTCTTAAATTCCATTTTATCACATTATTAATCCTATCTCTTTATTTCATACCTATCATAATTATTATATCCTAGAGAAGTTGATTATTTTTAATCATTAATATTTTTTTCTTATTTTAAATTACTAACCAAATAATTTTAACTATCTTAATATTTTTTCTAATTTCCTTAATCAAACTATTATAATTTCTCATATAAATTAAGTCTTCTTTAAATATCTTAAGATTAATCATTATCTTTCCTTACTTAATATTATTATTTTGTTTCTTAATATAATTTTTCTTTTAATATAAATCTATCTTTTTATTCTTTATATGCACTACCTTCTGATCTTAAATCTAATCTAACTCTATCTTCATTTTAAGATTTGTTTTATTAAATTGATCTATTAATTTATTTAATTTATTCATCTTATCTTTTATTTGAATCAAATTCTTATTTCTTACTAAAATGAAGTTTACCATATTCTATTTACTAATATTTAGAATCCTCATTCATTCTTGCTTAATAAGGAGATTTTTAATCAAATTTAGATCTTTTTAAATCTATTTCAAAATCTTTTCTTAAATATTCATTATATTTATGTTCCCTTTCATTTATATTAAAATTTCCATCTAATTATGTAAATTTAAATTAATTTAATTCAAGTATATCCTTTTTTAATTATGAATTATTTTCAGTATCAGTTTAAAAATTCTTTTTATCAAAATTAGATTCAAGATTTCTAGAATCTAATTTATATTAATTTTATTATTCTCTCAATTTATCTTATACTTCACTTCTAAGATTTTCTTAAAATTATTTGATTCTTTCTTAACTATTTCCTAATCCTGTCTATTATTATCTTTATGAATATTCTTATGATTTTGAATAGTAAGTTAATTTAGCTTCATTTTATTATGCTATTTTTTCAGCTTACTCTCTTCTTTATTATAATCTTTTTTCAATATCTAAGAAACTATTCTATTCTTATGTCTCCTTAGAATCAATTGGATTAGTTTTATAATGTTCATTAGTTTTATTTCTAGTTATTTCAGGATACATTCTTTAATATTCAGGTAATTTAAAATCTCTCTTAACAGCTGATTACTATTATTCATTTTTAATTTTATTTTAATTTTCTCTATCTAATGTAGTATTTACAATCATATTAGATTTTGGATCCATTGGAGTTCTATTACCAAAAGGTAACTTACTTTATTATTATAAATATTTATCAGTTGAATGTGTTATTTTTTCTTCAAATTTTTACTTATCTTAATATGTTTAATCATATTTATGTTCAGTTTATTAACAATTTGGTGTGTAAGGTTTAGATTATTCATAGTAATATGATTATTTTAAATTTGTATTATTGTTTTATTCTTTATCCATTTAATGATTTTCAACTATTTAGTATGACTAATAATGATTTTTTGACTCACCATTTTATATTTATGTTTCATAATTCTTATATTGGTTTTTATTTTTGTAATCAATATAATTCCAATTTTCGTTCTTTAAATAATGATTGTCTATTGTAGATTCTAATTTTGTAGGCTAATAATCTTGCTTTCTATTAATTATTAAATTAGTTCTTAAAGCTCTGTCTTCCATTATAATTTTATTTGAATTCTTTTATTAATCTGTTAAATTAAAATATCTGTTAGTAAAATACCTTAGTAAATTCAATAAACAAACATCAATCTATTCTGACATTTAATTTATAAAATCTTACCTATCCTTCCTTCACTTTCTATTTAAGTATTTTAAGATTATATATCCCAAAATTATATTCAGAATACCTTATACAAAATATAAGAAATATTATAATGTAAATAATTGATATTTATTTTTATTAGAAAGTTCGATAATCATGATAAATTATTCTAATGTTCCACCAAGATCAATTACACCAAAACCATCTTATTTAACAGTTGTGAATTAATATAATTAACCTTCTCCATAATTAAATTCATAAAAAATAATTTCTAATTAATATGTTCAACCAAAATAGATAATACCAACTACTGAAATAATTCGCATTATTCCAAGTGAATAATATTAATTACCTCAATAAGATTAAACTTAATTTAATGGATTATCATTACCTGAATTAAAAGCATTTTTAGAAGATTTAATGTAACGTTATGATAGATTGGCCTAGGAATTACAGAAGGCTTCTTAGAAAGAAATTTAATTATAAAATCAACAAATAATTGCTTAGACAGAATTACATAATAAATTATTATAATTTTAGTAAGAAAGAGAAGCACTTCAATAAACAATTAATAACAAAAATTAGGAAATACATATCTTGAATTTATAAATTGCTAAATTAAAATAATAACATTTAACAGAATAATAAGAATTAAAAACAGATAATGAAAATATAGCTTTAGTCTTAACTGATAAATTAGAATAGATGAATCAATTTGCAAAAGAAAAAATAAATGAATTAGAATAAACAAAAAATATACTTGTACTTAGAGAGTAAGAAGTATAAGAATGGAGGACTAGAAAAAATAATGGAGATATTTATTCATAAGAGATAAACTAATTGAAATAGAAAATTTATTTATTGTAACAAGAGAAAGAATAATTAATGGATAAAATTAGATATCCTCAACATGATTATCAATAAGGAAATGAAAATTAAATGCTGAGAGCTTAATTATAAGAGAAGGAGTCAGAAATCAATACTTTAAGATTGAAAGTATATTATTTAATTTAAATAGCTACAATACAGCTAATAAAATAATAATGATCAATAATTATATTAAGAATTAGAATAAGCTAAAGAAGAATTAATGTATTATAAGTAATAATTAATGAATGGTGGTTAAGTTAATAATATGGAAGAAATTGAGGATTATAGGGATAAGATTCAAATTTATGAAAGTGAAATTAGACGTTTAAATAAATAAGTAGATATTTGATCAAAACTCTTAGTTAACTGAGATGAGACATGAATTAGAAGATCATAAAAATCATAAATCAGATAATGAATTTTTACGATCTAAACTATCAAATCAATAAAATCAAATAAAAGAGATTTAAAAATCCCAATTAGGTTTTAAAGAAAGAGTACCTTAATACTATTGATATTTATTTTAAGTTTCAACTAAATTATAATTATTAATATAACAAAACAAAAAATGAATACAGAAAATCTAATTAAAAATCTATCAAATTTTAATAATTATTTATAGAATTGATGAACTTTTTGAATGAATCTCAAATAAGAAAATAAGCAACTTGTAAATTGAGTATTTATTTAAAAAATATAATATGAGAATTCATAATAAATTTTGAATAAATCTATTATAGTAATTATTTATATAAATTTTATTTTGAAATTAATGTTTGGGATACCTTTTCCTGGAGCTTTTGGTCAGTTTGCTTTTTAAGATGCAGATTTTGATGATGATTTTGAAGATTAATTTTAATCTCAAGATGTAGATAATAAAGAACTATATGAAATATTAGAAATTGAACCTTAATCAGATTTAGCTACTGTTAAATAAGCATATAAAAATTTAGCGAAGAAATATCATCCTGATAGAAAAGGAGGAGATTCATAAAAATTTTAATTAATTTAAAAAGCAAATGAAGTTTTATCAGATCCTGAAAAAAAGAAAGTGTATGATAAATATGGAAAAAAAGGATTACTTTAATAATTAAATGTGAAGAGTAATTAATTCAAAAAGTGTGAGCCTTATAAAGTTAATCATAAAATAAGTCTTAGAGATGTAGCTTTAGGTGCATATCATAAAAAGATCTTAAATGATATCAAAAGATCTTGTAAAGAATGTTAAGGATATGGTGGTAAATAATCAGTAACATGTACTTCATGTAAAGGACATAAAATAGTTTAGATGGTAGTTGAAGTTTAACCTGGAATAAATATGTTATAATAAGCACCATGTCCTGATTGTAAAGGGTATTTTATATAATATATTATTATAGAAAAGGAAAGGCTATATCAAAAGAGGATGAATGTAAGATATGTAAAGGATTAGGAAATGTTGAGGAAATGGTTGAAATAGAAATACCTATTGAAAAGGGTGTTCCTGATGGATATTGTGTTAAACTATATGGAAAAGGAAATTCTAAAGTATTCTATTAAACTTATCATCAATTTAGACTGGATATGAAACAGGAGATATTCATGTTTATCTTGAAATTGAATAAGATCCTAAATTTATTCGAAAAGCAACTGATTTATTTTATCAATAGATAATATCTTTAAAGGAAGCCTTAGTTGGTGTTAATTTAGAATTATAAACTTTGGATTCAAAGATAATTAACATTACGACTGATAAAGTAATTAAACCTAATTAAATATTAACTATAAAAGAGAAAGGTTTACCAACATTTAAAGATGAACTTCATTTTGGTGATTTACATATCTAATTTTATATCGATTTCCCTAAAGAACTTGATAAGGATGTTATTTAAAAATTAGCACAAGTATATTTATAAGATAATTTGAAGATTTTGCCAGGGCCATCTTTTACACCTAAATTAAATTGTATTTAATTAGAAGACTTTTCAATTCAAGATTTTGAAAAGCATTAGGTAAAAATTGAAGAAAATGATGATGATGAATTAAATGAAAATGGAATTGATTGCTCAATATTTTGAGTTTTTGTTTTATTATAAAAAATATGAATCAAAATTAAAGGAAATTCGTTAGATGTTTCAATTGTAATATCAAACCTGCAACTATAAAATGTTTTGATTGTAATGAAAATGAACCAACAAAATTATGTTATCATTGTGATTCAGCTTTACATAATGAAATAGATCACTAAAAATAAATTATTCCATATGATCAAATGGTTATAAATGAAGAAAGAACTAAATCAGTCACTCCTGAAAAATAACAGGAAACCACTCCTCATTTGAGTTCCATTTTACGATCAAGAATTAAAAAAAATGAAGAAAATACAAATTATTTTAACAATGATGAATAGTTAAATAATAATTAAATTAAATCTATAGAACTTAAATACAAAATTAAATTACAAGAGTAAGAGAATACAATTAATTTATTGAAATAACATATTGACAATATAGAAAACAAACATAAAGAAAATTTATCAAAAATGAGAGATTAATTAATTAAAGCATAAGATGAAATATTCAAAAAATAAGAAGAACAAATTAATGAAATTAATAAATTAAAAAAATCCTATGATGACAAAATAGCTTAATATATCTCTTAAATTGATAGTGAAACATAATTTAATAATTCTCTATAATCCAAATTAGAGGAATTAAGGTATTTTTTATTAATATATATTTTCTAAGAAATGTTCATTAAATTAAATAATAGGAATCTTAATAAACGATTTCTCAATTAAGAGCAGAAATTGAAAGAAGAAAATTCAGTGAAGAGTAAATTTTAATAGATTCTGAAAATCAATAAATTAAAATGAAGAAAGAATTTTAGTAAGAATTTGATAAAAACATTACAATAATGAAAAATGATTGTGCTTTATAGATGGAAGAATTTAAATAAAAATTATTAGGAAAGACGGAATAAATTTAATCTCTTCAATAGTAAATCTAATAATTGTAAAATACACTTAAAGAAATTGAAGTTGTATGGTAAAAAAAATTATAATATGAATAATAATAATATGAGGAATTAAAGTAATAGTTAATTTAAATATTAGAATAAAATATACATAAAGTAAAGATGATTGTGAAGCAATGAAGAAAGAAATAAAAAATTTATAATCAGAAATAACTATATATCAGAAAGAAAATGAATTATTTTAGAAAGAAAAGTTATCATTAACTAAATAATTGAATCAATAAATGGAAAAGAATGAAAAAATGGATCGATTTATATATGGTTCTAAGAAATCATAAACAAAAATAAAAATCTGAATTAATCTTTATTTAATATAATAATGAAAGAATTTATATATTTACCAATACAATTTGTAATAAACATTTTATTTTAAATCATCCTCCATGTAATGTAGAAATAAAGCTAACTCTATCATTATGTTATAATTGTGCTTCTTCTTTATCTTCTAATTCCCAATCAGCATCATTAATTAAAACAAGTATACCTGGTCGAAGTTATTGAGTATAGAAAAAATCCAATTTCTTAGGGTTACAAAGTGTTTTTAGTCTATTTATAACATCAGTCATTTTAATTTATTATTCTTCGAATTCCAAGATTAGCTCCTTTTTATTTTCAAAACAAACATCTAATCCACCACCAAAATCAACTATAATTTTCATTTTATTAATTAAATATTAATAATGTTTTAACTGAATAATAACGAAAAATAGATAGATTTCAGAAAATATTAAATGGAACCTATAGATCATATTTATTTATCTTTTAGTCCTAATCAGGAAGAGTAAAATACACTTAATCTCAAAACAGAAGAAATGTCAATTCCTAATATCCATTCATTTTTTACTGATCATACAAATATATTCGATTAAAAAGTTGGTTATTTTTAAGGATAGATCAATAATTCAGATTAATTTGATTTCTATTTAATATCAAAAACTGAATTAGTCAAATTACTTAAATAATTAGACAACCTGCAAAAAATTTAATAAAATTTTGACACTCTCAATTAATAAATATAAATGATATAAAAGAATCCTTAAAAATAATCTTAATAACCTTCCTATAATACATTACAAAGATCTGGAACAACTTTATAAGGGTCTGATTAAAAGGCGCGAAATTTACAATAAAGCTAAATAATGAATGAAGGTTAGCCTCATAAAGATGTAATCAGTGTAAAAGCTTTATTTGGTCATAGAGAAAATTCTATTCATTATAATAACAATAAGGAAAATAATTAAGGATTGATAAACAATTAGAGAACAACAAGTCAATAAAAATAATAAAATAGTTAATAGAATTATTCGTCGGTTAGAAAATTAAATTAACCTTTGCCTTCAAGACAAAGATCATAAACTCACATACATATGAAATATATTAATTGATAGTATTGATTACTACAAGATAACTTAATAAATTATAATTCAAGTCATTTTTTTAACTAATTTATTTATTATTGTTATTATTACTATTGTTGCATTTTACTTTATTCTTTAAGTTACTCTTAAACTAATTCTACTCTTTTCTTAAGTTTCAATTAACCTCTTTACATAGATGTTTTGGTTTGATACTTCATTATAAATTCTTATTTTAGTTAAGAGAATTATTAAATAAGATTTGAAATTGGTTAGTGTTCTTCATTAGATGATTATTATTTAACATATTTAACTCTTTCCTTTTATAATTTTTTTACAATTCCATCATATGATTTCTTCATAGATTCAGCTTTGATAATATAAATTTCATTATGATCATTAACTTCCCAGTGTGATTAATCACCCATTGATTATAAATTATATATTTTTTATAAATTAATTAATTCAAAAAATAGATAATAGTTTTATCATTGACTAATCATTTAATTAGGAGCAATCATTCTTAATTCAGTTTGAGCATTAGAAAATAATTGACTTTAAACTCCAGTACTTTATTTTTTTTATAAATTTTTTTATTAAGATGAATTAAAAGTAATATTAGCATTTTAAATTAATAATTCTTATAATGTCTTTAAATCTAAAGCACATCTACATAAAGGACAGTTCTCATGTTTTATAATCCATTATTCTAAACAATCTGAATGAAAAATATGATTACATGGAGTAAATCTACAATAAGCATATTTTTAATATTCTAATAAACATACAGAACATGTTTCCTAAACTTCTAATTCTAAAAATTATGGAAATTCTAAAATCTAAAAATATTATAATTTTGGCATATATTCATCTATAATTTTCTTATCTAAAGAACCTTAATTTCTTCTATTATTATTATTAGTATTATTTTGAGGATTTTAAATAGGATTAGATTCATCATGAACTCTTGAACTTCTTTTATATCTTACTATTAAAATTAAAATCCAACCTAATAATAATATAATTGCTATTGAAACAAGAACATATACAATTACCAAACTTGAATCTATGTCAAAAGATCCTTCAGAAATTGAAATTTTGATTGAAAGATATATAATTGCTGGTTATTTTGAATTAATTGTAATCAATAATCTTTAAAATCTATCAATATCTGAATCAAAAATTAATGATTGTAAATCTAATACTTAGGAATAAGAAGATTAATTTGATAAAGAAATATAATAATCATAAAAATTATGATTTGGTAATCCTAATTCAAAGTTTTCATACATTATATATACTTCAACATCTGAAACTTTATATTGGGAACTCATTAAACCCAATTCTAAGGTTATATTAGATATTTATTATTCTCTTTCAAAATAAAAGTATTCCTATTTTTTTATCACTATATTCTAAAGAGGTTATTTCAAAGATAAACTTTAAGCTACTTTTGAACAATCTAGATCAATAAATTTAGAATTGCAAGAACAAACTCCAATTTCTGTATTGCACAATCCTGATTATTAATTTCCACATTAATTTGGGCATAACCTTTTCTAATTTTTAGTTATTTTAATTAAATATTAATAATCTGTAAAGCTGCTATCAAGTATATTAACATCAATGTAGAATTTATCATTGTTATTAAAAGTATATGGGTTTATTCGAATCATTTAATAAGACTTATACAAATATTTTCCATTCATATCATAAAATACATTGTTCTGAGAACTAGTATTATTTTCCTTATTTTTTGTTATTGAAAACTCTAAATTAACATTTCCATCTTAAGGATACCCAAAAATTAATCTATTCATAAAAACTATACTTCATACTCAACTGTAATATATTTATCTTAATCTGTTTAGAAAGGTTAAAAATAGAATGTTGCATTTTGAATATTCTAAATGACTTAGTATTAAGATTGGATCAATTTTTATATTGTTTTACTCTCTTAATATTGTTTATCTATTGTCAGAGTAATTATAGCAAAGGTATTAATTAATAATGTGAAAATAATTAAAAAAAGCATCAAAAGAATCATTAATTCATTTTTATTTTTAAATAAACAAGTTATTCAGCAATATTTACTAACATTAAATTCTAAAATATTTAAGATCTTTCACTACAAATATAATATTAAATAATAAAATAGTATTCAACATATAAATATTCATAAATCAAATAAAACATAAAGTGTATTCAAAATCTACCAATTTAATTGTTCTATGTCACTATGACAATACAAAATTAGTTAGTTATTTTCATTTTCAACTCTTATTTCAACTTCAGAATTTAAAATATTACCAATTATTATTCTACTCTCAATATTCCAACCTTTTTTATTTAAGATTAATTTATTATAATATTTATGATGCTTTATACTACGAGATAATGTTGTTTGATAATCTTAAATGAAATTCAACATTGTAATTGGTAAGTAGGTTTTAAAAAATTAATTGTTATATTCTATTGACACATTAATTACAGTAAAAGGAACATTTACAATCTCAATATTAATAGTACTCATTTAACCATAACCTGGAGTTAATTATTTAATACAATCATTTTCTTTTGATAATCTTAATGCTAAAAAAATAAAATAATTAATTACTTTAATCATTATAGTAAAGTATATCTAATATTGGAATGGAAGTAGTACCAATGTTTTAAAATGTTAATTAACAAATTAAAATATTCTTATTTAAATTCTATCTTTTAATTGTTATAAGAATTTGTTGGTTTTTAAAAACAATTAAACTCTCCTTATCTGAATCTTTTAGACATTCTAATTTAAATTGTTACTACTAATCAATTTAAAGTAATTTGACTTAATTTTCAAAATAAGGATGCTACTGAATTAACATAGCTTCTCTTTCTGATATTTATTAATAAGTTTGATAAATTTCTTAATTATTAGTTAATTACTTTTCATTTAAAATTTATCTTGTCTTTATTTAACTTGTCTTCTAAGAAGGAATCTGAATATCATCAAATATTTTTTTCTTTTGAAATTTTATTGAAGGAGAATTAGGAAAATTAGATCTTACACTGTAATAATCATCTATGAAACTTTTATAAATGCTTTTTTCTCCATCAAATTCTTATGGAACTTCATTTTCATTATAAGTGCTTTGTTTTAAACAAATAGGCATAATGGGTTATAAATTTTAAGATAATTTAGAGGATATCTCTCTTCTACTTTGTTAAGCATTATAATTTTATCGATAACTACTCTATTAAGGAAGNTACAAATATAATATTAAATAATAAAATAGTATTCAACATATAAATATTCATAAATCAAATAAAACATAAAGTGTATTCAAAATCTACCAATTTAATTGTTCTATGTCACTATGACAATACAAAATTAGTTAGTTATTTTCATTTTCAACTCTTATTTCAACTTCAGAATTTAAAATATTACCAATTATTATTCTACTCTCAATATTCCAACCTTTTTTATTTAAGATTAATTTATTATAATATTTATGATGCTTTATACTACGAGATAATGTTGTTTGATAATCTTAAATGAAATTCAACATTGTAATTGGTAAGTAGGTTTTAAAAAATTAATTGTTATATTCTATTGACACATTAATTACAGTAAAAGGAACATTTACAATCTCAATATTAATAGTACTCATTTAACCATAACCTGGAGTTAATTATTTAATACAATCATTTTCTTTTGATAATCTTAATGCTAAAAAAATAAAATAATTAATTACTTTAATCATTATAGTAAAGTATATCTAATATTGGAATGGAAGTAGTACCAATGTTTTAAAATGTTAATTAACAAATTAAAATATTCTTATTTAAATTCTATCTTTTAATTGTTATAAGAATTTGTTGGTTTTTAAAAACAATTAAACTCTCCTTATCTGAATCTTTTAGACATTCTAATTTAAATTGTTACTACTAATCAATTTAAAGTAATTTGACTTAATTTTCAAAATAAGGATGCTACTGAATTAACATAGCTTCTCTTTCTGATATTTATTAATAAGTTTGATAAATTTCTTAATTATTAGTTAATTACTTTTCATTTAAAATTTATCTTGTCTTTATTTAACTTGTCTTCTAAGAAGGAATCTGAATATCATCAAATATTTTTTTCTTTTGAAATTTTATTGAAGGAGAATTAGGAAAATTAGATCTTACACTGTAATAATCATCTATGAAACTTTTATAAATGCTTTTTTCTCCATCAAATTCTTATGGAACTTCATTTTCATTATAAGTGCTTTGTTTTAAACAAATAGGCATAATGGGTTATAAATTTTAAGATAATTTAGAGGATATCTCTCTTCTACTTTGTTAAGCATTATAATTTTATCGATAACTACTCTATTAAGGAAGTACCTCCTAATTCATATAATTTAATTAATAATATTATGACTAGTCGTTAAAATTAATTTATTATTTGTTTTCATGAACATATGTATAAGAGTTTTAAATTTAGATTTCAAAATTTTTAAAGTTTTTCAATTGATGTTCCGATGATCAAGTTTGTTTAATTTATATTATTAATTCTTCATTTAATTAAGATTAATATATTCTAATTCAAATTTAATTATAAAATGGATAGTGCTCGAAAAAATGCATCAAAAAGGGCTGCTTTAGTCTAAAAATTAGATATGCTTGATAAATCTGTTCTTCATAATTGTTATTATCAAGAACTCTAAAAGACATATTTAAAAAAAAGCACTGAAAAAGAACAAAAAGGAATATAAATAGAGGTTGTTTAAGAGTAAGATGAATTAAGTATAGCTCAAAGAAGAGTGAATCAATTAGTGAATTTGAATAGATAACTTGATGATTAAATTCAAAAAAATGATTTATTGTAACAATAAAAAATAATGGAGGATATGAATTCAATTATAAATAGTTAACTTGATCATTTTATTAATCAATAAGCAGATAGAAATTAAATATTAAATCGATTATAGAGTGATTTTAATGCAAATCATCAAAGTATGTAAATATTGGAGGGAGAATATTTGATTACAGAATTCAAAAAAATAAATTAAATGGATTAATAAATTTATTAATAATAATCATAGGAATATGCAGATATATATAAAATATAATATTAAATATAGGAGGAATTGAAAGTAGTAAATGTAGAACTTGAGAAATATTAAAAATTAAATCAAACAAATAATTTATAAAATTATGTGCTATAAGGTCAAGCCAAAAATAAATAGTTTAGTTTATAATTGATTTAGGAGCAATATTATTGTCAAAAAAAGAAAATTAGATCATTTTGTATATTTTATAATAAAACTAATGAATGTGATTAAACTTACTAACCATATTTCAAAGTCAAGAACTAAAAATAGTTGTCATTTGAAACTAATGAATAATTAAATAATGAAAATACTTCAATTAATTTATGGTCGAGTTCAAAATAAAAAGTTAAGAAGATTAACCCATATCGTTGTCAGTTTTATAAATTTGATTAAATATTTTCAAGAAAAGAAAATTCAAGGGCTAATTAATATGAATAATTATTTAATTAATTAGAATTATTTATTAAAGGTACACTTTATAAATAAATTGATTTAATTTTGAAGAGTTATGCTTTTAATAGCCAAGAATATCATTTAATATATAATTAAGATTTAATTGAAAATGTTGAGAAACTTAGAAAATTATGTGATAAAGAAAAGCCAGATAGTTGCAATGTAAAAATAGAATATATTTTAGAAATTGATAGTAATGCTTTGTGATAAAAATAGAGGATTAATAGTTAATTTAGTAAGTGATATAGCGAAGATCCTTTCTCATTTTAATAATTAATTGATTGAAGTGAATAGTTTGATATTAACTCTAACAAAATTTTAGATAAAAGATTAATATAGTGAAGACATTTTAGAATGCAATGCATAAAATATAGAAATGATGTTAGATTGTTTAAGTAATAAGGAGATTTTTAAAACAAGTTAATTTCACTTAAAAATTGAGATTAATTTAAATAATAATGCTAAAAGAGTTTTACATATATTAATGTTAGCTCCTCTTTTAATAGAAAATAATGAATTGTTTTGTAAACAGTTTAAAAGTATTTTTAAAAAAGAAAAAGCTTTTAAAGAATAAATAGGTTCTAGAATTGAAGGAATTGTAAAAGTAATAATTATAAGTTTAAACAATAGAATACTGATAAAATTATAATAATAACACAAATACCAGAAATGATTAGAACTAAAGATAATTCATTAAAAAAGATTTCAATAGTATAAAACATTATCAATTTTTAATCATTATTGGTATTTAAATAAGAAAATTGAGATTCAAACTAATTTACTTATATTTTAATTTTATTATTTTCATTATTATTATTATAGATAAATTTATTTACTAATTATTATTGATTAATTATGATAATTTTATTTTTGTAAATAAGATCTTTCTATTAAATAATATGGATTGAAAAAATCTTATTTTGAAGAGTATTAAAAGAATATTGATAATGAAAATAAAGAGAGATAGAATAAAGATTGATTATTAAAATTTGTATAAACCGCAATTTACGATTTTAATAAAAATAAATAAAATAAATTAGAATGATAACTCTAAAACATATTGAAAGGACATTTGAGAGATTTGATTATTAAAAAAATTCAGTTCTTACAGGATAGGAGATTCAATAAAAAATGAATAAGATGATTGGTAATTAAGATATGGATAGTGATGTTCTTAATGAGATTTTAGCATAATGCTAAAAAACAATAAATAAAAATTATGAGTAAATTTATCGAATGCAAGATTTGGCATAAACAATTTATAGTGCAATAATAATTTTGAGAAACAAATTAGAAAAAATAAAGTCAGATATCAATACATTAGAAGAAAATTATGAAAGAAAATAATAATAAATATAAGCAACTTGTAAAAATAAAATTTAATATTAAAGCAAATAGGAGTGAAATAAAATATGTTTATCTTATGATTAATAGTGCAAATAATATATCAAAAAAGATTTAATATTCTGATTGTTATTTGTAAGTATCATTAGGTACTTAATCGTAGAGATTAAAACCTATTGAACATTTTGACATGATAAATCCTGAGTTTAATAGAGAAATTGAATTGTATGACTTATTTTAGATTATAAAATAGTTCGATTCCAAATAATATGTATATATTGACTATATAATTCTGTACTAAATAAAGTGATTCTACATTGCCTACTTTATTAGGATAAGCATAAATATCAATAAGTTCATTAGAGGAATAGCTTAAACCTTTAAAGTTGTAATTAAAGGACCCATTAGGAAAAGAAGTAGGATGTTTTATAGATATGCAAGTCTAACTTATTCTAAATAGAGTAATATCAATTCTAAGATTAGAATGAATATCTCCAAAATTAAGTTGGATTAACTAAAGATAAAATTAAATAACTGACAGAATTAAATAAACAAGTTACTCTATAATATGAATTATTAACAAGACCTTTTAATTAGATAGAAAATATCAATAATTAAAATGGTTAATCAAATATTTAATAAGAGATAAACTTTAATTTAGAAAAGAAACCATTTGAAGTTGCTGCAGATCCTTTAATAACATCAAAAATAGATATTAATTAAACTCATGCAAATTCTTAACCTGAAAATGAATATCCATAAGCACCTAATGATTTAGAATCAGGAATGACCATCTTTTCTATTTATGGTTTGATAACTCTTTTTATATGTTCAGCAAAACCATCTTTTTTAGATTTGCTAATATGTTATGGTTTATTATTCACTGTTTTTATGGATAGATTTGAACCTGAACATGTTAAATTAGTAGGCTTAGGTTTAATTGCATCAATTATTTATGATATTCTTTGGTTATCATAATATCACTCATGGTGGAATAGTACAAATTATAATAATCCTGAATGGGGATAAAATTCTGCATTACTATTAAAAATTGTATTGGTTCTCACTTACATCTTATTTTTCTATAAAGTAATTAATTTATTTAATATTATAGTTTCTTGTATTTTATTACATATATTTATTTTACAAAGAGACACTTGATCCAGTTAAATCCTTTAGTTTTAAAATTTGGAATATATAATATAAAGTAGGAAAAAATAGATAACACGTTTTTTGGCAATGATTATACTAGCTAAATTTTATTCATAATTTATTATTAATTATTTCTATTAAATATCTTTATTTTGTTTACTTTTACCTTTAAATAATTATTTATAATTATCTTTAAATTCTTAAAATTTACTATTTGCTAAAAAATAACGTAAAAAGCAATTTTATTTAAAAAAAAATAAAAATCATGCCACAACTGTTCTTCAACCTTATTCTATTAAGAATAAAAAGTAATCATAACATAATTGAAAAGAGCTATGGTAATTTTATAAAAATCATATAAATCATTAAGAAATTTACATTAATAATACTAAGTGAAAAAATGATTATTTTAAGTTAATTGATAATAAATTAAACAATCATATAGAATAGATAATTTAATAAAGTTAATTAATCTATTCTAAGATACATAATAAAGAAAACATAAAAGAATTTTTCTAAAATAAAAGAATATGCAATTTTTGTTTTATAATTCAAATTAGCCAAAATCAATGATTTTAATGACTATTATCTGATTCAATCTTTTATCCATTTTAATAAGAAACTTTAAATTTTGTTCCATTTGGATTTGTCTCTTCACCCAAACCATGTGGAGTTCCAAAATCTGTTTCTCCTTTATAAATTACTCCATTATTAAAAAATCGTTCACCATAATTTGCTGTCCCAATCTATAATTAATATTATAATTAGATTTACATAATATTCTCCATTTGGATAAAGTATTCCTCCTTCTTAAAATATATTTTATTTCCATAAACCTTTAAGATATAATCCATCTTGTTTTAACATTTATCCATATCCATTAACTTCTCCTTTATTCCATTATCCATTGTAAATGCTTCCATCTGGTCCTTAATAAGGAGGAAAGAATCGATCTTCATTTGTTGGTTTATAGTTGACTCTTTCTTTAAAAACTGTTGGTAAAGCTGGCTCCTCAAAGTTTACTTTTTGTTCAACCCAATCTTTAGGTTTATCTTATTCCAGTTCTTCTTTTTTTTTTTATAGCTCTTGTTTGGCTTTTTTTCCTCTTAAACCACTTTAAATTTTCACAGCAGCATCGTTTTCTTCTTTTTCTTATTATTTTAAGTTTTAATCATTTTTAATTGGTTTAATATCTTCAGGCTTTGTCTCATTTTATTCTATACCTCCTGGTAAAGGATCAGATGTACAGATACCCATATTTAATTATTATATATAATTAAAAAATTAAATCTAACCAAATAATAATATAAATATCAAGAATAAATGTCAGAAAGAACACTCGATTTTATTGATTAAAGAAATTAAGTTAGAAAACTTGTGACATGGCCATGGAATTTTGTATTTGGTTTATAAAGTTTCTAAACTGTACAACATATTTATAATTTCACTGCCAGAACAATATTTGCAGCTTCAAGTATAATACCATTTTTAAGTATAACTCTCATTATCAAATTAGCCACCTACAATACTCATCAATTTGCTTATGCTGAAAATTCTGTTCGTCTAACAAGATATAGAAATTATCATGATGACATTATCTGATATTATTCAAACATATTCAACCAAAATCATAATCATAATTATTCTACTTTTCCAATATTAATAAACATAGACATATTTCCTAAAATATCAAAAATCAACTATTATTCTTTTAATCATTCAGCAATAATCTAAATTATTATATTTTGTTGTTTTCATCTCTAAAAAATATTACATTTGAATTTATCTAATTAATTTTAGTATCAATCAAAATTTACCAATTATTGATCATTCATCAAATCTAAATTATTGACTCCAAAATTTATTATTTTTGCTTCTTATCATTATTTTTTCAAATTCATTTCTTCTTAATAAAAAAAATACATAAGAATTGCTTTATATTTTCATCTTTTATTTAAAGATGTATATTATTTGTAAAACTGATATAATTAATTACTCATTTACTTTTATATTAAAATTATACTACTTTCTATAAAATTCATTTTAAAATTATGCTTTTGATTTAAATTAACTAACACTAATTATATCTAAATCTTCCTATTCTTCTTTTAATTTCTTAATTAATCATTTCAAAATAAACACTTAAAAAATAAGATAATAAAAACCTAAAACTTGAATTTACATAAAATAATTTTTCCTAAACTTTTTTTACAAAATAATTTTTAAGACTGTTCTTATTATCATTACATATATGATTATAATGAAATATAAATAATAGTTAATTTAGTTTCATAAATATTATATTATAGTTAATGAGTAAAAGAATATTTTGTTAGAAAGACTGATTTTCATCATTCTCAATTAACGTTTCTTAGTTTTATTTTGGCTCCAAAATTTTTTTAAGTTAAACAACCCATTAATTTTTATTAGTTTTAGATGAGATTTTAAACAATTATAATATAATTAGATATGTTATCTATTTTAATAATTAAAAGATAAATCTACTTACTTAAAATATTTATTATTGTATAGAACAAAAAGGAAAAAAAATCAACATTGTTACTTTGAAAATGATTTATATATGTAGTTTGAAAAATCAAAAGAATCAAATAATATTAGAAAAACAGAAAATCATACTTCCATTTCTAATTCCTAAGCTTTTTACTTCATTCTAATATTATATTAATCAAGAGGAAGATTAAAATTAATTATTTTAATTCAAAAAAAAAAGTCAATTTATATAATGGAAGTTTTATAACATATTCTAAAAACATAAGGAACTGGTGTTTCAATAATAGATTTGGAATTTAAGTATAATTTTAATAGTATATTAGATCAATTGAAAATTTAGAGGAATTATTACCATAATTAGCGAATTTCAGCAATTTAAAAGAAGTAAAATCTAAATGAGTTAGTTAGCTTAATTTACATGGAAATCGTTTGGCTTACTTACCAGATGATTTAAGTTTATTGGATACTGTTGAAGTACTTGATATCTCAAATAATATATTCTCTGATGTATACTCTACATAGGAATTATATAGTTAAGCCAAGTTGTAGATGCATTATCAACAATGCCTAATTTGATACATCTTGAAATTACCTTACAATCAAAAGAAGAAGAACAATTCATTTTAGAATGCCTAACTAATCTTTAAATTTTGAATTCTCAAAAAATAAATGGAGATTAAGAAGAACCTGATGAAACTTTAGAATAGTAAAGTGAGCAATAATCTGAGAGATCTATAAGTGCTGTTTAAGATATTACACTCTAATAATATGATCTAGAATAAATGGCTGTATTTTTGATTAATATTTTAGATATTATATGATAGTATTAGAGAATATAAGAAGGATGAGCAAGAAGATAAATAATTTGATTAATAAATAAGAACAATTATGCTTGATTTATAATCAAAGCTTAAATAAAATAATCCTGATCATCTTACTAATCTTTTTATTTTAACAGTAATTTTTCTCTTTATTTTAGGCAAAATTTAATTTATATGAAATTTGTTTTAAATCAATCATGAAACATTTTAAAGTTAATGACAAGAAATTAGATGTCATAATTACTAAAATTCATGATATGCATTTGCAAATTTTTAATGATATGTCAAATGTGATTTAAAATCACAAATCTCAATCTAAAAATACATCATAAGTTATAGAAAATAAAAAATAAGTAAATCAAATTCAATAAGGAGATAAAGCAGTTGAAAATAGATTAAGATAAGAATTATCTGAACTTTAATAATAAAATGCTGAATTAGAAAAAGAAAATAAAAGATATTTAGATTTATTAATTAAACATTCAAAAGGTGATAGGTCTTCATTACCTAATTCAGAACATTTAATAAAATAAAATGATTCTTATCAATCTTAAAATTATACAAAAAATCATTAATCATCAACAATTCAATAAAATAATGCCATTTTTTAATCAAAATAATCCTAGAATATAACATCAGTCCCTCAATAAATAAATGTTAGACATTTGACATTGAAACAATTAAAGGATGTTATTAATGAAATTTATGAAAGTAAACAGAAATTCGATTAGAAGTGTGCAGAATCTAAATTACCTAGAGAAACTATGGAATAACATATGTATACATTTCTAAATCAGAAATATGGACTTAAGAGTCTTATTATAGAATGGGCTACATCTATAATAAATGCATTGAAAAAATATTCTGCAGAAGATAATGATGTAGCTGTATTTGGAAAAATCTTAAGAAATGAATGTGATGAAGAATTTCGCTTTGTTTAAACATAAGTCAAAAATACTATGCAAGAGTTATTAAAGGTATTTTTTCATCATATCAAAAGATGTACCTTAGAGGAAAGTTTCCTTTGAAGCACCAAGCAGAAATTAAGGAAATGCTCAATTAAAGAATAAATGGACAACTTTATGAAGAAGAAGCTGTAGATATTATCAAATATATGTATAATTAAGAAGATTCTGAATTACTCCTTAATAAATTAAAATAATACTATATAGTACCTCAAAAAAATCCAGATAGAAGATTAACTAGGGAAGAACAATTATCCTTACTTTAAGAAAGAGATAAATATAAATTAGAATATTCTGTCTTTTAGAAAATTATATTAGACTTCTAATTAAAATCTCATGAGAAATATTTGAAGAAATTTATTGTAACTTTTAAGTAAATGGACACAGATGCCAATGGAATTATTGATGAAGTAAATATAATATCAACTTAATTAGAATGAATTTCGAAATTTGATTGAAGTCTTAAATTTTGGAGCCGAAGATCTTGATATCTAAAAATATCTGAATATCATTGATCCTTATAGCCATTAATAAATAACATTTTCATAATGTGTGACTTTGTTCTCATCAGAATCTGTACCTGGCTCTAATGGATAAATTCAAATACTATAAAAAATATCAGAATAATGATTTTTATTAAGCTTTATGATTATTGAATACAACTTTGAAATATAATTTTATAGTTAATAATAATAAGTAAATAAATAAGGATAAATTATATAATTTAAACTTATACAATTATAATTTTTTTGTTAAATTTATCATAGAGTATGAGAGATGTAACTAAAACTTAATTTATTCTAACTTTTCATAAATTATTTTACAACAAGAACTTTATAGCTTCTATATTGAGAGTTTTCAATCAAAGTTAAACTCTAAGAAAAAAAATATAAATTAGATTACATAATTTATTCATTTTAATTATATAGACATAAAAATATTAAATAGGTTTGTTTAAAACTCTCATATTTTGTTATTAGTTTGATCTTATAAAATATATCTTATTAGATTGCTATGTGAGACTCCAGTTCCAATAGTAGATAGTTCTTTAGTTTTATATCTCATCATAACTGTTTTATTTATTTTACTCGATGAATTGTAAAGGGAAAAATCAGAAATAGGAGCAACTATATGCTTCTTAAACCCAAAAAATGAATAAAATGTTAATTTGAATTCCCCATTTGGTAAAAACCATAAACTTTTTGGTATTTTTTAACCCATTCTTTAAGTTACGAATAGACCAAGTGTAGAAGTAAGTCCAAATAATACAGCAACCACTTTTAATTTCTTAATTTTAGATTCTATTTGATCTTATTTTCTAATTTATATTTTGATATTACATTTCATAATATTTCTGAGTTTTATCAACTTTTTCTAAATCAATCAACAATTATTAGTACTTTTATTATCCAATAATTCCCATATATCCAAGACCAAATATTGTGTAAAATATTACCTAATATCTTGAGCCTAATAATAATAATTTTGTAAGTTTTCCAATTTCATAAAGGTGAATTGGCTTATTCTCAGCTATTTTCAATAAGGATTAATATGATTTTGGATCCAATTTCTCAGTCTCACGTAAAAATTTAATCACTTATTCTGAATTATTTAATGCCATATTTAATTCAAATTAAAATTATCAATTGCATCTAATAGAAATAATAATACAAAAATATTTATTTTGGAATGAAATAACTGTTTATGTGATTTTTAATTAAACATAACATTGTAAAAAGTGTCTTTTCATTTAATAAGGGATTGGATTATTCTTTTAAATATCTTTAACCCAAATAATTTTAATATTATGATGATTTGGATAAAAAATCATTTTCAATTAAATTTGATTTTGCTGTTAAAGATTACAAAAAATCCTTTAAAAATATAAAGTAAATCAAAATTTATTTAGAAAAACATTTCTTAATTAATAAGATCTTATTTTTCTTAAATAGATAAATAGGATTTTAGAGTTAAATTAAAATGATTTGATAAAGAATAATAACAATGAATAATTTTATTCAAAATGAATCAATAAGTTATGTAAATTATTGTATCTTAAATATTATAAGTTTAGTAATCAAATTCATATGACCAATCGAATGAAAAAATATGCTAAGATAGAAATATCATTTTTACTATATATATTTAAATTGGTTGTATAATTTTTCAAGGAAATAGAAACGATACAATTGTAACAATAGAAACCAAAAAACCGTAAAGAAAATAATGAATTGATAAATGAGTGGTTTTTAAAAATGTATTAAATGTATTGAAAAACGGATTATAAATAAAATTATGTTAAAACAATTGCTATTGGCATGGCTGTTGGTCAGCATGTCTTTACAGTTTAAAACATCTGCTAGAATGCAGATTACTCCACTAGAATCAATTTTATCAATAGATCCATCAAGTTGGACATGTGAGAACCCAGGTTACAAAGAATAGTTGGGAGCATAACATGATATAGATCAATGGATTGACATTATAAAACACAAAGATGGATTTGATGGTGATTTATAAGTATTAGCAATGGTGAAAGCTCTTGTTGATAGAGTATTATTGACAGTTTAGCATATATAAGATGGATCATTTATTTAACTAAAATAGTTGCATCATCAAATATCTAAACATTTTAAATCATTGTCTTAGATAGAGGCAAATTCAAGTTGGTATGATATAAATGATATTTTGGGATATTTGGAAGTATTGAATAAAGCAAAAAGTAATAATAGTTATGAATTTTTTAGGTGATGAAGACAAGTTATAACTTGCTTAAACTATTGCTATAAAGATATCTGAGTTGATTTAATAGATAACAGAGATCTAATTATAATTAAATACAATCCCAGTTGAAATTGATTAATTATATGATCTTGCAACAAGAGTGAATGAGAAGACTTCTTAATGTAAAGATTAATGGGCATCTTAATTGGAAGCTGATGCTAGAGCAGAAGAGGAAGAAAGAAGAAAAGAATAAGAAGAAGAGGAAGCAAGATAGAGAGCAGAATAAGAGGCAAGAGAGGCAGCAGAAGCAGCAGCAGAAGAGGAAAGAAGAAAAGAAGAGGAAGCCAGAGAATTAGAAGAATTAAAAAATAGAGTAGATATTACTCCTGAAGAAGCTGAATTATTAGAATAAGAAGCTGAAAAAGAATTGGAATTAGCAGAAGAATTAGAATAAGAGGCAGAATAAGAATTAGATGCAGCAAAATAAGCAGAATAAGAAGCTGAGACAGAAGCTGAAAGAGATGCAAGAGAGGCATAAGAAGCAGCTGATAGAGCAGCAGCATCATAATAAGCTTTAGAAGATGCTTAAAATAGAGAAGAAGAAGCTTGTTTAGATGCAGATGAAGCTTAAAGAAGATTGAAGGAAGCTTTAGAAGCTGCTGAAGAAGCAAAAAAAAGAGCAGAAGAAGCATAGAGATTAGCTGATGAAGCTTAAAAAGCTAAGGAATGTGAACCAGTACCTGAACCAATATCAGAAGAGGAAGAAGAAGAAGAAGAGGAATTTACCTGGGAATCAGAAGAAGAAGATGGATGTGGAGATGATGTATTAGAAGATTTAATTGATACATTAATTGATGCAGCTACAGGACCTAGTGCTTATTAACCAAGTTGTGGATATCCAGGATGTTAAGAATAACCTATTATTATTATTGTTGAAGATGATGAGGATGAACCTAAACCATAACCATAACCAGAACCTTAACCAGAACCAGAACCAGAACCTTAACCTGAACCAGAAGAAGAACCAGTTGAAGAAATTGTTGAAGAAGAACCAGAAGAAGAAGTAGAAGTTGAACCAACACCTGATGATGATAAAGTTGTTGAAGAAGAAGAAACTGTTTATGAAGAAATTGTAGAAGAGATAGTAGAAGAAATTGTAGAAGAAATTTTTGAAGAAATAGAAGATGATGATGATTTTGGTAGATTAGAATTTGATGAGCCATTAGAATAAATTGTTTATACTTTAGATGAAAAAACTGATAGTGTTGTTACTTAAGAAACATCACCATGGGAAAAAGATGTTGAAGATGGACCTGATAGTAAAATTAAAAAATCAGTTGAATATAGTTATGGTTTGTGGACATACTTTAGATATAATGGAAAAGTTAAGATTTCTGAAAAGAAAGAAGTCTTAGCAGTTGGAGGAATTAGTGGAGATGATACAAATAGATTACTTACAACTATTGGAGAAGGATTCTATAATTTCTAAGTATTTGAAGGAGATGTTGTTACTGAATTATAATTAGATTATGGAAAGTATTTAGATGCTGAATGGATTTATGTTTATTTCGGATATAAAGAAGGTAAAGCTAATGGTTATATCTATTGGGGTAGAACTTAAGTGATTAAAACTGTTACTTTCACTGTTACTTAACCAGCTATTGTTAAAACTATTAGATTTTAATCAGGAATTTGGAGTGGATTCAAAGGATTCAATGGAGTCATCACTAATGTTAGAGTTGTTTTGAATAAGAATTCCTTTGTAGAGACAGAGGAAGAAATGAAGACACTTATTGAGACTAAATATACAGTACCAACAGATCCTGATTTGGAATATAAGGAGGAATAACATTATGACAAGGTTGAATATGATGGATTAGTCACAGAACCTAAATTCCATTGGGATTTGAATGGATATAGAGAATACTCAGTATCTACTTGGTTTAGATATGTCAGAAGAACTGAAAAAGCTCATTAAGTTATATTTAGATTCACATCAAATGAACCAGATTCAGGAGACGTTGCTCATGGAGAAAAGGTACTTTCTTTATGGTAAACTGAATAAAATGAATATGAATTCTCTACTTATACAGTTGAAGAGAAAGATAAGTTTAGTGACATTGTTGAAACAGTTACTATTGCTTAAGAATCACAATAATTATGGACATATGCATATTTTGGATACAATAATGGAGATTTCTAATATTATATTGAATGGCCTGAAAGCAAAGCTGAAAAATAATTCAAAGGATGGCATGTTGTTGCTAAATATTGGGCATTGTATTTGGGATAAGGATTAAAGTATTTCTTCCATGGTAAGACAGCATATACAACAATCAGATTTGGAAAAGGAGCTTGGGGACATGCTACTGATTTTGATGATTATAAGATTGGTAAGATTAAATTATGGCCAGGAGTTTAATTAAAGACATATGAAGCAAAATGGATGAATCACAAAACAGAATCTGAATATGACACATTACTTCATGATGAACCAGATTGGGTTACAGATGGTGTTTATGAATATGGTTTCGGTATGTGGACTAAATTCTTTATCACAAATCCTTCTAGAATTTATGAAAAACCTGAACGTATTTTGGTTGGAAGATTAGGATTCACAGATTAAGATGAGGCTGAATTTGCTGTATATATTGGAAAAGGAAACTATGAATTCTGGGCTAGTTCATCAAGACCTGTAAATTATGGAAAGAATTTAGATGGTTATTGGAATTACATTTATTTCAGTTATTCAAAATTGAAATAAATAGCAGTTGGTTATGTTAATTTTAATAAATTGAAGTAAGTATAAAGAACAGTATTTGATCCATTTGATGCTGATCCTGCTAATAATTATGTACGTTTTTATGTTGGATAATGGAAATCATCAAGTGTTTATGGATTTAATGGAAGAATTGCTCATGCAGTTGTTAGATTTGGAAGAGGCTCATTTATAAATGAAATTGATGAATATGAAACATGGATTGAATAATACAAAGTTCCAGTTGATGAAGAATTAGGAACTAAAGATTATGAGATTTAAGGTGGTGATAATAAGGATACTGAAAGTTATGAGACTTTTGTTTATGAAGATGGAGCAACAGAAACTCAATAATATTCAGTTTATGGATGGTTCAAATATTATGGTAGTTTAGATGATACTGAAGCTCAAACAGTTATTAGATTAACTAATAATGAAGTAGGATTTTTAAAAGATGCTGATTTGTTAGGAGATAGAACCTTATCAGTAGTTCAAAAAGGTGGAGATATGGAATTCGGAACATACGATATAGGTTTTATTGATAGTGAATTTACAGTGAATAGAAATGCAAATATAGCATTAGGAGAATACAGAGGAATTTGGATGTATATTTGGGTAGGATATTCAAGATAAGATGAATATGCAGGTTGGTTCTTAGGTTTCCCAGATATTAGCAAAGGAGGTCTATTAAAGAAAGTATTGCATTTTTCACCAAAATACTTAGCTGTATATTTTGGTAAAGATGGAATAAATAAGAACTTTATTGGAAAATCAAGACATGTTCATGCTTGTTATGGTAGTACATAATGTTGGCATTATGTTGATAAGGTAGAAGTAGAAGTAGATTTACCTGCTTGGATTCCATATAAATTGAATAATTATTTTGAATTCTTTGTATAAAATGATAATGATGCTTTGATTGTTGCAAAAGATGATTAACCAGCATTAGATGTTGAATTTACAGAGAGTAATTTCCCAGGATCTGATATTGAAGCTATATATGAATATGGTATAGGTTTATGGACAAGATGGTTGATGAATTATCCATTTATATTATTGGAGAAAGCAGAGTCCCATTCAATTTTCAGATTCACTACAAATGCTTAATATGAAGATGCCTAAAAGAATGGAGATAGAACAGTATCAGCATTTGTTGGAAGAGGTGAATATAAATTTAGTACATATGATGCTGTACTTGATAAGAATGAAATAACAACAGGAACTAAATTTGATAAAGAATTAGAAGGATATTGGAATTTCATCTATTTCTGTTATAAGAGAATGCCAACAGGACCAAAAGGTATTGGATATGTGTATATTACTCATTAAAATGTTGTTAAGAGAGTAGAAATTGATAGTGCCAAACATTGGTTATTAAGAGATTATGCTAGACTTGTGATTGGAAAGAAAGAATTTGGACATTCAGCATTTTAAGGAAAATTGTTTGATCCAAGAGCATTCTTAGGCAAGGACAGTTATATTGATTCAAGTGAAGATTTATTGAATGTTGTTGTTCCTAAATTCAGACCTTATCCACCATATAAAGATAAATAAGATAATGAACCAGTTTAAGTAGAAAAGGCTAAGATGACTTAAAGAGTATTTAAATCTTATGAGGAGAAATATAGTGGAGTATTTGAATATAGTGTTTATGGATTTGCCAAAGGAAATAAATTAAAGAATGTTACTGATTGGACTTCTCTTGTTAGAGTTACTTAGAATACTCCTGATATATAGGCTGATAATGATAATGCAGGAGATAGAACACTTTCCATCTTTATAGATAAAGGTGTTTGGTATTTTAGTACTTATGATTATGGAGATATTGAAACTGCAGATGATGATTAAGGATCAAGTATATTATTAATATATTTTTAGTTGATAAAAAGTTCGATATAGGTAAATATTGGGGTAAATGGACATACTTCTACTTTGGTTACTCTTTCCATCTTAAATAAGCTTATGCATATATTAGATAGATTGACTAAACATCTAATTCATATCTCTTTGAAGATATCTATCATTTTGTTCCAAATTATTTAAGTGTTTTCTTCTCTGAGGATGGATATGGAAAATAATTTGATGTATTTATTTATCCTATATCTTAAAGGGTGAAGCTTTTGATTGGTATTTGGGTATTGGCGATGGAGCCTTTACTACCTCTCCAGAACCAAGAGAATGGCCAGTTGATCCTGCACCTCCTCCAGATAGAATCCTATCTGCCCTTTTAGCTAATCAAGGATTTAACTCAGGAAGAATTGTTAAAGGCACATAAACATTCTTCTTATAATAATATCAATCCCCTAACTAAAACCAAGAAGAATAACAATGATATATAAAATCATAAATAAAACTTATGGCAATTTATTTTCCTTAAGAGTAGGATCGAATCAATAAGAAAGCTGAACAAACTAAACTAAAAATTCTTCAGATGAGACAAATTGCACAAGAGTAATTCGGAATTGTCTTTCCCAACTCCAATCCTTTTGAAATTAAAAATTAAGAGAGACATGATTCTATTCAAGAACTTGATGATAATTTAAGAATGTACAAAAAGATTCAAAAAAACGATGACAGAGTATTCATTGATTTTCAGAAACAAAATCAGTATATGTTTGATCAAAATTCTTTTAAAACGTTACAACTCATCAAAACTCAAAAACAAGTCAGCGAAGAAAAAATAGAAACATCTTGCCAATCATATTAATTGCTAGTTAATCGATCACTTAAATCTGTCTTATCTCAGCGTTTTGATAAATAAACCAATGTTACCAAAAAATATTCACCAAGAACAACTTTCTAAAAAGATCGTTCTTGCACTGTTAGAGCAAGGACCATTACACTTACTAAGAGAAAAACTATGAATCCATAAAAAGTTGAATTCGAAGGACTTGTTAATGAACAAAGAAAATTATTACAAACATCACATCTCAAAAGGTATCACAAGGATAAATTACAATAAGACTTTTAAAACATACTAGCAGAATTAAATAATATTAAAATCAATAAAGAAGAATCTATAATTGAAAAATATAAAAAAAAATACTTATTTTGAAATTTCTATTTGGCATTTATCCAATCCAATTTATTTTTTTAATTTCATTTTGATTTTCTTATTCCAACACTTCACAATCCATTTTACATTTTTATTAATATAAATCATTAATTCAATATTTCAATTTTTATTTATAACTACTTATATTTAAATATCTTTTTAGAAAATAATTGATCCTTAATTTCTTCTAAATTTTCAATAAGTTAGATTGCAATAAATAGTTAAGGTATTTTGCAAATTATTATCTTTTATTTCTATCTAATTTCAGCATGAAAACTTATATTTTAAGTGTATTAAATATAAAAAACTAAAACTAAAAAATTATTAATTCTACTTTGATCTATAAATTAATATTATATCTAAAGAAGTATAAATTTTAAATTAGTTATTAATTTAAAGATTCCAACTTACAAAAAACATTAATAATAAAATAATATTATTTATACTGCCTTCTTGAATAATTATAAGATACACAAGCTAGCTAAAATTTGGTTCTGTCTTATTGATAATAAATTGGGATTCTCAAAAATCAGGAAAATAGAAAATTGATTGCAACTCCATAAGATAATTAAATTCAAATTATTAATATTTGTAATTTTTAAAGTCATTTTAACATTTTGTTAAATAGAAATTTTTCGATCCATATTTTGATTCTAAGTTCTCTTGAATTTCAACAGAATGATAGTCTCTAAATGCAAATTATTAATAATAATAATCAGAAGCATTTTTTGAGATTCTGGTTTTGTAAAATGATATACAAAATTAAATTTAACTATTCTTTAATATATTCCAACCCTAAATTTGAAATTTAATTATGAAAAAGAGCATGAGCAATAAAGTCTTGAGGTCAGTATTGAATATTCAACAAATAAACTCATAAATATCACAATGAAATAGAAACTGTATTTAAAGCATTAAATTAAATTTATTAGATGGTAAAACATTATAGCGATTTCATTTAAATTCAAGGAATTGAGATGAGTAATAAATATTTATAGATAAAAGACAAATCTTCTTATATCAAGTGTTTTTTAGAAGGGAATTTAATTATTGTTAATATTTTAGCGATATATTTTTATGAAGATAATGAATAATTGAAATACTATCAATTGATGTCCATATACAACTATCCATTTCTAAGTAGAATGCTAAAATCATTGAAAAACCAAATGGTTTATTTTGAATAACTATTAACATATTTTTATCAGGAAAAATTTATTTATTTCTTTTAAAAACTTGGGCATTAATATCTAAGATTTATTACTTGATTTCAATCAAAGAATTTTGAGAAAGAAAGGTTTTTGATTGAGAAAATTAATTTAAAAAAATAATAAAATATGTCCTTTTCTTCTATATGTTATGATATTTTACCATGATTGTAAAAAATCAAATTGCCTTGGCCTGAATTTATCAAAAGAGGTTGTTCTGGAATTTAGATGGTGTAATATTCATTAATTTAAATTTTATTAAAATGAAAATATAGATTTTAGTTAGATAAATTTAAAGTTGATAATTTTATAAAATTTATTATGTTAACCAGTGAATAGTTTAAGTTATTATTCTATAAAATTTTTTCAATAATTCTTAATAAAATAGATTTTGAGTAAAAATATGATCCAATAAAAATTATTATAAAACTCAACATAGGAAAAACATGATCATAGATAATTAAAATATAATTTGTTGAATCAGATTGATGGGTAACTCACAATAATCTCCTAAATGTATATGCAAAAATGAACATCTAATCAGTATCTATATTTATAAATTATCCTTAGATATTTTGCCACAAAAATAGCTGATTGAGGAAACTTTTGAAGAAAGTTTGATTTTCGAAAGTGAAGAATAAAGGTCTCCATTTCCAGAAGAACTTATATCTTCTTCAAAAAAAGAAATAAGAAAGGTTTCTGATATGACAGAAATAGATTAAGTAAAAACAAGAGGTATAATATTTCAAACTTATAAGTTAGGAATGAATGTAATATTATATGAAAACGAATTGCCTTAAACTTTTGAACTATTAAATTAGACTCCTATAATAAAAGCAGAAAAAATAAGAGAATTATTGTGTTCTTATGAATCTCCGTCTGGCCATAAAGCTTAAGCATTAGGCAGTTAACCAATAGTTTAATTTCTTAAATGCAATAATGAAAGACTTACTTATTAAGGTTAATGGTTAAGGTAATAAAGAGATGGTTTTGGATTATGTTTTTATTAAAATGGATCAATATATATTGGTAATTGGGTCAACGATTAGAAAGATGGTCATGGAAGAATGATTTTTGAAAATAATGATAATTATACAGGATATTGGAAATAAGGATAGTATCATGGATTTGGAACATTTATAAGTTCTGAGATTTTTTATGAAGGAAATTGGGATGATGGAGAAAAAGTATTTAAACTATTTAAATTAGAATGGTTAAGGATTAGAAATTAGGATCAATAAATCTTAATATGAAGGGATGTTTAAAAAAGGAAAGAAAAATGGATTTGGAATAATTAAATATCTTGATAATTAATGGTATAAAGGGGAATTTATAGATGGGTAATATGAAGGATAAGGTGAATATCATTGGAATGATGGAAGTCATTACATTGGAGAATGGAAATGTAATAAGATGCATGGAATTGGAGTGTTTACAAATAAAGCCAATGATATTTATAAAGGTATAATCTTAATTCTAATTTTAGGATCTTTTGCGAATGATAAGAAGAATGGAATAGGAATGTTCAAATGGAGTAATGGAACATTTTTAAAAGGAATATGGATGAATGGATAGTTAGATGGTTAAGCCACAATAACTAAGCCAACTGGAGAATCAATTATTTTAAATTATAAAAATGGATAAAAACTTTGAATGATTATACTGATAATTAGTAATTTTCTTATTTGCATATATACTTATCATTTAAATACATATATAAATCATTATTGGATTTGATTTTATTTAAATTCATAGCCACAATTATTTTAAAACCCTGATTAAACTTTCTTTTTATTTTTTATTTTTCTATAAAAACAAACTAATTAAGAATAAGCTATATCTCTTTCAATTTACATCACCTTAATCTTTAAAGATTCCTTAAATGCATTAAATAGTTTGAAAAGAAACAGTTCTCCAGTACTTTTCCTTTTCAGAACAAGTATTAAAGTATAATTTGATATTGTAAAATAAAAATAATAACAAAAATATATTTAATTTTCTAAATGTATCTTTTAATTTTTATTTAATCCTGAAAAGGAATATAAAGAAGTATCTAATTAATCTCGAATCTATGTTCATTTCAAAATATATTGAAATATTAGATGATATTATTTGACTCTAAACTAATCAGAGTTATTAAAAATAAATTTCAATAAATTATTAAAAAACACCTCCAGATAAAAAATTTTAATATTTACACTTAACTAAGCCTAAGGAATAATTAATCTTGGAAATACTTAAATGTGATTGCATTTTTAATAAGAATGAATCTAAATAAACATCCTTTTGAATTCTAAATTATTATTAGATTTAAGAATAAAAGTAAGCTATAGAAAACAAAATAATTTTGAATTTAAAAGGAATTTAGAAATTGAATAAATTTGATGAAGTGAAATATTTAAATGAATTTAACTTCCTTACTCTTGGAATCTGTAAATATTAAATTCAAAATGTAAATAATGAGTTTTAATATTCTGTTAATTAAATAGTAAATCAATTTAAAATTTTAAAACCTACTAAGAATTCATAAACCTTATTTCTTTTTTGTATTTTTTTGAAAAATGGAAAAAATGAAGAATCCTAATATATTATATGATAGATGAGAGTTTAAACGAGAGTAATAAAAATGCCATTTTCTATGCAACCTGATTATCACATTAATGTAGTTTTTTCGATTTTAAAATTCTTTAAAACGAATTTCTGACATTTAAAAATTGTAATTTGTCTAACTCCTAAAATTTAGTCTTTAAAAATATGATATAACTATTTTATAAAATATTAACTTAGCATAAATAATTTTAGGCACTTCTAATTCAGTATCCTATTTGAAAATCACTAGAAGTTAGAATAGAAATTTATATTAACTTTATATTATTATATATTACTTAAAGGAATCCAGCTATAAATGTATTTTGATTATAATTTTTAAGTCTTTCTCGTATGAATTATACTTAAATGCTTAAATAATAAGATGGAGCATTGAAATTTTCTTCATCATGATTAAAGATAGGAGTATAAAGAAAATTGCAATGAATTACATAGTTTCAAAATTAAATAGTACTCTATTTTTAATAACAAATTTCATTCATTTTAGATATTATTTTTTTTAAAAGTTACACATTCAGCAAATTTATATATTCAAATGTTTATATACTATAATGAATTCTAAAATAAGAATTAAATATTGTTAATGTTTAATGAGAAGTGAATTCCTTTTGTTATAAAAAATTAAATAATTATAATAAGAAAATCATAAAATAATTAATCCAAAGACAATGAAAATACAAACATAAGTTCATTATAGTCCATTGTTATTCGGAACATAGGTGACACCTCCAAAGTCTTGTTTAAACTTTTCTATTAATTTAGGATCCATATTAACAACAGAATTCATAGCCTCTAAAAGTTTTCATTTTTATTAAAATACCTTCTCTAGTGAATTCCTAATCAAAGTTTTGTACATCTAATTTATCATATAATTTAGGAATAATAGGAGCTTAAACTTTTCTATCAATTAGATCCTGGAATGGATAATCTTTAAACCAAGGATGTTCTTTGATTTATTAAGCATCTCGATTATGACCTAATCTTTCAAAAGGATTTTTTGTTAATAACTTTTTTAAAATATAAAATTTACTTAAGTTATGAGATCTTTGACTTGATTACTCAGAGTCAATTGAGATGGAAACACTACATCAGATTCAACAATTGATTTAAATAATTAGGATTAATTTTATGAAAAGAAAGGTGGTCTTCCTACTAACATTTCATAAATTAAAATTCCAAAAGACCACCAATCTACATCAGAACCATGTCCATTTTATCTAATGATTTCTGGAGCTAAATATTCAGGAGTTCCAACAAAAGAATAGGTGAACTCTCCTGGCTTTAAAAATTTAGCTAATCCATAATCAGTCATTTTGACATATCCAAATTCATCCATTAAAATATTTTCAGGTTTCAAATCTCTGTATACAACCTACATTTTATGTAAATATTCTAGAGCTAATAAAATTTAAGCAGCATAAAATTGAGCTGTTTATTCTGTGAATCTTCTTTTATCTCTTAAATGTTTAAACAATTCACCTCCTCTCATGAATCTCATTACAAAAAACAATTTTTCTTGAGTTTAGAATGCATATTCAAGAGAAATTAAAAAAGGATTATCAATTTCTTCTAATAACTTTCTTTCTGCTTTAGTATGTTCCACTTAATTCTTATCCAAAATGTGCTCTTTACGTAATGATTTAATTGCGAATAATTCTTTGCTATCTTTCTTTTCACACATCATAACCTAGATAAAAATAGGGTACAAATATGAGTACTTTTCCAAATGCTCCTCTACCTAACACTTTAATCAAATCAAACTCTTCAATAGAAATAGAAACACTGCTGAATTACTTTTAAAGACCAGGTCTTTTATATATTAATTATTCTTATGGTTTTCTATTACTATATTCTCTAAATTCATTTACATCTAATTCCTAAAAAATTAAATATTAAAATATACTATAGGTTTATCAAGCTATTATCTTTTAATCCCTTTTTTTATATCATTTTCAGTTGTGCAGACAGATACTAATGTAAAATCATCTTTAAAGTAGAATGGCAGTTTTCTTTAATTAGTCATCTAAAAACATTAACATAAGGTTTCTAGGATTTATTTACGACTAATTTTACACAGACTCATTACAAATCACTAGATTAGAAACGATAATCATATTCGCTGGGAACATGGATCACAAATTCGGCTCCAATACTAGTAACACTTACTGCTTAAATGGAAGAAAGCTTGATTTTTCTTTTAATTTTCTGATTTGACATAATTTTTCCTATATAAATGAAATAAACAATAAAAATTACCAAAGATTTACATAATCATGCTTTCAGACTTTGGAACAATGTTGTATACATATTTATTGGTTATTAAGAATATTCTTTCTTATTTTTTTTAATTCTGATTAACTTTGATGATTAAAGTAGACAGCATAATTTTTTCTATTATAATTTGATATATTATGCTACCTCCATTTTCAAATTACTCTAATATTTCTTTATTATTGATAATTTAAGCTCTATCAGTAATTCCACTTACACTCAAAGATGATGAATTCATTATAATATAATTATATATTGTTTATTAATGTTTTCTATAACGTCATTTATTAACGCGCATACTTTAAATGAATTTTTATTTAGCCTGATCTTGAGTAGCAGGATTATTCCTACAATAATCACTGTCCAATCGTTTTTCTATCTTTTTATAAGGTATAGTGACTTGTTCATAATCTTCGATAATAAAAAGTGCTTAATTTAATTCATAACAAGGGAGTACTGCATTAACTATGCCAATAACAACTCCAATAATAGCAAATGAAGAGACATCTTTGCCTTTGGTAAAAGTGTATTAAAACCAGAAATTAGAGAACTAGTATACAATATAATACTTACACAATATATTGGAATCATGTATTCTAAGATTTCTGTCATTTCAATGGATAAGTTAAAACCCAAAGATTATTTAAATGTTCTTCTTCTTAAAAATTAATATTTGAAAACCCAATATAATAAGGTTAATGCGATAATAGAAAATAGAATACCTAAGGGTATAATACTCGCATAGAAAGAAGTCATTAACATAGTTTTTAATATGGCAGCATAACGATCAGAGAGTGTTTCTTCATTATTTTCATATAATCTATAAAATAATGAGAGGAATCTACTTATTTAATTATTCTTAAGTACATAAAGAATATTTTCCTTTTTATTCTTCAGAATATCTGTTATAAACTTTAATCCAATAAGCTGGATCAAGAATAGCAGTAACAGCAGGAATAATCATGTTGGATATAAATACATAAGTTTGGTTATAGATTAAGCCACCATCTTTATAATAGTTTTCATCAAATAATAATGTGAATACAAGCCATGTGACTAAAGCACTATTAACAAATTAAGCAATTCCAGCAGAAGTAGCGATAGATATATGATGACCAGTATTGGTTGAAAATCCCTGGAATGCCGCTATCTTCTTAATACTATAAGATAATAAATAGTTAATAAATATGATGATCACTGAAGCAAGTGAAGCTAATTTCTTAAGAAGTAGGTTCTCTTTCTCTAATAAATCTTATTGCAATTTTGAAATATTAAAAATAGCCCAACTTGTAAAACATAATTATATACCAATTAAAATTACGCTTAAGATTCTATTAAATATTTTTTTATTATTTCCAATATGTAAATTTTACCAACTAATATCTCTAGGTTCAGGTGCTTCATCTACAACTATATTTTAATTATCTAAATATATTTTTGTCTATTCACCAAAATATCTACCCCAACCAGTAGTTCTATTTAAATTAAGAAAAGCTTCTTAATCTGCTTCCCATTAAAAGGTTACAAAAGCAATTCCTACAAATTCTTTTTATTCACTATTCTGATCAAGAAATTAATCAAAATATAACTAAATTTTTTAGTTTACTTCTACTACTTTATTTTCAATATCATTTAATTCATTATCTACATATTATCCCTTTACTTTTTATAATAATCCATCATCTGGTGAATAATTCTCATACATTTTATGTAAATATTTTTATTTTTCCTTTATATGTTATTCTTTCTCTTAATTCAATTCCTGATATTTAGAAATATCATAACATAAAGTTATAGAATGAATTCTTGGAGGAATTACATATTTTTTTTAAACATTCTTTCTGTTCATCTATATCTTCATCTTCTATTCTATATACTTTAATACTTTTGGATCATAAGGCACGTCTAATTAAATATCAAATATTCATACTTACATTTATCCAAAAATTCATTCAATACATTAATAAGTCTTTCTTTAATTTAACCAGCATTCTCTGTTGGAATATGACTTAATTTGACTCCAAAATCAGATGGAGTAGTTGTATGAAAATCACAATCTCTAAGAATTGTTCTCTATTAAATTCTTATATACTATAACAATATTATGATTATGAAGATTGAGACTAAGTTTAACATCTATTGTAAATTCATCAATGATGAATCTAAACGCTTATTTGCTAATGATGATTAAGTTATATAATTCAAATCACAATTATCTCTTGTATTTGAATCATCCAAATCCTTCTAACAACTTGTACCAAATGCTATATTTGTTATTAAATTATAATCCCCAGACGTACAAAACATTATCACCAATATTGTAATACATTATTTAATGAAATCGAAAAACAATGGTACTCCTGTTCCCAGAAATGATAATTTCAACGGATTTACTTTTATAGACAATGCACTCTTCTCTGTCCATTATAAACAACAAGGACATCTTGCCTCTTATAAATTTGCTATTTCTTCTTATGAAATATCTCTGCCAACTGCACTTGCTTTCTCATATTCATTTAACTCTTTACTTAATGTAGACTTGCTAACTCAAAGTTTGGAGGTATACAATCTGCATCAAATTTCATTTATTCATCTCTATTATTATTCCCTGCCATTATAGTTCTCATTAAAAAATCATAACTCATTATAGCTAATGTAAATTGATTAATATAATGTATAAATAAGTAGAAATCAAAATAAATCATATACTTATTGCATATTTCACAATTAATAATCAAATTCAAATTTCGAGATCCGTCAAATTAATTATAACTTCCCCTTATTGTTAACTTTAAAGTTACTTTATGTCAATCATATCTTATTTTACATTTTTATGCTAATTTTTCTTATGTCTTGATAAACTTGAAGGATGATTGAATCTCTTATTACATTTTGAACAATAAAAATACTTTTAAGTATTATTTTTCTATTTATTTTTTTACTTTTTTTTTATTTTCTATTTAAAACATTCCTCTAATTCCAATAATTACAATTACTAATCTATATTTTATTCCTCTTTCAAATTTCCAATTTATTATTGATTTTATAATATTTAACTTTTTAATTATTCTATGTGTTCATTTATACTATCAATATTCACATTCTAAAAATCAACTATCTTCAAAAATTCCTTCAAAAATATTGCTGATGCTAATTAAAATTATTCCATTTATTATTATTTTGTATTTCAAAAATGAAATCTATAAGTAACAAATTAAAACAATCCCAAAAATTTATTAAAATTAAGGCTAACATTATATTATTTATCTATTTAGCTTGTAATTATTTGTTTCTTTATTTATATAATATATACACATTCTTTCAGTAAATTATTTATATTTAAAAATACTTCAATATCAAACGATTAAAACATTAATTGAATTCATACTTATTTATCCTATAAAATCTTAAATATCTAAATATTTTATTTATTTATTAATAGTAAAAATTGTTACCTCTAAAATTCATATAAAAAATAATTAACAATTTAATTATAAATACATGTTAAAAAGTATTTACAATATAATTTCTTTATAATCAATATTTAAAGTGCAATCTAACTCTATTTATTTAAATCAAATGGCTAATTATTAATATTTTATAAATTGCCTTTAAATTAGTCTAACTATTAAGAATTTTTATTGAATAATAATTAAGATTATGAATATTTTTACTCTTAATTTCAAAGTATCCACTTTAGAAAAAGATTTTAGAGATTCAAAACAATGCCTTTTCAGCATGATTCTGAAACATTAAAAATGGATTTTTGGATTGATTAATATTATATCAATAGTTAGCAGTCTTGTTTCTAAGAATTGGGTTATAGCATCTATAAACATGTGTACATTAATTGTTATATTGATGTCAATTAAATTTAAGCAAAAATATCCCTACATCTATGAGGTGGTAATTATACTATTTTTGTTAATATATAATACATACCTTGCAATGGAGAAATATATAAATTAGATTGATACACATTATACTGAAGGTTTCTTTGTTTCTTTATCATGCGTAAGGTATTATATAATTCATAATTTATAGTTCATTAGCTCTGTTAAGTTTTGTAGAGAGAACAGCTATGATAATTATAATCGTAATTTTACATTTAATATTTGGTATTGATCATGATAAATTATTTTTGGACACTTATTTTAGATATTTGATGTATGCCTTATTTTTCTTATAATTCACATATCATTTTGAGAAATTAATGAGAATTTAATTCATTGAGTTCAAAAAATTATAACAACAACTAAACTAAATTACTAAATTTTATGATATTTAAAGCTATTATATATAATATGATGAAAGGAAATCTTTAATCTTAATTCAAAAAAATAATAAAACCAATATAAAAAAAGAAGATTAAGATCAATTCAATAAATTAGCATCTTAAATGCATTTATCAATTAAAAGTTATAAGAGTCGAATTACTGAGGTAATCAATATGGATAATGCTTTTTCACCAAATCGTTAAACTTTAAAGTAACTTTTATTAAAAACTGCGAAACAATAAAATGATCATTATGATACTCCATTGAGGACTAAAAATGAATCTTTTTCATATGGATTCTATAAATAATAAGTGTTCACGCTTTGTGTCTATTTATGTTTTGATTTTTAACCTTTAATGATAATTTTAATGAAAGAAAGCAAATCAGAAACTCAAGAAGAAGAACTTAAGTTAAGAATGCGAAATAACCAAAAACAATTTAATTATTTATAAAAAATCTTTGATTCATAAATTAAAAAATCTATTATCTATTTCAAATGGATTAAGAATTATGCTGATAAACAAACAGATATTAAAGCTATAAATTCAGTTTTAAGAACTATAAATAATTGTTTGATTAAAGGTTACACTGATTTTCTAAATTTGGAAAATTTCAATTAAATTTACACTATCTCACCAAGACTTAATTCATTTGATATTTAAATACTATTAAAGGATTTAATAAGTATTTGTAATGGATATTTTAGATCATAAAGCGATTCTTTAGCTAATGTATTTTTTTATGAAATAAAAAATAACTTAAGCAGCAATTTAATTGTATCAGATTTCAAATATGTAAAATTATTATTTTTAAATCTACTATTTTATACATCTTAATCTTCTTAAACAGTGATTATTGAATTAGAGGAAATTAAATCAAAATTGCTTAAATAACCAATAATAAAAATAAGAATTGTATATCAACATCCTTATAAAATATAATAATAATTATAGAATCTACCAATACTGAACCCATAATCATTGGCAGACTTAAAATATAATAGTTAAGTTCCTTTAGATTTATAATTATCAGTTTCATTGATGTTAATAAGAAGGTTGGGTCCATTTGATAAACTTAAGATTATTGAGTAAAATGAAAGATCAAATTATCTTGAATTTTATTTGTTCAAATAGCTTACAGAGGATTTTCTGTTGATGCCTATTGTTTCATTAAAACCATCTGATAAGATTATAACACAATAAGATTCACTATTAATGAAATCTTTTTCAACAGAATTGCGTTTGGATTCCGTTTAAAATAGCATTTTACTTTAATGATTTATTATTTATAAATTATATATTTTATTAAATAAAAACTTTTTGAAATGAATTAGTAAAAACCTTTTCTTTCATTTAATCTAAGCTTTGAAATTCTTATTTTCTTATTTAATTCTCCTAATTTAGGATTCTTAAAATTTTTCTTGTTTTTTAGCTCTTTCTAATATTTCCATATCAGGTTGAAATTCTTAAAATAAATTTCCACTTTTATTAAGATCACTTTTTTCTAATAAATTATTGGTAGCTCTAAATAATTAAATCAAATCTTCATCTTATTTATTTTATTCATTTAAATTTAAAACAGATAATGTTAATCTTTCAGAGACACTTCAATTATTAGATTATAATTACATTTAATAATTACTTTTATCTAAATTAACAAATGGATAAATAAATTCTCTAGTTGTTTTAAGAGATCTAAGATTAGTTATATATTCTTTCTCAATTTTGATAAAATTATTAATTAATCCTAAATAATAATAAGAATAATAATAATACTTCTTGTCATTTCTAAAAACCCAATAATAAAAATAAAAACTTCTTTATTTGAAAAATTGAGATATAGATACATATTTGGAGAGACTGATAAAATCCAAGTTAATCTTAAGAAGAAATTAGAAATGCCAATAAAATAATAGATATATGGATGATTATAACCTAAATCATTTCTTAGAAATCTAATATTAGATCCTTCTTCAAAAAATAACCAATCTTTTTTTAAATCCCACCAAAATTAAATAATAGAACAAAGTGCAGCAAAAGGTATCCAAATATATTTGAATATATCATGTTAATTAGCTAAAAAAGATAAAGTTGCTACCCATGTAACTAACATAGTTTTAAAGAAATTCCACATTTCATCAGTATGCCAAAACTTACCTTTATCTCTTGCTCTAGTTAGATAATGTATCGTTTTCATTGAAAGTGGTATAATTGCTATTAAAGCTCCTGTTAATCTATTAGATGAGAAACATTCATTATCATGAACCTCTCCAGTTTGCCACTAATTAATCTATTATATATACAATTGTTTTATAATAACATATCGTATAGTCAAGATCTCTTAATGGTATAGCCATTGATACAAATTAATCTAAACAAAATGTAAATCTAGATTCATATTTTATAAAATGGCCATATATTGCACCTGCCAATATTTTATAAAGCCAAACTCTACCTGGCCAATTTAAAATATTCATAAATGGAAAAAATACATATAATAATAGAGTACACCATAAAATTAATGGAATATATTTAGTATATGATTCTTAATATTTAAAAGGATCTATATTTTCAGCCTACAAACTATAAAATACAAAACTCAATAAAAACAATGTTGAAAAATAACTTACACGTTTAAACACTTCCACTACAGTTGAAAAATGATGATTAAAACCTAAATATATTTTATAATTTATTCTAAAATGAGTCCAACCCCATAAATCTAATGCTAAATACCAGTAATATATTATAAATAAAGCTAATCCTCTAAAACAAGGAAACATCTTTTGAAAAATACTATGCTAATTTAAATTATTATCTGGATCAATATATCCTTCAATTCTTAATAAAAATATAAATGTTAATAATACTATAGCGAAGCCAATAAATAGACCAAATTTAAACAATATTTCACCCTTAACAGTTTTTTGTTATTAATACTTTCTTAAATTATATCTTCCTTTTTTAGGATTGAGAGTGTAAAAATTATTGAGTAACAATCTTTCAGTTTTATTTAATAATTATGAACATTTATCAGGTACTTTCTTAAGGACTAAAACTTCATTCATAATTTCACTAAGAACAGTGCTCTCAAATTACTTATCTCTAAATTTTGCTATTGACCATTTTTTATATTTTTTTAAAATTTTAATCAGTCCTTCATGATTGCTGGTTACAAAACTTTTATATTGTAAAATTTCAATATAAAATTGATAAATAGTTTATTTAAGAATATATTATTTTTGTTTAAACTCTTCCATTTGCTTTTTATAGTTGCTATCATCACCCATATATTGTTTCAAGTTTATAAATTCTAATTATTTCTTCATAAATTTGATTTGCTCTAATACTTTTATGTTCTTCTTTTGAATATCCTAATATTTCCATGCAATAAAGGACTAAATTTTAATCAAATCTTCTTTGATTGTAATACAAAAGCCTTGAAGATCTGATTTAATTTTATCTTATACTAGATCATTTTCAAGCAATATTTCTTTTTCTTATTTATATAATTTTTTTTTGGTTTTGTATTAAGTTTTTAAGAATTTAATTCTTTTCTTAATATAAACTGAACTAGACAATTAAGTTTTTAATAACTTATAGTTTAAGTATAATTTAATCCATTCAGGTATCATAGCTCTCAATAATAATTATGCAAACTTCATATAAATTAAATAAAATTAATTAAATAAAATTACTTAATATAAATAATAGAAATATTCATAAATTATATAATTTATTTATTGAGTTCTAAAATAATTCATTCATGAGTGAAGAGAGTGAAGAGTGGATCAAAAAAAAATAGATAATTTTAAATAAAATTTTATAAAAGGTGTTTATGAAACAGTCTATTTAATATAATAAATGGACACTGGATAAAATTAAGTTAGAATTGCTCTAAAAATAGTCTATCCTGATGAGAAAGTTTATGTAAAGCCAAATGTAAAAACATTTTATCTGAAGTTAAATTAATTATAATTAAAATTTAGAAGCCATCATATTCTTAAAGCATATAGTTGAAGGATTCAAAGAGTTATTTTAAAACAAAAACCTTTCATAGAGATATCAAACCTAAAAATATTCTACTCTCTAATGTAATTGCTAAAATTGTTGATTTCAAATTTACTAGTGTAATCGAAATTGAAATGGATGATATAATAAAATTTCAAATTTATTGAAAACATAGAAAGTTTTCTAGAAATGGTACTCTAGTATTATCTTTTTAAAAGAAATATTGCCTTTTTTATAAATTACACTTAATTAAGAATTGTTAAACTTTAAACATTCGTTAATATCACTTTAATCAAAGAAAAATTTTTATAATTAATTTTTATGTTAGCCAGAAATAAATCATTACATCTAGCTTAAAGTAATTCTGCTTTAAATTCATTTAAAAATGATCAATTTGATCAAGAATTATGGGGTAGATTTATTGATAGTAAAGAAATACTTTTTTATTTTCTAAGTTTGTTAAAGATTACTCACAACTATTAAAAATGATGTACTTATTATTAAAGATGTATTTATTGAAGTTAGAGATGTTTGTTCTGGAATTTATTATTTAAATTTGTTTGAATCTTTCAAATAGGTTGATTTTAATTTCAATGCATTTTATGAAGAAACAGAAAATGCATCTTTAGAAGAATTATTAAACCTTATTTGAAAAAATTCCATGTATATATTTAATATTTATAGCATAATAAATAAAACAGCAATTTTTAATTATTTTATATTAAAATCAGATTTTAAAACATATTTTTTTTTTCTTCTTTATAAATATAAAATTAATATTTGACAAAATTAAATAAAATTATGAAATTCATTAGTTTAATCTATTTTATAGCAATTATTAAATTATATGATCAAAATTAGAAGAAGAAATTGATGATCCTAATTAATAAAGTGGATTCATTAATACTTTAATTAATTACTCATGAGCTAATTAACAAAAACCTTTAACCTTTTCTTCTTCTTAATCTGTTAAAACTAAAAATCTAATATTGGAAGGTGTGACATAACCAAAAATTCTATAATCTTACTTTTAATCTATTTCCTTCAGAAATCTAAACATAAGATCAATTTTTACAATTCTTTAGATGATTTATATTTTTCTTCAAACACATCTAAAGCTGCATGCAATATAAATTAAGCATTTAGAAGTTANAAAAACCTTTCATAGAGATATCAAACCTAAAAATATTCTACTCTCTAATGTAATTGCTAAAATTGTTGATTTCAAATTTACTAGTGTAATCGAAATTGAAATGGATGATATAATAAAATTTCAAATTTATTGAAAACATAGAAAGTTTTCTAGAAATGGTACTCTAGTATTATCTTTTTAAAAGAAATATTGCCTTTTTTATAAATTACACTTAATTAAGAATTGTTAAACTTTAAACATTCGTTAATATCACTTTAATCAAAGAAAAATTTTTATAATTAATTTTTATGTTAGCCAGAAATAAATCATTACATCTAGCTTAAAGTAATTCTGCTTTAAATTCATTTAAAAATGATCAATTTGATCAAGAATTATGGGGTAGATTTATTGATAGTAAAGAAATACTTTTTTATTTTCTAAGTTTGTTAAAGATTACTCACAACTATTAAAAATGATGTACTTATTATTAAAGATGTATTTATTGAAGTTAGAGATGTTTGTTCTGGAATTTATTATTTAAATTTGTTTGAATCTTTCAAATAGGTTGATTTTAATTTCAATGCATTTTATGAAGAAACAGAAAATGCATCTTTAGAAGAATTATTAAACCTTATTTGAAAAAATTCCATGTATATATTTAATATTTATAGCATAATAAATAAAACAGCAATTTTTAATTATTTTATATTAAAATCAGATTTTAAAACATATTTTTTTTTTCTTCTTTATAAATATAAAATTAATATTTGACAAAATTAAATAAAATTATGAAATTCATTAGTTTAATCTATTTTATAGCAATTATTAAATTATATGATCAAAATTAGAAGAAGAAATTGATGATCCTAATTAATAAAGTGGATTCATTAATACTTTAATTAATTACTCATGAGCTAATTAACAAAAACCTTTAACCTTTTCTTCTTCTTAATCTGTTAAAACTAAAAATCTAATATTGGAAGGTGTGACATAACCAAAAATTCTATAATCTTACTTTTAATCTATTTCCTTCAGAAATCTAAACATAAGATCAATTTTTACAATTCTTTAGATGATTTATATTTTTCTTCAAACACATCTAAAGCTGCATGCAATATAAATTAAGCATTTAGAAGTTATTAACTACCCAAAGTTATTTTTTTTAATGGAAACCTTCTTTCATATAATGGGTGATCATCTTAGGATAAAATCAAAAACATTATTATTTTATTAATTTATTTAAATAATAATATATCAGAATCTAGTAATAATTTTATCATTTAAGTTTCTAAAAGTGTTCATTTATATTTCAACAGACTTATTAGGTAAATCTGAAATTTTATAAGTCTAAGATTGTTTTTTAGCAAATTTTTAATGAGTTATTAAATATTATTTTGGATAAAGAGAAATAATAGGTACCAAATTAAACTCTTAAAGTTCTTAAAAAATGTAAAACTTAATAAAATTGATTTGATTCGCTCCTTATTTAAACTAAATTTAATTAAATGGCCCAAGTTATCGAACAATCATTAGGGCAATAGGTATTTCGAGTTCTAATTATTTATTATTGTTATGTTTTAATTCTTCTATATTTTATGGATTAATAATTGGTAAATTATCAAGCTTTTCTTTATTAAGAGCATTGCCTTGAAATTATATATCAATTTATATGACAGTTTCATTAATATTATTTTCTTCGTTATTATCTTCAATCAAATTTATTTGAATATTCTAACAAGTTTTGCAAAGAAAAAAGAGTATATTTAATATTAATTATTTAATTTTTTTCTAATCAGAATAGATCTATTTTTTTTTTAGTTTTGAATAGAAATTCAGGGTTATTATTTGTTTAACATTATAATATTTGATTACCATAATGCATTCTTAAATTGTTTTTTCAATATCGAATTATGTTTACTCTATTTTGTTGAATTTACCATTAATATCATGAAAATCTGAAATATTGTTTAAATCATTGTAAACTTTTATTCCTTTGCTATTAATAAATTTAATTAACAAATTCATATCGAAATTTTGTTTTTTAATCTATTGATTGATTTGACAGTTTAATAATTATTTTAAATAAATAAGTGATAATCTCAATTATTATTGAACTGTTTGAAATGCCTAATCAATTAGTTTGTTTGCTATTTTGAGTTTAAGTTTAATTTATTATTTTTGTGCTTCTTTTTTATTTTATTTAATAAGAATTATAACACAAGGTTCAGTGTCAAAAGTTTTAACTAATTTGATATGATTGACATCAGAATCAATAATTCCAATTAATTAATAAGATTAAGTTTTAGATTTATTGTAGATTAAATATTATAATTTTTCTTCATTAGTAAATAAATAGAATAGAAATTACTCAAGATTTAATTTTCTACATATATTAAGTTATTCTTAAGAATAGAATTCTGAAAGTTTAGTTCCTTAATATCCAACCATAACTCTAATTTTTCGTATTAATTAAATAAAATTGAATTAAGTTTCATCATTAATTTCTTTATTTTAATTTTACTCAATTAGATTAAATGAATTTTATTAATTATTGTAATGAACAATAAAAGATTATAGATCCATTTCTTTATAAAAATGTTCTTCAATAATATTTTTATTTTTGATTCCAATATAAGTAATTCGTTATTCTCTTTCAGATTAATAAAAATAGTATACTATTAATACATCTGAAATGATGTAAATAATTAATTATCTCCAAGATAAATCAGTTTAAATACTGGAGATTAAATGAACAATCAAGATAATAATTACAATAGTTAACTTTTTTATAAAATCCATAGATTAGATAACTCTTTATAATAATTTATTTATACCCAAGAGTAGCTAAAGATATAAAATAGCCATTAGAAAAGTAATTATTTGTTAATCTGCCTCTTAAAAGTAAATCTATTGGTTACTGAATATTGTAGATTAAAATGGTAATCAAAATGCAAAGTTCTTGGAATTCCCTTAAATAGAATCTGAAATAGTGACTTAATAATATAATTATTAATCCAATGGTATTATATATTAATTCAACCCAAGACTCATTTAGAGCATTATCTGCAATCTAAAAAGTTAATAATAACATTAATAGTATCTTTTGCTGAAATAAGGATTTGTGTAGCAAAATTTATCGAGATATTTTGTAATGTCTCTCAAATTCTGAATCATTAAACCTTAAAGTTAAAGAATTCATAATAAATTAAATTTATATAATAATATAAATATTTATTGATGTAAAAACTTATATTAAATCAGTGACTCAAACCTTTCTATATATTTAAGTGTATCAAAAATCATTATAATTTTAGAATTGTATTCGAGGACTTGTTTACATTTTCTCATATAACGAGATTGGTTTTTTAGTAGACAATGATTTCTTTTCCTTTAATATTAAACAATTAAGAGGTTGCAAAGAATAAATAGGTATTAAATGATATTGTTCTTCTAAGACTTAAAAAATATAAAATTCAATGTAATTTTAACCTTTTTTATTCTATTATAAACGCATTTTATCATAAGGTCCAATCTTACGAATAATCATTAATGATAAGGGTATATCTAAATCCAAAGGTTTTTGTGTATTATGAAGTAATTCTCCAAGATTTTATGGGTTAATTATTTATAACCCTTATAACTATTATTTACTTAAATGAGGACCTTAATAGTTAATTCTAATTTTAATCACTGGCTTACTTGGTTAACCATGTATATCATGTTGTAAAGTTATTGTTATTGTTTAAGAAGAGTGTTAAACAAAGAAAAACAAATTGTAAAATAATTATTTGAGTTATTTCTCATCTTATTATATATTCTATTATTCTATGTTTAATTGATTAATTACATTAAATGTAATATCTTTATTTATATCAAAGTAACTTATTATTCTTGTTATTTCATTAATGCAATCAATGATATTAAATTTTTTAATAACTGATTACTAGAAATCTGAATTAATAGTATTAAAATCAATAATATTTTAAAAGTCATTGTTAGCTTTTATAATTTATCCATGAATTGATTACAAACATCGATTAATTAATAAAATTTCTTATTTTTTATTAGCATATTTATAAATCCATTAAAAATAAACTAATGAAATACGAACTTGATGTTTAAATATAAATGAAGTTTAATCAAGTGATTTTTTTAACATTTTATTTTTTAAAGAGAGTTCTTCTAATTAAACTTCTTTTTTCTTTTCTTAAAGTATTAGAATGAAACAAGGATGAATATCAAAAACCTTCATAATTTGAATTGAATAATAATCTTATTCATAACTAGCTTCTCCTAATATTTCAAAACATTCAAATTAATCATTATGATGAGTTTTCAAATCTCTTAAAAATAAATCAAATAAGTATGATTTTAAATCTTATTTCTTTTATTATTAAATAATGGGATCTTAACAAAAGGTTGGTGCGAATTTTCCTTAAAGGATTTACATATTTTTTAAATAATCATCAAAATCATCTAAAATTTACTTTTATATCTCTTATAAACAATCCTTTTGCACTAATTCAATTTTTTTAGTTTCTACTTTATAATGAACAATGAAGGTTTAAATATTTGTTAAATCATATATACCCTTTAATGTTGTTGTTCTTTTTAGATGATTTAAAAAACTGTGCTTCTAATACTTTTCTGAACAATACAAATGTTAAATATAAAGGGATGTAAAGATTGTCGATTTTATTAGTTAATTCCAAAAGTTCACCTCAGAAATCATGCTTAAACTAACCAAAGATGTAAATATTAAGGCTATTATTATAGTTTTATATCGAAAGCTAAAAATATTGATCACACTAAAATATTTAAATTTGGATTTACCCAAATGTGCCAACTGATATAAAGTAACCGTCAACATAGAAGTTTTCACCTGTTGTTATTGAAAAATATTTAGTTATTGGAAAATATAGGTTATAACTAACAACTACAAATGTCAGAAAAAAATCATATAATTTGCGACGTTGGACTATAAATTTATAACTAAAGATAACTATTAACCAGTTAAATATAATGAAACCTAAACTTACCCACTCTTATTCAATTATTTTTATGATAGCAAAATATAGTCCCATTACCATAAATATCCATTTTTATTACTATTGAAATTCTATTGATTGCTTTTTATGCATAGATTAGTATTACTACTCTATATCCTTGTTCAAGAAAGTTAATGTAAATCTATGCATTATAAAATATTATTATTAATATTTCAATTTTGTTTTTTATTAAAATACTAATCCCTTAATTTATCAAAGATCTTTCCTCTTTTTCAAATTAAGTTCATTCCAAAAAAGTTAATTATAAATTTATCTATAATAGTGCTTAATATGTTAATAAATAACTTTATTCTTCTTTTTAAAGAATCGATTTTCACACTCTAGGAATTAAACTTACCACATACATCAAAATTTACTTAGATTTATACCATAATCATTTTTCTATCTTTCAAAAAGAGATTATTATATATAACATTTCTTATTATATTATTGTTGATTTTAAGTCAAAAACGCTGAAACGTAAAAAACTAATGAAAGTAAATTATGTTCATCAACCATTAATACTTAAGATAAAAATATTTTTAAATTATATTAAACATAAACATTCATGAACTCTTATTCCTTAGAGTTTAAAGATAAATTGATGGAATCAAAATATCAGAAGACAAAAAAACTATAACTTCAACAATTACAAAAAATACAATAGATAATTACTATGATGTTACTTATACTATTCTTAATTGTTAATGCTTTAAGACATTAATGGATTGAATTAACTGTTTGCTGTTTTATGCTAATTATATTATTGATAGCAATAAGAATGGATTTGAATAAAAAATAAAAGTCTTACTTTCTAAATACAATTTTAGTAATTGTGACTTTATTCAATTATTTTAAAGCATTGCAGAGTATTTACTTTGAATATTCTATTAAACCTAATTTCTTAGATGGTTATATGTTAGCACTAATAACAATTTCATGTATATATCTGATAATATATTAATAGTAATATATTAAGGAAGTTTTCTTTAAAAAACTTTTATTCTTGGATCAATATACATTATGTTACAAGTGTTTAAATCTAATTCAGAGGAATTATGGAAATAAATTTGTTAATATATTTTTTTTCTTTGTTTTTGCTTGTTTTAGCTCTATAAAATAGAAAAGTTATAACGATAGGACTATCTTAATTAATAAAAACATCAAAAAGCAGAATAATAAATGATAAATTTTTGTGGTTTAACATTTTATATGATTTCTTACTAAAGAGATTCTAATCAAATAATATTAAGAGCAAGCAATGAGAAAGAAATAGTATAATTTGAAGATCAATAACAATTTAACATTTAAATTAGGAATATGAGAGTATTGATCAAAGATTAAGAAACATAAAAAAATTATTAATCTAAAGAAGGAATAAATCATGATGCAAAAATGACACTTGAGAAATTATTATATTATTATATGGCTTGTCCAGAGAAACTTAAATAATGTATGAAATAACCTTCTTCTGATGCTGTAATTAATTTATAAGGAGTATTTAATTAAGAAAATTACAATATTTAAATTCTTAAATTTTTTGATGAATTGCCTAGTGCAATTATTCTTATTTCTCAAAACAAAAAAGATATATATATAGAAGAACTTAAATTAAGATATAAATTGTTTTAATAAACACTAGAAATTATTGATTAAATTTTTTCAACTTAAATCAAAATGAGTCTTGTGTATTTTACAGCTTTGCATAAATATCAATCAATCAAACCTTATAATAGAAATATATCATATTATAAAAAAATTTAAAGTAAGATTTCTAGAGCATATAATGATTTTTAAAACATTTAAGACTTTTTTAATTTAAATTCTTCATTCTAAAGAACGGTGATTCAAAAATTTAATTTAATTACATTTTTAGATGATACTTTAACAGAAATTTAATATTATTTTTATTAAAGCAAGAAATTTACATTCTAAATAAAAAGCAAACTTAAAAAATAAATAGTAAGTCAAGATCAAAAATAATTGAAACAATTAATATTAAATATAATATATTTTATAACTGAACATAGTTAAGATTTAATTTTTTATTTAGAAGAAAGTGATGGACCATAATCAAAATTATCCTTTATTCGCATAAAATTAGAATATCAAGGTTTTCATTTTTGTAAAGATTCAATGAAAGGATTGCCATTTATAAATCCAATAACTATATCAGAACTTAGACATAATACAGAAAAAAATTATTAATTAAATTTACCTATGGCTGTTGTTATTGTTAGAAAACTTGGACCTACTAACAAGATTTACATAAGATAAAATAATAAAGGAAGTAGTTATTTAGAATTTTTAATTTTTAGAGAATTATATGAAGATTTTCATTTAATACCACTTTAATCATAACATCCTATTAATTATTTGATAATAAATGCAAAATCTTCAGTTTATGGTAAACATGCAGCATATTTGGATCTCATGGCTCTAAGTCCAAGAATATAATTAGATAAATTTGGAGAATTATGAATTTTCTATTAATAAAATAAGGTAATAGGGGTTAATATTGTTTGTCAATATTTAAATTGTAGTTGTGTTTTTTGTATTTTTACCTTCAAATCATTATTAATTAATTTTTAATATAGAAATGTCTTTAATATTATTTATTAAATACAAATGTAATTTTTGTCACAGAAATTTATTTCAGACAAATTCGAAGGGCAATTCTAAAGATATTTGAAAAAGTTTCGATTAAGATTTCAATTAATTTAAAAGGTAATACTACTACCATTAATAATTTATTATACAATAGAAAAAGTGTTTTAATCAAGTTGGTTTGTAGTTAGTCTAAACGTGATTTTGGGATTGATAGTGATCATAAGTTTAAAATATCAGAAAAAATGTATAAGAGTTTATGAGATTTTGATTCTAATTGGAATTCTACTTTTTAATTTATTCTATGCTACTTCATAGTATTTGAATATTCATCCTCAAAGATATTAATTTATTGATGGTTATTTCTTAGCCATTTTAAGTTTGACGTATAGATTTTAATTTTACTTTAAGAATGATCAATATGATGGATACTATACAAAAAGCATTCCTTTTGTTATTTATATACCTAATATATCTTATCATGATACCCAATTAAGTTGAACCAATTTGGTAGTAAATTATAAAGTTTATTTTATACATTATTCTTTACTATCAGTAATAGAGATATTAATAATAATTATTAAGATTAACATATCTTCATTATTTTAAGCATTTGACAATAGAAAATACAATAAGAGAGAATTTAGATATGAAATATTATCTTGTTCATTTTATAGAAAAAAAAAGATCTTTTGTTTTGAAGTCTGAGGAGTATGATTAATTTGTAAATGAAGATGATTAATATGCTTTTTAATAGTTTTTACGTAAAATCAATATTTCATCTGGTGCCTAGACTATAGAGAAATAAATGCCAACTAGAAAAGGATCTGCAGAAATGAATCTAGAACAATTTTTATTTTATTTGTTTACTGATAACAAAAAATTATCAACTTTGAAAAGTTATGAAAACAAATACTTAGAACATTAACATCATTTATTTGGATTTACATAAGATGAAACTTACATAATCAAAGTTATTAAATGTTATGATACAGATCCTTGTGCAATATTATTAGTAACTGAATAATAGAAACAATAATTTGTAGATAAACTAAAATTACAAAATAAAGCAACACTAAAACTATTAAACTATTTTACAGATATATTTACAAGTTAAATTAGAGTTTCTTTAATCCTTTTAAATGGAATGTTAAAATTTTAATAGAATTAAAAAAAAAATTGTATTTTTAATAAAGAAATCAAATGTCTTAATTATATTAAATCTTAACTTTACATTGCATATAATTAATTTTACAATATTTCTGATTACTTTTTAGCCAATTCTGATTTAAGAAAATTGTAAATCTCAAAATTCAATTTGATATAAGTTGTTGAAGAATTATTTGAAAAACTAAAATATTATAGAATATAGAATAAAATCATGACTCATGTTTTTATTTTAAAAACTAAAATAAAAGAACTAATACTTAAATCAGATATGAAATAAATCTCTTAATTATTTTTTAATTTGGTCAAGTTTGCTATGAAATATTCAGAAGAAATCTAAATAGATTTAGAAGAAGGATTTGATCAATCATATCCTCCTTAAGCTATTATAAATGTTTAAATTTTATTCAAACATATAAAAGGTACTAAAATTGAACTTAAAAAATTTCCAATTATAAATCCAACAACTTTAGAAGAAATTAAAAAAAATGATAAAAGACCATTAGATCTTGATGTGTCAATATCATTATTAATCATCAGAAATCTAGGCCCATTTGATAAAATGACTATTAGAAATATAGGTAAACATTATTATAAAATCTAATTTTTTATTTACAAGAATATGAACAAGGATTTACATTTAATACCAATTCATTCTTTTGATCCTTCATTATTCATCAAAAGAGACGATGATTGGTAATTGCTTAATCATTTTGGAAATCAACTTTTCAACAATTGTTATAATGATTCTCCAGAAATAAGATTAGATACTTAAAGATGCATTACAATTCCTAACACTGCCTTAAGATCTTGATCTTAAAAATCTTATTATATATTTTTAAATTATTTAAGTTTATTAAATTCACCAATANTAACATCATTTATTTGGATTTACATAAGATGAAACTTACATAATCAAAGTTATTAAATGTTATGATACAGATCCTTGTGCAATATTATTAGTAACTGAATAATAGAAACAATAATTTGTAGATAAACTAAAATTACAAAATAAAGCAACACTAAAACTATTAAACTATTTTACAGATATATTTACAAGTTAAATTAGAGTTTCTTTAATCCTTTTAAATGGAATGTTAAAATTTTAATAGAATTAAAAAAAAAATTGTATTTTTAATAAAGAAATCAAATGTCTTAATTATATTAAATCTTAACTTTACATTGCATATAATTAATTTTACAATATTTCTGATTACTTTTTAGCCAATTCTGATTTAAGAAAATTGTAAATCTCAAAATTCAATTTGATATAAGTTGTTGAAGAATTATTTGAAAAACTAAAATATTATAGAATATAGAATAAAATCATGACTCATGTTTTTATTTTAAAAACTAAAATAAAAGAACTAATACTTAAATCAGATATGAAATAAATCTCTTAATTATTTTTTAATTTGGTCAAGTTTGCTATGAAATATTCAGAAGAAATCTAAATAGATTTAGAAGAAGGATTTGATCAATCATATCCTCCTTAAGCTATTATAAATGTTTAAATTTTATTCAAACATATAAAAGGTACTAAAATTGAACTTAAAAAATTTCCAATTATAAATCCAACAACTTTAGAAGAAATTAAAAAAAATGATAAAAGACCATTAGATCTTGATGTGTCAATATCATTATTAATCATCAGAAATCTAGGCCCATTTGATAAAATGACTATTAGAAATATAGGTAAACATTATTATAAAATCTAATTTTTTATTTACAAGAATATGAACAAGGATTTACATTTAATACCAATTCATTCTTTTGATCCTTCATTATTCATCAAAAGAGACGATGATTGGTAATTGCTTAATCATTTTGGAAATCAACTTTTCAACAATTGTTATAATGATTCTCCAGAAATAAGATTAGATACTTAAAGATGCATTACAATTCCTAACACTGCCTTAAGATCTTGATCTTAAAAATCTTATTATATATTTTTAAATTATTTAAGTTTATTAAATTCACCAATACAGATAAATTGTATTTATAAGTTGTCATATTTTTATTTATTTATTTTTTTTAATTTAAATAAATAGTCCTAAATTTTATAACTTAGATTTCCCCCATTGTTTACCATTATTTCATCTATAAAAGATAAAGTGAAATATAAAATAATCAGTTATGAGCTAAATTAGAATCATTTTACATATAGTATTTAATTTATAATTATTTGTTGAAAGATTTTAATGATGGAGATTAAGTTAATTAGATAAAAAGAAATAGAAAAAGAAGCTTTTTGAAACTTTTTTGAGAAAGAGGTATAACAAACAAATTTTTCTTAATGAAAATTGGAAAAGCAATATTTTATAAAAATAATCTTTTTGTAGTTTTGACATGTTCTTCTTAAAATTTTAATCTTATGATTTTAAGAATTAGATTCAAGTAATTTTCTTAAGGTTTATTATTGAAAGTAAAATTCATGTTTTTAGAAAACTTAATATTTAATCTTGAAGAATACCTTAAAGAGTTGAATAGTAAAATAGTTCAAATTATTAATACAATTACTAATGGAAGGATTTTTAAAAGCAAATTTTAAAATAGTATACATTATACTGATTTTATATTATATATATTAGTAATTTTATCATTAATCAATTTAACATATAGGTTGAGTTTATAACATATTTTAATGAGAATTATTATGCATGTTATCCATTTCTTACCTAATACATTTAGATAAACTAATAAACATTTATTTGGTTACTATTTAAATTTATTCATCATCTGTATCTACATCATGATCTTATTTTAACTCTTTTAATCTGCATTATTTCATATTGTCTTTGATGCATCTAAAAGCATATATTTAATTTCCTTTTTTGTATTTTACTAACTATCCACATTAAATTTTTAATCCGTTCTTAAAAATTGCATTCTTCATTTTTAAAGAAACTGACTTTTTATGCCAAATATTTTGAGAGATACGTTATTAGACTATTGAATTCTGAAATTTTGGTAAAATTTACTTAGTTTTTGTAATTTAATTCATGTTTATCTATTTTTGTTTTTGTTAAGATTATTAATTTAGCTACAGGTTAGTTTTCTAGAATTTTTAAATAATTTTGCTTTCCTTTTTTATGTTTAGATGTGGTTTATGAATATCAATTTGCTAATTTATTGAAGGATTATTAAGCATACGTTAATTTATATAATTTAACATCATTTAGAATTTATATATAATTTCTTAATATTATTTTATAACAATATCATCTATTTATAATCTATTCTTATCATAGAAGTTATTCTATTTTAAAATTCAAATTATGATTAAAAATCAGATTTTCTTTTTTGAGGAATGTATTATTTTTTAATAGATTGTAAATGAATATCTAAAAAATTTATAAAATGCTTAAAAGTATATTAATGAATGATTTTGGTAGAAATTAGGTATTTTAATTTTAGATTGTTAAATGCTGAATTTAAATAATTACAATCAGAAAATAAAAGAAAATAAAACAAATTTTTACAATATTTTTTTCTTAATAAATAATCAACAGCATCCACCATCTTTTTATTTTTTTTAGTTTGAAGTGTTAGCACTAAGTTTATTTGATTATGAAGTGTTAGTGTTACTTTATCTATTAAAAATAAAATAAAAAAAATTACCCTCTAGCCTATGATTATTATTATACACCTTAAGTCGTATTGGTTGATTTTGAAGGTTAGGAAGCATCTTTCTTAGCCATTAATTTTCTTGATAATTCTAGAAAAGCATTATTTACATGATCAGCTGTCTTTGCACTACATTCCATAAAAAGCATATTATGAGATTTGCAATACTCTTCAGCTTTTGAGGTTTCAACTCTTGATTAAATTAATAATTTTCTTACGCTTTTTATTCATCTAAATCATTTTTGTTTCCAATAATTAATAATTGGACATTTTTTTCCCCATATGACTCTACTTCATGTAACCAAAATTTATCAATATCATCAAATGATTATCCTTGTGTTACATCATATACCATAACTATACCATCAGCACCCTAAAATAATAAAATTATTATTAATTACCTTGTAATATGCACTTGTTATTGTTCTGAATCTTTCTTATCCAGCAGTATCCCAAATCTATAATTTTACATTTTTTCCATCAATTGGCAACGTTCTGAATCTAAAATCAACACCTATTGTTGTTAGGTATGATTCACTAAATTAGTCATCTGCAAATCTCAATAATAATGAACTCTTTCCCACTCCAGAATTACCTATAATAACTAATTTGAACAGATAATCATATTCTTTTATCATTTTATTACTTCTTTTTCTTTAAATTAAATATTCAAAAATTAAAGTTTATCAAATTTGGTATTTCTCATAAAGAACAAAATCATAACAATCTTATTTAATCATTTTTTTATATATTATAAATAATATACAAAGAAATTCTCAATTAATTATATAACAAATATATTATTAAACAATAAATCTTAGACATATTAAATAAAGGTCAACATAATTTTTAATAATTGTTGAAAAGATGCTTAGCATTTTTATATTATAAATTATCTTAAAATTTACAATATTATATTCTTACCATAAATTCTTACTATGTTTCAGACTTTATAAATAACTGACTGAGATTAAGTCTTTTATTAATTATTTAATAGCCTCTTTATTAAGAATTCAAATATTTTTAATAAATTATTTTTTTAAATAACCTAAATCATAGTTTTAGATGAATTCAGATATATTATATAATCCATACTACTCAACTGCATATTATTTCCCATAGTTTCTAAACTATTAATAGCAATACGTTCATTAAAGTAACTAATAGTTTAAATTAGCATAAAGTGATATTTTAATAATAGAATGTTCCAATGCAATTACCATAATTTTAATATGATTCATGTGTATAGCCAATCAATTTCTTCACTAATTATCAATATGAGGCACCTGAAATTAAAAATACCAATTAAAATGATCATATAACTGAAGTAAAGTTAGGAATTTAAGAAAAAGGCCCATTAAGTGAAGAAGACTCTTAAACACGAGCTAATGGTAACAATTATTATAATTGAAAGGCCATTGGACACAATAAGAACATTAATTATACCTTGAATTTGTGAAGAGTCACGAATCTATATTAAAATCCAAATATGATAAAAAATCTAAGAAAATTTTCAAACTCATGAGTTCATACATACCAACAAGAACAGCAACTTAATGTAGGTCTCATCATTAAAAGTTTAATCCTTTAAATAAAGGAAAGAAGAAATTAAAATAATTATTCCGATAGATTCCTACTGTAATTCTTCCACATAGTTGACTTCTTTGACTCTATTATAAATTTTAATTCATTCATCATATATTATCTTAATTTATCGACTATTAAATAATAATTAATTTATGGAAATTAATTATAATAAAAAATTAAAGGATTTCATTTAATCTTTATCTTCCTTTCTTAATTAATAATCATTTGTTTTTCTATAGGATTAAATATTTAGTATATATTTCCAAAAAAAATGCTTCCTATTTAGTCTAAATTCAAAATCTTTTATAAATCCTCATTTTCTTATTTAAAAAGCTATTTTTATACTAAGATCACCAATAATACTATTATTTTTGACTTATCTTTTAAGTTTAAGTAAAAAATCAAGTTATGAGTATTGTTGGATGATAATAATCATTTTTAAATAATGATAACAATAATTTTATTAATACAAATTTTATAAAATATCCAAAATTTAATAAATCTCTCCAAATTACTCTTCTTCAAATACAAAACTAAAACAATTATAATCCTATTCTAATTATTCATAAAATCACAAAATTAAGGTTCTTATAATAATTCTTTAGTAATGAGATATTTAAATTAGCCAACATATTTTTAAAAGCAATTTTATTTAAAAGAATGAAGAAATTTTGAAAATTTATATATATTAAATCAACTTAAAATTTCTTTACCAATAGCTACATAATTTATAAATTATTAATCTAATAAGAGCAATCTATAAATTTAATATTTAAATTTAGTTTCTTTTATAATTTAAATGAATTTAGATTTTTCAAAATAAATTGTTGATAAAATTAAAAAATAATATTAAATTAACAATCCTCAGTTATAATGTGTTCCATTAATATTTATCATCCTAAATAAAATTGACCCTCGATTAATTAATCATTGTTGAACAACTAATTTAAATTATTAAACTTATTATAGAGTTTTATTATGTGTGATAATCTATATTCCATCTTATTCCAATCTATTTAATAAAATTAAATAATTTTTAGGCTCTATTTTAAGATATGCTAGCATAATTAATCGTTGTTTTTATGAGTATCAATTTTAAATTAAGAAGATTGTTAATTATAGGTAAAGCAAGACATTTAAAATGATAAAAATGATTGATTTTATGATAAACATTTTTTGACATCTATAAATTATCTATTTTAGAAAGGAAATTCTGAGCAAAAATATAATTAAATTTAAAAATTAGCTCAAACTTTTGGATTAATACGAATAAAGTAAAGCTAAAGTGAGATACATAAAATAAATTTAAATCGTTGATTTTAGTAACTTATTTTTGAAGTTAATTATAGTGCATGAATTTTATGTTCAGCATATTTGAGCTTTAAAATTGATTTTGTTACAGTTGATATTTCAATAAAAAATAGGTCATCAGTAAAATAAAAATGATTTTCCAGATTATTTGGAAATATATAGCTTGATATACTAATTTTTTCATATGATATATATAATTTAATTTATAATAAACTACCTCATCATTTTAATTATTTATCATTAGTTTATTAATTACATCCCTTCTTTTAGGAAAATAATATAATCATATTAACAAAACCTTTTCTTTGAATTATTTGTATCTCATGATGGTTAAAATAAGGACTATGAAAAAATTAATTAAAGCATCATTTACCAATAAAATACACAAAGAATTATATATTAAAATGAAATAGATAAAAAATAAAAATGATCAGTGTTAAAACATTATACTTTATACACGAAATCCATCTAATAAGAAGAATATTTATTTTTATTTAATTTAATAAGAATTTAGGTTTCCAAAATGAAAATAAAATAAATTAATTATTTGAAGGATATAAAATTGTTTATAAATTAATAATATATATATAACAAATAGTTTTATTTATGAGTATTATATAATGAATTTAGTTTTATAGACTAAATTTATATGATTATTAATTTATATATAACAATAAAACAAAACATTCAACTTAATTTGATCATTGAATATATTTTTTAAACAAAAATGTGACTTGCTAAAAATCCAACTGTGCCACAAATTAATCCTAAACACAAAGATGCCATGTACATAGTACTAAAGTAGTATAAAATGGTTGAGAATCTTATAAATTAATTAGTAATACCTAGTAAATTGCAATGAATCTAAATAATATTAGATTGAATATATAAATAAATATACACCTGAAGTAAATGGTACAAAGAAGGCTTTCCACTACCATCTATGATTTTAATTTTAAATTAGTAAATAAACTGTTATGATAGATACTTCTGCACTAATAATAATCAATAAAATTGCTGTAAAAAATTGAGAGACAAAGAATTCATAATAGGAATTCTTCCAAATTAATTACATTGTTTAACTAATTTCAAGACCAACAGATCTAGATTTATATATATATAATTTACATAAAACAAATGAGTCCTCCTATTAAGCATATAAAAAAATAATGTAAATAAAAGGGTTATTATATAATTTATTAAGGAATTAATCCAAATTTACAAGTAGTTTTAGAGGATTCAGATTTAAATCCAATAAAAGATCCAATTAAATTTAAAGGAGTTTGTATACCTAAATATAAAGCAATAAGTGTGATTCCTGATTTGAAGTCTAATCCACTTGAAGACCCTTCAAACATGAGAGCAATATATTGAATTCTAAAAATAAATATGATTAAAATAGGAAATGCTAGATTGCTTCCCAAAGTACATAATAACAAATATTCACCTTTAAAATATTTATAAAATTTAGAAGAATAATATCCATTTAAAATACCTGTAAAAACATAGACAACAATAAAATTAGTTATTAAATTAGTTGTATGTATCGAATATAGGGAACCTATAGATGAAAAAAAGAAGATTGATATTGTCATCATAGTAAATTGAATTCCAGTACCAATTAAGATACTTAAAAATAGTATACCAGAGGGAGGTCTAAATACATCTCGACTAATCAATTACCAGCTCTTTTAAGCATTTAATCCATCATTCTCATTTTATGATAAGGCTTTAAATTTCATTACATCTCTTCTTATTATAAATCTAATAAACCAAGCAATTATAGCAGTTATTATAAAGGTTATACTTATAGACCACCATTTCTAGTTAGAGTCAAACACTATATTTAAATAGGCTTACCATCTATTGGATGAATTGCTCATTATATATTATACAGAATAAGTAATTTTCATCATTTGATTAATTGAACAATTTCTAACAAAATCTATTTTAGTAATATTCTCACACTTTTATTCAAGTTCAACTGTTATTTAATTTATACTAAAAGTTTAATTTATAACTGATTTAGAAGTATTGTAAATCTCTACTTTAAAATTGTAATGATTATAAAAAGAATACTAATTAAAATCTCGGATACCTAAAAATGCTCCAATTATTTAATTATTCAAATTATCTCTAAAAATAATTGGTAAATCATCAATTAACATATTGACTCTGTAATCATGATCAATAAACCATTTTAAATTGTTTTATTCTATTTAAGTAAAGTTTTTAAAACAAACTATTTCATCTACTAATTCATAATTCATAAACAACTATCATTTTACTTATAATATTACTTTAAATGAAGACTATTATGTTAAAGTTCCTAATATCATTGATCCAAAATTTTCTGTAGATTCAGGTTTACATATATCAAGATCATAATAATCATATGGAAGTAATGTGGATTCTGAAATCATTGAATTAATTAAAACAGGTATCTATTCTCCTTCAAAATACATCCTCTAAGCATAAATGACACATGTTATTGACACTATAAAAATGTTCATTTTTATTATAATATAATATTAATGTCTTCGGTTTAACATTATTTGTTGAGAAAACAAATCACTCGTATTGAACATCCTAATATCTTTATGACTCAACATGATATTGATGAATCATAATTATATAGAGATGGCAAGATTGTTCCATATTATGTTGTTGGTAAACCAGAGATAATTGATAAAAGATTAAACAAATCATAACCAATTTAAGATATTATTTAACATCATCGTAGAATTAAACCAACTACTTATAAAGAGTTTAAAAATAAATAATCTTAATAATTAAGTGTTTAAGAAGAAGCAGAATTTATTTAAATTGACATGGAACCAAGTTAAGTTGAAAATGAAATCTAATAAATTCTAAACAGAAAGACGTAATAAGAATATTTACATCTAAAGAAATTAAGTAAAGCAGATTAATAAGCTGCATTTAAAGACGATAGAATCATTAAACAATTTGAAAACTAATAATCTAATTGGTAACGAAGAATCATCTCTTCAGCTTAATAATGTAATAGACCTATATCTTAATCTATTTACAACTAAATTTAAGTTGAAAGAGAAAAAGTGGAAGACAAAAAGTTATTGGATATAATTTAAACTGATGCAGAAAGGTATGGTAATAAATTATGGGTAAGTTTTATTTTCATTTTAGGAAAGATAACTTAGATCCAATTCTGATGCTGTAGAATAATAAAAAAAAATTAAAGAATAAGGACATGAAATAATTAAGAATCCTTATTCCAAAGCTATATATAAGAGGCCTAAAAGTATAGCTAAACGTTTTGAAGAAAGAAAAGATAAGGTATGTGAAGTCTTAACAATTGGCTCATAATTAGATAATTTATAGGTATCATACATACTTATCTTAAGATAGAAGGAGAAAGTAAATTAATGAAAGAAACTAAAAGTGTATAAAAAATGTTGGATGATCATAAACTCAAAGAATAAAATAATAAAAGGAAAAATAATACTATTTTTTAGAAACTTATTGTAAATGATCAAGTCAATGGTTCTTAAGAAATTATTTCTATTAATTATGATAAATAAGTTTTGAGACAAAAAGGAAAACTCGATATATTTAAACAATTTTTTTGATAATGTATACTCTCAATTTTTAATTAACAATTATTATTATTAATATATATAATTATCAATCTTCTTCTAATTCTACTGTTACTACTTCCATTTTCTTAGACCATGGACTTTATTTATATTATAATAATATTACTTTTCATATAAAGTTCCTTTATATAATTTACCATCTGATAATTGAACGAAAATTAAATAGGTTTTACCTGCTATGAATTACTCTTTGACTGATTTAATTTCAATTATTGAAGTATCTTCTTCTAACTCAAATTTAGGAATTAATTTTGAAAGTATTAATTTTTATATTTAAGAGAACTTTTCACTAAATTACTTAGCATCTAGGTCTACCCAACCATGATACTTGAAATTATTTTATTTTTTATTATCAACTCTTAGATTTTTTTGTTCTAACGCAGTTACCTTTCTTGTATTAGTCCAAGGTCTTAAATTTTATTATCATATAATAGTACTAATCATAAACAATAATCTCAAATTAAGTATACTAATTTGGATCATCTTTTTTTTAATAGTCAACAACCATCTTATAATTTATGCCTGAAACTATTTATTATTAAACATTCTCAATTTTCCATAAGAAATAGTCTGGTCCAGCTTCATCATCTAAAATTTCATTTATATATGTAAATATTTCATTATTCTAACTCATAAATTCTTTTATTTTGATATTCTAATATCCTCCTTCACAAATAGCTACTGCTAATAAGAAGCAGATGAATAAATATTTTTAATACATATTATTTTTAATAATTTCAATAAACGGATTCTCTTATTATTAATATTATGTTTTTTGGACAAATAAAATTATAAATTAATCATATCACATTATAACAGTTAATCTATCAAGATCTAAAATTTCATAAGGCTTCTTTTTCTGTAATTATTATAAAATTTATGAGAAATTAATTTCTTAAACCTCAGAATCCGATTCTGAAACTTTAAATTAAAGATCATTCAAGCCTAATTAATTCAAATATTCAATTAAATTATTCTGTTCTTCTATTTGTAATTGTTCTAATAATTTAGTAACAGATATGAATGTTTAATCTTATTCTAAACTTGAAGCAATTTGTTAGAATTATTCATTAATTTATATAATGATTTAGTTGAGGAAACCATGCATTAATGATTTAATTAACAAATTATCTTACTTTTGATAGAAATCAATGTATTTGTGATATAATTTTGATTGCACTTAAGTAGCCAAAGCTATTAATGATTAAATAATAGGACTTAAATTTTCTTATTCTTTAATTTCAATCATTTGAGAATAGAATTCTGAACATTCTGGAATTTATTAGAAACAAGATAATATTAAAGTATATTATAATGTTTCGTCATTTTTTATTTTTTTTAGCAATTCGCAAAGTGTTTTAAGATTTTCTTAATTATCTGATAATTAAGAATGAGATATCACGTAAAATCTAATGATTTTAACTAAATATTGAATGATGATAATACCATAGATGTTATCATTTTGGTATTGAAGATAATTCAATTCCACAATAATTTATTTAAATCGATCATTAATGAATTCATAAATGTCTTCATAAATAATATCTCTAGGAATATCACCTTTCATAGGTTTTTTGAAATCTGAATCTGGTTCATCTGCTTTTAAAAAGTTTGAAAGTATGAAATCAATAGTTTTACATAATGTATCTGGTGTTCTGACATATTCTGGTACAAAGGGCTTTTATTCTTATTTAAAAGATCTAATGATTTTTTCTTTGATAGGTTGAATTTCATATTAATAAAAACCATCTTATTCGAAAATAGATAGTTACATATTATTGATTCTTTCTTCAATTTCTTCATCATCACATTTTTAAGTTAATTTTGCTTTATCAGAATATTATTTCTAAAGTTTTATGAAGTTTTCTTCTTCTAATTTACTGTATTAAATTTCAAGTGTTTATTCTTCATATTCATATTATTTAACTTTTTTAGGTTTAACAATTATATCATTTTCTTAAGCAGGATCAAATATTCTTTTGTATTCATCCAAACATTATTGATTCATTTCTAAAACCCAATTAATATTAAGTAATCCAACAACTTTTTTTAATTTTTTAAGTGCAAATTCAGCTTAAGCTTCTTCCCAAAAATTAAGAACAAATTATTGAGATTATCTTTCAGAATAAAAATCTCCTTTAAAATCAGATAATGCATTTTCAATATTAATGGCATCACTTGAAGAGACTTCATAAAATGTTTTAATTTTAGCTTTGAATGGTTAATGATCTCTTTTAATGATTCCTTTTTATACTTTAATAAAATATTCAGATAGTTTAATTTTTGGAATGCAAGTGTCTTAAGTTTTATAAAGACTAAATAAATACTATTTATTTTAAGTCTTTAAAATTTAAACATCAAATTTGTAATGTCTGGAAAAAAGTGTTTATAGAGCAACTTTTTTTAATTCAGACCATTCAGATCTTGGAAATGAAAAATCATATCCCTCTTCAGGTTTAGAATGTACAAGAAAATGCTCTATTTTTTCTTCCATTTTTTATAGATTTTATAAATTATAATGAGTATATTTGAGTAAGATATCTGGATAGTAAGTTTTTTCAATATCAACAAGAGAATTAGATTTATAAAAAGCACCAAAACGTTTAATATTTTAGCATTTTTAATCACATTTCAATGTTTTTTCAATTAATTCATCAACTACTCCACATTCAGTGAAAGTATCCCTATTACCACAAGTACAAACAATTCTAATTTAAATTTTGCATGGTTCTTTAGGACATGGTAAATTTGGATGACAAATTTCTTAACATAAGTGATTACATAATTTTTTAATATTACATTTTTAACCACAACCTTCTGATCCATTTCCAGGACATTATTCTTATGCTTAACATATTTCTTAACATTTGTGTCCACAATTTAATAATTTATTACAATAATTTCTACATACAGCTTATTTAGAACAAATAGTAGAAAGTTTATTTTCTTTACATCTACAAAATTTTTCAATTTATTCCATACAATTAGGACATGGTCCAGGATGACATAAAGATTTACAACTATGTCCACATTCTAAAATTTTATTACAAACTTCTAAACATGAGGGAGGTGCAGTACCACATTTCATAGGAGGATTTTTAACACTTTTACCACAAGGACAAAATAATGGTTAATTAATAATTATTGGACATGGTTAACATGCACCAATATGACAAAATTAATCACAATTATGTTAACCACATGGTAAAGGTTTGTTACATACTTTAAGACATAAATGAGATTCTTAATCTCCAGGTGGACAACATTCTTTTTAACAAAAATGAACTCCACAAGATTTTCTTTTTTTACATACATCATCACAAACAAATAGTGATTTATCATTACATACTTTTACTCTTGTAGAATCTCCACATCGACATTTCTCTTTTACTTTTTATGTGCATTCTGGATAATCAGATCCACAAATTGTTCTACTTTTATGTCCACAATTAAGAGTTGTTTCTATTGGAGTTCCACAATTTGGAATTGGATCTAAACAAGATTTTCTTTATTCTTTTATTAGATCATTTATTTTATATTTCCCACAAGCACAAAATATTATTAATTCTGGTTTTAATTTGCATGGTTAACATTTTGGATGACATTATTCTAAACATTAATGTTAACCACAATCAAGTATTTTCCCACATATTTTACCACATGAATAAGAGGATTATGCACAATTTATACTATTCTTTTCATTTCCACAATAACATTATACTTCATGAATCTCTATACATGGTTAACAATTTCCATTATGACACTAATATTATTTATTATATTTATTACTTATTTCTAACAAATGTGTTTATTGCAATTTAACATTTTACCACAAGATTAACCGCATGAAAAATCTTTCTTTATCTCACTGCATTACATTTATTTTGTTTTCTTACCACAAAAACATTTTAATTCAACTCCTTATACATGACATTCAGGACATGGTCCAGGATGACAATCCATAGGACAAGGATGTGGACAATATTATCCTCTCTTTTTTTAACATTTCTATGAACATGAATGTGGAACAGAATAAGAGTCTGCTTCTGGATCCTTTTATTTTCCACAAAAGCATGTGTATTCTGGTAATTTATCTTATATTAATAAATTGCATTTTGGACAACTCCAACTGAACAATTCATTTACGTTTTTTGGATTTAAATTTTTTATCCATTTATGCATACAATATAAATGGAAAGGTGAATAACACTAAGAACAACTCCATATTTTTTGTTATGGATGAATTTTATCATAACATACTGGACATTCTATTTTTCTTTATTTTAACATTTTTATTAAGGTCTATGTCAACTCTTTTTACTTCACTTTTGTTATATCAAATTTCTATGTTTCTATTATATTACTTTTTAATTAATACCTTCTTCTTGTTATGGCTCATCTCTTCTATAGTCATTATCTTACTCAACATTCGATTAAAATCTTTTTTGATAATTTTTGTTGTCTTTTTAATTATTTTGTTTCTAATACTATTTATAATCATTGTGTTTATTTTAATTTTGCTATTACTATTACTATTCTCGCTTTTCGTTATCATATTTATTTTTTTAAAAATGTTATTACTATTTTTTTTAAGGATTATATTGTTTTTATTATTGCTCCTATTTCTGTTCTATTTACTATTACTCATACTCCTCTTTTGTTACATATTCATACACTTCTTAGCGAGGTCTATAATTTCCTCGCTTGTTATATTGATTGTTCATTAATTAAAATTATTTAAAGTCAATTTTTTGCGTTTAGACTCAAATATAATTTATCACTATTATTCTTTAATAATTTCCAAGACTCACACTTTTTATCAGAAAGTTTGTTATTCATATTGAATTCATGATCTAGACATAACTCTAAGCATAAATAAGTGCCATTATCCGAATCAATGTCTAAACTCTATATAAATCGAAAGTATTACGAAGTTTCTAAAAGTTTCCATATAAAGCTATCTTAACTAAATAAACTTGATTTTCTCTTTACTTTATTATGGATTTTAATTCAACTCTATATATATTGAATTCTCTCTCTTTCTCTTATGTTTAAGTTGGAAGAATTTTTATCATTTGCTATTTACATTATAAAAAAAAGAGAATCTAAAATATTTTCGATTTGAAAAGAAATTTAGTTTAAAAAGATATATTAATAAGTAAGTATTTTTTATTTTAAATAGATCTTTCTAAAGAGTAATTATACAAGATTATTGTAATTAAATTTGTATAAGAAAATGAAATAGAAAAAATGTTTATAGTTTTTTTTATTTTAGTAAGATGTGTTAAGTAGTAAATTTTGTTCCTAGTAACAGAATTAAATGGTTGAATAAATATGTTTAAATAATTTATTTTTCATAATTTATTCTAATAATCTTTCTAATTTCTAAGTTTAAAAACGATTAATGAGTAGAAAGTTTAATAATAAATACTTATTTTATAAATATATGAATAGTAAATATCAAAACTCAGGATGTAAATTGAAAGAAGATGCTCCATCTGATGGATTATATAATTAATCAAAATAAAGTGCTGATTTTAATGGGAACCTAGAGTTCTCAAAAAATAAGAGTAATTCGGTAGCTTCATCTTTAAATGGAATGTCAGAACATATTAATGATGTTACACCTCCATTTGGTAATAAAGTAGATCTTAAAGGGTTTTAACCTGCAGATTTAGAATTATTCCCTTTCGAACCAAAATCAGAAAAAAACAAGTATGATAAATTATATCAACTCTAAGTTTTCGTTTTTTATATGAATTTTGGCCTTCATTCAACTAGATTTTTTGTTATGGTAGATTTATGACAGGTCCTAAAGGTGATAGATATCATAATATATTTACTTGGATTATGATTATTGGAATAAGCACTTGTTTTTTTGTAATTGTTGCACCATATGTTTGGTAAAAATTGCATTGGCTTTATGTTTTAATTGTAATTTATTTATTTATAAGTACAATACTATTTTTAGTGTTAACTTAAGTAATCATATTAATTATATTTTAAATAGTTCTCTGATCCAGGAATAATACCAAGAAAAACTATATTAGAATTATCTGATTAAAATACACATTTTATTAGTAAAGAAGATGCTAAAATTGAAGGAACTGGCGGATGTCCAGATAAAAGGAAAAAGAAATATTAAAATTAAGAATAAAGAATTTGTTCAACTTGTTAAATTGTTAAACCATTAAGATGTTCTCATTGTAAAGATTGTGGAAATTGTGTTTAAGTTTTTGATCATCATTGTCCATTTGTTAACAATTGTATAGGATAAAGAAATTACAGGTTTTTTATAGCATTTTTAGTTTCATTGCTTCTTTTAGCAATTGGAGAATTAGGAGGATTCTTAATATTATTTATAGGAAATTTTGGAGAAGGTATATCAGGAAAAGATGGCATATGTAATATATATTTAAAATATCATATAAGTGATATAAAATTAGACCATTTTAGTTATAGTGTTATTTGCTTTAGGAATTCCAACGATCTTATTGACTTTATGTATATTAGTTTTTGCTTGTTTTCACATTTGCTTAGCTTACAACGGAAAAACAACGAAAGAACAACTTTAAAAAAAGAAAATAACAAATAAAGGTATTATACCATCTACTGTATGGTGTGATAAAGCAAAATCCTTATTTAATCTACGTCAAAAAATTCATATTTCAAAAGTTTAAAAATTACAGCTAGTTGCTTGATAATTAAATCGTTTTTATTATATTTTTTGTTCCAACAATTTATAAGTAGGAATTTTAAAATAAAGCCAAATGTGAATGCTTGTTTTAAAATATATATATGTAGCATATATTTTCTTTATAAAAATATTAAGTTTTTTTGCTTAATGTTATTTGTTTGTACTTAATTTCTTAAATTTTTCAACTCAAATTATTATTATCATCTTTCTTAATTAACCTAATTATAAACCATTATGGGTTCTCATATCTGTTAGAACATTTAGCCCTAATCTGAAGACTAAATTACTCAAGAAAAGAAAATTAAAATAAATATTCACAGGCCTCCATAAATACAAAAACCTTAACCAATAATAAATTTAATATTCCCTGAAGAAAATACATAATATGAAAAAGAACGGATGAATTCCTTACCTAAATAAAATTCTTCAGATAATACTCTTACTAAATAAGAACTAAATGAAAATAAACGTGATCCATTAGACATTAATTTAATAAATGCCTTAAATGATCAACTAGATCTTCAAAATAATTCAATAGAAGATTCTTATAGTGGATTTTAAGAGGGTATTTGTTAATTATATATAAACTAGTCAAACATAAATCTATTTTAAAAAATAAAGTAATGGCTGGATCTAATTCTTCAAGTCCCAAGAATGCTTAAAAAGACATCGAATCTATAGGATCCTAAAGATCAATTAAAAAAGTTACCTTTGATAAAAAATAAAAAGTTATATACAGTAGTTTTAGAAAACCTAAAGCTTGAAATTCTTGAGTTCTTATCTTTTGATTTATTATTTGATTTACTTAAATTTGATATCTTTCTTATACATTATTTTAATTTGATTTAAAGAATACTCTTGCCTACATTTAATAAAATATCAAATTGTTTAGGTTGTGAGGACAATAAAAAATTATTATAATTGATGAATAATTTAGAGATATAAAATGAATAACAATCTTAAAACAATGATGAAGGAGAATAAGAAGAAGATTCAGATTCTCTTCATAATAAATTGTTATTAAACAATATTCCTACACCATCTCGAACAGAATCTAATTTTTAGACATCCACTAATAAATCTATTCATAGAAAGTCAATATAATAACTTAATCAATTAAGCGATAATATGTAGTTTAAATTAGAATCCAAAAATCAAGATGCTTCATATAATGATCTCGATTTAAAGAAATAAACATAAATATCATATAATTCTTCTAAATCATCAAAAACATAAGCCTCAATGAAGATTAGTTTATTATAGGCCTCATTAATTGCTAAAGATTAATTGATATTAAACTTATAAGAAGAAGTTAAATAATTAAAAAAACATTAAATTAACAAAGATCAATAAATCATTGAACTTTCAAAGAACTATGAAATCAAACTCTCACAAATGTTTTAAAGAATTACAGATTTAGAAAAAATAATCAAAGAGAAAGATCATGATATTGAATTGTTTAAAAATGGAAATAATACCTTAAATCTACAGGATTTATCAGTAATTACAAATAAATAAAACGATACAAAAAAAATTAAACTAAATGATCTTTAATAAAATGAATCATAAGGATATCGATAAAATGCTGAATTATATCTCAATAGCAATTTTTGGTTGATTTCTGCTGAAAAAAAACTTTATGGCAATAATCCAGTATTTAACTATTAATCAAAAGATGTACTTGATGCAAAATAATCATAATTCTATTAATAATAATAAAAAGTAAGTGATAAATCATATTGGCCAAAATAAAATGTAGAATCAAATAAATAAATAAAACATAATTCTAATGTGTAATTACCTAAATTAGTTGAAATGAATTCTCAAATTAATTTATAATAGCTTAAATATTATCATAATAATTTAAGGAGTTCAAGTCTTTAATAAAATAATTATAAGAATTATTCATCAATGTCTTAACTTAATATAAATAAGGATGTTATACCTTATGATCCTGATGATTTTATAGCAGATTAAGAAATAAAATAGATTTTTACTATTTAATCACCTGTTAAAAAAGAATCTATAGACTGGGATTCTTAACCGTCAAATAAATACATGATAACATAAAATCCTAATTTGAATTAAGCTAAATTAGATTATATCGATAAAGTGTAATTATCATAGAATAATATTTATTAACGTAAGCAAAACTAACATAAACTATCTAATAAATGATATTTTTTGTTATATTTATTTAATAATATTATTATTATTTTAGAAATAATAAATATGAAATTTAATACAATAAAATTTTAAGATTTAGAAATAAAATGTATGAATTTCAATTTAGATTATTGATATTTTTTGATTAAATAGATGAATCATTTTATAAAAAATAGATATGATTAAATATGAATTGATTTTAAAATTGCAATTTAATTATATTTTAATTAAATCAATGTTTAATGTGAGGAAAGGAATTGAATAAAATTTAGCATAATATATAACTTTAGTAATAATAATTAGATAATATATAGTTATAAGTATATCAGTGATTAAATTTTTCTGTAATTTATTAGCTTTTACGTAAGGCTTCTTAAAATAGTTGATCAATATTAGTTATTCTTCTTTAATTTTCTTTGAGTTAAATGAGTGGTTTTTTTTTTGTTTCTAAACTTGATTTATTAATTTATAAGGGCATATCCTTAGCTCTAAAACTAGGTTCATTTTCAATAAAGCTAAATAATCTGACAGGTTGTTAACTTGATACAGATTCTTAGATTGATGATGTGATAGATTGATCATCATGTCTAAAACTAGGAGACGTTTATCCTTTATAACTGCTAATAGTTGATTATCTAGTTGTTTTCTGATAGGAACTTCTTCTATCTTTAGATCTTGCTCTAATTTATTAGAGAGCATCAATAGAATGTTATGAACGTTGAATGCACTGATTGACAATTTCTGTTAAATTTTGATTGTGTTTGGTACATTATTATCTACCTCTTGGTTGTTATTCTATTAATTGATTGTTAGATTTGATTAATTCTGATTATCTACGGACAGTTGCCATTCTAAATGGGTCTAACATTATTAAAAATAATAATAAATTTTTATTAAATTTGGTTAATAAATGAAATGTTTAAAATGGATAGAAGTATAAATAAATATGATTAACAGAAGATAAAATAAACATATATAATATTTTTATTGAAGAATCTTCATTATTTATTTAGCTTTTAATACCATAATGGAACTAATTTGGAATAGAGTTCTGGTTTTATGCTTAGTTCTTATTTATTGAAGTCGAAAAGATTAGGTGTCTTAAAATTTTAATTGGAGAATCCCTCTTTTCTGAGGTCATCAAAATATGGATGGAGAAGTGCATCAATAGGTTATATTCTTGTTTTTGGGGAATAGCTATAATAATAAATGTTAGATTAAATACGTAAGCATTTATGTAATAAGATCTAAAAAGAGTGGTTCTGGTTTTTATTTAGCAAAAACTTTTGTCCAAGGATTCCCTCTTATCATAGGTAATCTGACTTCAGCCTTAGCAGGATTCATATGATTAATGTCTTCAGGAGTAGGAGTACTTAGTATCTTAATAATTTAAAGTAATTAATCTTAAGCACTTTCTCCAGGAAATAAAGGTTCAAGAATCACCATTTCGGCAATTACACAACCAATAGACCACATATCAATTTAAGTATTATAATCTGTTGCTCCAAATATTAATTCAGGAGCTCTATAATAACGTGAACAAATGTATGCAATATTGGGTTCTCCAACTACAAGTCTTTTAGCAGAGCCAAAATCGCATATTTTTAAAACATTGTTTTCTAAATTAACCAAGATATTCTAAGGCTTAATATCTCTATGACAAATGCCAATCGCTAGAGTGATTATTTTTCTCTAATACCCTATAAATAAAGTAATGCCCGAATCATCTAGTAACTGTAAAGCTTTATTAATGGAGCAGGAATGCTTTACTTCTATTTTCTCATTTGTCTAATCATTTTTGATAATGTCTCTGGTACATATTCCATAACTAGATTGAGGTACACATCTTATGGCTAATTAATGAATGTAGATTATGTACATTTTCCCCTGGTGTGAAAAAGGAGTGTTTTAACATTACTACACATGGATGGTTCAATTCTTGAATAATGAGGTGCTCCCTATTCTTATATCTACGATCTTGGTACACCTTCTTTATTGCTACCTTCTCTTTAGTCCTGTTATCAGTCGCCTAGTTCATCCTTTACCATATTTACCAAATACACCATTCCAAATGTTCCTGTACCTACAACTTATTCAAGAGTGAAGTCCTTATCTGATTATTATAACATTTAATTATTTCATTAACAATAATTGATTATCCTATACCAAAATTCAATTTTTATTATACTAATAATAATAAAACAGACTCAAAATTCATCTAAATCTTATAAACTAAACTTGAGCATTTCTTACAATAATTTTAATTTTGTTTAATCCACTAAATTTTCCATAGAATAAATTAAAAAGAAAGTCAACCATAATAATATAGTATATAACTCAAGTGTAATAAATGTACTATCTCTATTCAATTGATGATTTAATTAACTCCTTAATTGCTAAAACTTTTACTTAAAGTACTATAAAGATTAAAGTAAACTCAAACATAAAGCCTACTTAATAATCAATTTATTATAAATTTTTATAAGATGCTAAAGAATCAAAAAAACATATAGAACCTAAGTTAATATATCAGGCTTCAAATCAATAAGCATATAAAAGTAGTAGTTACCAAAGTAATACAATTTTATCTTAAGGTTTTATATTATAAACTATATCATTAGCCTATTCAAACTAGAACTAACAAAAAATGTTTAATTAAAAATATTCATTCGGGGAAACAATAAAGATATGCTTCTATTAGTACTGTACGATTAAATCAAATAAGTTAAATTTGAGAATTTGGAAAAGGATTCACTTGTTAATTTTTTGATATTCTGCTTTTCAAAATAAGATTTAAATGAATTTACATCTAAATAAGGTATTACATAAGATAAGTTGTTTCATTAGCATTTTATAGACTTATATTCTAAAAATGCATTTAACCTTAGATTAAATATATATGTTTAAATATGTTATTAAATCAGGTATGTTTATAATTCATTTCTGTTGATTTCATCTTTCTTAATTTAAACTGGACAGGATTCCTATGAAATGGTTTTTCTTAATTGTATTATATACGATATTCTGTTCTTATTTAATCACCTTCTAATTAAAATAAATTTATAACCATTCATATTTTCATGAGGAATCCAACCAGATCCATCAAATTACATATGATTCTTCTAAAAACCTGATGTTTTTGTTTGGGCTTATGAAGTTTCTAAATATCTATCTGTCTTTCGAAATCTAGATTATATTTTCATAAGTTTATACGTTGGAGCAACAAGATTTTAAGGCTTCTTGAAACCGTCTTAATAAGATGTAATCATTTTATCTATGTGAGTACAAGGATGATGTTTTAGGATAGTTTGACATCCATATTTGTGTGAATAAGCTTCTTTATGAGGATCTATCAATTCTTTAGAGTCAAAGTTAAATCCTGTTGAAGACAATTTATTAAACTTTCCTAATTTAGAATCTGCAAATGACTTTCTAGCCACTTCAGAGAATCTTTCTCCATATAAATTTTCAGATTAGACATATGGAACATATCCTGCATATCCAGGAACTGCTGTATTCTTAGGCTCTTAAGGCAACTAACAGATTTGAGTTTATTCTTTTACTTATGTATAGTGATTGATATAACTTGTCCTGTAAAAGTTATTTTTTGACCATTCATGAAAGGTCTTCTCTTGAATTGGAGGTTGAGATTTGCTAGACATTTTTAATTTATAAAAAATATATATCAAAAATTCATACTCTCTATCCACATTAACATTCCTTCAGTAGTTCGATCTCCCTTATATTCAATAGGAATCTTATCATTCATTTTATATAGATATAAGGTAGGATATCTTTCTATTTTAAGTCCATTAATTTTATTTAATTCTCCATTGATTTTACCAATTCTTACTTTATTTGGTTTTATTGATGTCTTTCCTGTTCTAATCTAATTATTCAATCTAATTAAATTCTATAACATTGAAGCACATAAATCACAATCCTAAGAATAAAAATAAATCAAATAATTCCTATTAGTATCCTTAACATGCTCTTCGAAATTATGTCCTACTACAATTTCAATACCTTCTTACACTTATTTCCCTGGGACATCTTCACTTTAAATATCATACAATAATTAACCCTCTTGATATCTTTAGATAAATTTATTCAACTTATCATAATGTAATTGATCATCAAAATTAATACTTTATACATCTTGCCATGTCTTACCTTCACATTTCAATAATTTTATAGCTGGTAATTAATCAATTTAAAGTAATTAGATTAATTTATTTACAGATTTATCCTAATTGTTTGCTTCAACCAATAATAAATTTTCATTTTTCACTTTCTAAAATTCATTCAATTAATCTTATTGAGAATTTTCATAGAATAAAACCATTGCAGGTTTTCCTTACTCAAAAATTTATGATGCAACTTCTCTTGAAAAATTTATGGCTTATGCTACTTAAATTAAAAATAATAACATAATATTAATAATAAATTTCATGCTAAGATTTCTGATTCTTATTCTAATTCCTAAAGTTATTTAGTCAAATATGAATATTTATCCTGCAATTCATTACTCTTTACTTACAACATATCATGATATTTAACTAATTCTTAAACTCTGTCTCTGTAAATATGTCTCTCATGATGTAATGCTTATTAATATACTTCCTTATTGATTTGAATTTCAGCTATTTTATCATTCAATAATTAGATTTCTTATTCTAATTATAGATTTCTCACTTCATAACCTTTCATTAATTTAGTGATTCGATTTGCAAAGAATTATTATTTTTTATTTAATTTTTCATATTATACTCTTGTTCTTCTAAAATATTCAATAAAAATAGCCATTCTTACTTCTTCATCTATTTTTTCAATATTTACAAATTTAGATTCTTCATAGTCAAAATATAATTATTATCTGACTTAATTCCAAATGATATCAAGATCATGTAAATTTTAATCTCCTAATAATATTTGTCTTTCTTCTTATAATAATTCCTTAGCTAGAGTAATATCTCCTAAACCATTAGAATTATCATAAATATCTTCTTTAATTAATTGTATTAGAGTGTAATTGAGAATATCTTCTATTTCATTTCTAAATTAATCTTGAGTAAATTCATAAATTGAACCCTATGGTAACTCTTTTGGTGGAGGTAAATTCTTTTGATGAGCTAATGTTTTTTATCTAAATTTTTTTTATTAATCAACTAATTTTTTTTATTTAATAATCTTTAGTTTATCCTCAGCATCCATTTCTCTAAAATAAAATAAATATAAATAAATTACAATTCCATTTCTTTTTATTCTTCATTATCCATTTTAGGAATTTCAATCGTGAATTCATTTTTCGGTTTAGGTAGAGATTTTAATTTTTATTTAATCATTTCTTTTAATTTCTATTCATTTTTCAATTATTATTGTCTTTCTTATTCAGCATTAATATATGCAACACTTTAACTAGGTTCTTCCCATGCTCTTTCATATTCTTCAATATTAATACCAAAAGCATCATTTGAAGTTTCTACTTACCTTTTTGGAGTTTCCTTTAAAAGATTAGCTAATTAATTTGGAGTTTAATTTCCAATATTTTTACTAATATCAATAGGATTATTCATTCCACCAACTAAAGGTGTTTCTGTATGNGCTACTTAAATTAAAAATAATAACATAATATTAATAATAAATTTCATGCTAAGATTTCTGATTCTTATTCTAATTCCTAAAGTTATTTAGTCAAATATGAATATTTATCCTGCAATTCATTACTCTTTACTTACAACATATCATGATATTTAACTAATTCTTAAACTCTGTCTCTGTAAATATGTCTCTCATGATGTAATGCTTATTAATATACTTCCTTATTGATTTGAATTTCAGCTATTTTATCATTCAATAATTAGATTTCTTATTCTAATTATAGATTTCTCACTTCATAACCTTTCATTAATTTAGTGATTCGATTTGCAAAGAATTATTATTTTTTATTTAATTTTTCATATTATACTCTTGTTCTTCTAAAATATTCAATAAAAATAGCCATTCTTACTTCTTCATCTATTTTTTCAATATTTACAAATTTAGATTCTTCATAGTCAAAATATAATTATTATCTGACTTAATTCCAAATGATATCAAGATCATGTAAATTTTAATCTCCTAATAATATTTGTCTTTCTTCTTATAATAATTCCTTAGCTAGAGTAATATCTCCTAAACCATTAGAATTATCATAAATATCTTCTTTAATTAATTGTATTAGAGTGTAATTGAGAATATCTTCTATTTCATTTCTAAATTAATCTTGAGTAAATTCATAAATTGAACCCTATGGTAACTCTTTTGGTGGAGGTAAATTCTTTTGATGAGCTAATGTTTTTTATCTAAATTTTTTTTATTAATCAACTAATTTTTTTTATTTAATAATCTTTAGTTTATCCTCAGCATCCATTTCTCTAAAATAAAATAAATATAAATAAATTACAATTCCATTTCTTTTTATTCTTCATTATCCATTTTAGGAATTTCAATCGTGAATTCATTTTTCGGTTTAGGTAGAGATTTTAATTTTTATTTAATCATTTCTTTTAATTTCTATTCATTTTTCAATTATTATTGTCTTTCTTATTCAGCATTAATATATGCAACACTTTAACTAGGTTCTTCCCATGCTCTTTCATATTCTTCAATATTAATACCAAAAGCATCATTTGAAGTTTCTACTTACCTTTTTGGAGTTTCCTTTAAAAGATTAGCTAATTAATTTGGAGTTTAATTTCCAATATTTTTACTAATATCAATAGGATTATTCATTCCACCAACTAAAGGTGTTTCTGTATGTTATAAAGCAATAATATTTTAAGCTTCTCTCAATACTGTATTAGGTGCTCTTGGAGTTCTCATATTAGATTGACTTTAATCTCTTGTAGAATAATTTCCTACTAAAGCTCTAGTAGCAGAAGTAGTATGTTCAGAGATTTCATTAACTGCATTGATTTTACCTAATAATTCTAAATCTTAATCTTTTAATTAGGGTTAGGGTAATTATAATTTAGTTTAGGGTGTAAATTTAACTTAATATTTATTTTAGAAAGAAACAGCTTAATCTAATTCTCTTTCTTTTAATTTCTTAATTCTTCTTTAATCAATTTTTCTTCTTATTTCTTCTTCTTCATCTCTTCTCTGTCCTTCTAATGCTTAAAGACTAACATTGGATATCTTTTTATCAGGTTCTGGTTCTTCTCCTGTAGTTTCATGTACAAAATCAGGAACCATTCTTTCAAATGCCAATTCTCTATTATAATTAATTCCTTTGTATTTTCTATCTTATAATTTAATATGATGTTTTTCTATTCTATGATTAATATATTAAATTCCTGCAGCTTTTAATTCTCTTTTCTTTTACAATAAAGCTAATCTTCTTGCTTCTTCAATTAATTTTCCTCTGGCCTTTCTTTTAGCTTTTTTTCCTTTTGTATTTGCTAATCTAACTCTTGCTTCTGCTAACATTTCTTTTTCATCTTCATCCATATCTATAGGATCAGGTCTTGCTGCTTTTGTTTCAGGATTTGGATCAATTTCTCCTGGTCTTAATCTTCTTGGATCATTTGGATCATTTAGATCTTTACCTTAAGCCTAAAGTAATATTTATATAATATTAATACTAAATCTAATAGTTTCTCATATTATTCAACACATTGCATTGGAGTACGATCAACTATTGGTGCTATTGTTCTCCATTAACTTGGAAATATCTTTGCAAGATGAAGCACCTTCTCTTATTCCTCTCTTGTCCATTCTGTTTTCTTTATTGAAGGATCAAGCCATTCATACCAACGTTATTTACATTACTTTGCTGATTTTCTAACAAGTAGTGATGATATACGAGACCATTAATTTAAACCATATTTCATTACAGCTGCTTTAAGAATCTCATCTTCACTATTCTTCCAAACACCACCTAAATTTTATTAATAAGAAACTTCTACCTTTTATAATGTACCTCATTTAGAATATTAATAAATTAATTTATTTAAACTTATCATCTATTCTTTTTTATTTTTTATTAACATCCTATTTAAATAAATATTTGTTATCATATTAGTTTACATTACAATCTTTTTAAAATCATTCTCAAGATATAAATTATAAATACATCAAATAATGATTCATTTAGAATCTAATCAATATTTATTTTTAAATTATGATTGCTGCTGAACATCAACCTTAATTTTCATATCAACATTATTATTGAATGATTTAAAATGGTAAGTCAATATTAAACCTCAATTTCTTTCTAATTAATAGATGAAGAATAAAAATAAAATAAGAAGATAGATTGGTAAATAATATATTCATTTTAGAAATAAGCTTCGTGAATATATTAGGTGATAATCAAAAATAAGATAAATAATAGAGAGAAAAATATCTAAAAGGAAAAGTAGATCAAAAAGCAAAGAGAAAAATAATCATTAAATAATATGAAATAAGAGATTTACAGTTCCAATAATGTAAATGGATGAATTGAGAAAATTAAGAAGAACTTATGCATATTAAAATGCTATATATAGATTAAATAAAGTGAAGAAAAAGATCTTAAAACATTCTGAAAAGTAAAAAGATAGATCTAATTTGGAATGGGATACTACAGAAGATAGATACTTCAATTAATTTTAATCCATTATATATGAAAAAAAATAAATGCGAATGGATAACTTTCGAAAGTATAGTAAGACAAAGATTGTAATTAATTACAAACTTAAGATTATTGGATTAAGTAATCCACATGTTACTACAATATATTGGAGAAAATTAGAGAAGATATGAATATCTTAATTAATGGACGAAGGAAGAGTTCTAAATCTGATTAGAGAATGGAATAAAATACTATTACCTAAAAATTTAATGAACTCTATTTAAAATTTAATTATGCAAGGCTAAAACCAATTATACTAATAGGTTTAGAAAGAAATATTACATCTACAGGTAGCAGTAAATTAACTGCATTTTTAATTAATTTAATAAATTACTTATTAAAATTACAAAAATAGGATGAACATTATTCATTAAAAAATGGCTCCACCAAGAGAATTACAGGTTAAAAGTTGAGATCATTTGTAATAGTTGGAATAAGAAGAATAGGAATTTAATTTAAAAAAAGGAATTGAAATGATAATAGGAACACTAGGTAGAATTAATGATTTTTTAATGAAAAAATAGTTAGACTAATAATGGTGTTCATAGATCGTTTTAGATGAAGCAAATAAAATGATTGATTTAAGATTTGAATTAGATGTTAATTATTTCTTAGATTCAATTACTACTTAAATGAAATTGCTGCAGATATAGAAGAAAAATTAGTGTAGGCTGGAGAAAAGTATGATGAAATTGAAAAATTAGACAAAAGATTTTTAAGAAACATCTGGTTTTATTATAATTGGAGAACCAGAAGGAGGCAATAAAGATATTGAATAAAAAATAGAAATGGTTAAGGAATTTTTATTAATCAACTCTAGAAATTGTTAGCAGAAAATATACCGCCAGAAATATGGAGTGATAATAGAAGCCAAATATTTTGAAGTAATTCTGTAGTTTATCTTGGAAGCAAAATCTAATAATTAGGAGAAGCTTCAGTTGATAGTATTAAATCAAAAATGATTGATATTCTAAAAGCTACAGATTTTGTACCTAGAGATTACATTTTTAACGAATTTAAATGGTTATCAATTTTTATGCTCCAAAAAATATTTAAATAACAAATGTTTTTTAAAGGATTTTATTAATAGAACATGAGAAATGGTAGAGCAAGAAAAAGAGATTTAGCTTTGATATTTCTAACTAATTCAAATTAAGATCTATTTTATGATCTAAAGAATATATAATTAAAAGTGGACAAAATGCTTCAACTTAGATGGCTTAACAGACCGCCTTAAATCAAAAACTTGGTTTTGTACATAATAATGTGCCAAGGAAAAAATAAGTAATTTTGGCGCATTGATAACANAATAAAAATAAAATAAGAAGATAGATTGGTAAATAATATATTCATTTTAGAAATAAGCTTCGTGAATATATTAGGTGATAATCAAAAATAAGATAAATAATAGAGAGAAAAATATCTAAAAGGAAAAGTAGATCAAAAAGCAAAGAGAAAAATAATCATTAAATAATATGAAATAAGAGATTTACAGTTCCAATAATGTAAATGGATGAATTGAGAAAATTAAGAAGAACTTATGCATATTAAAATGCTATATATAGATTAAATAAAGTGAAGAAAAAGATCTTAAAACATTCTGAAAAGTAAAAAGATAGATCTAATTTGGAATGGGATACTACAGAAGATAGATACTTCAATTAATTTTAATCCATTATATATGAAAAAAAATAAATGCGAATGGATAACTTTCGAAAGTATAGTAAGACAAAGATTGTAATTAATTACAAACTTAAGATTATTGGATTAAGTAATCCACATGTTACTACAATATATTGGAGAAAATTAGAGAAGATATGAATATCTTAATTAATGGACGAAGGAAGAGTTCTAAATCTGATTAGAGAATGGAATAAAATACTATTACCTAAAAATTTAATGAACTCTATTTAAAATTTAATTATGCAAGGCTAAAACCAATTATACTAATAGGTTTAGAAAGAAATATTACATCTACAGGTAGCAGTAAATTAACTGCATTTTTAATTAATTTAATAAATTACTTATTAAAATTACAAAAATAGGATGAACATTATTCATTAAAAAATGGCTCCACCAAGAGAATTACAGGTTAAAAGTTGAGATCATTTGTAATAGTTGGAATAAGAAGAATAGGAATTTAATTTAAAAAAAGGAATTGAAATGATAATAGGAACACTAGGTAGAATTAATGATTTTTTAATGAAAAAATAGTTAGACTAATAATGGTGTTCATAGATCGTTTTAGATGAAGCAAATAAAATGATTGATTTAAGATTTGAATTAGATGTTAATTATTTCTTAGATTCAATTACTACTTAAATGAAATTGCTGCAGATATAGAAGAAAAATTAGTGTAGGCTGGAGAAAAGTATGATGAAATTGAAAAATTAGACAAAAGATTTTTAAGAAACATCTGGTTTTATTATAATTGGAGAACCAGAAGGAGGCAATAAAGATATTGAATAAAAAATAGAAATGGTTAAGGAATTTTTATTAATCAACTCTAGAAATTGTTAGCAGAAAATATACCGCCAGAAATATGGAGTGATAATAGAAGCCAAATATTTTGAAGTAATTCTGTAGTTTATCTTGGAAGCAAAATCTAATAATTAGGAGAAGCTTCAGTTGATAGTATTAAATCAAAAATGATTGATATTCTAAAAGCTACAGATTTTGTACCTAGAGATTACATTTTTAACGAATTTAAATGGTTATCAATTTTTATGCTCCAAAAAATATTTAAATAACAAATGTTTTTTAAAGGATTTTATTAATAGAACATGAGAAATGGTAGAGCAAGAAAAAGAGATTTAGCTTTGATATTTCTAACTAATTCAAATTAAGATCTATTTTATGATCTAAAGAATATATAATTAAAAGTGGACAAAATGCTTCAACTTAGATGGCTTAACAGACCGCCTTAAATCAAAAACTTGGTTTTGTACATAATAATGTGCCAAGGAAAAAATAAGTAATTTTGGCGCATTGATAACATATGAAAAATTTGAATCATAGATCACTTTACAAAAATGTATGCAATTATGGAAAGAGTGGAGAACGAAATAAATTGTTCACACATCTTTATAACAAAATAATTCCATGTCTTGTATTCCCAAACAACTTTCGATGTATAATATTGTACTTGAAAACTTATACAAAAAAACACAGCTAAAGAAAGCGCCAAAATTAAATCACGTTCATCCTATTATAAATTTGATTCATTACTTTTAACTTTAAAATGTTGTAAAAGATTGTTATTAAACAAGCTTATAAAAGTCTTCCTGCCAATTCTAAAAATAAAGGTTAATTATTTTATTAATTGTTCTCCTTTTCTTTTTCTAATTTCACATTAGCCTCTTTCATATATCGATCACGAAAAATAACTGAGTACCAATAGAAACCTATTATCATTGTACTGATTGTTCCAAATAATATTGACAATAATTTTGGTATCATGTCGTTTAATTAATTAATATTATATAAATACATAAATTTTTTTCAGTTAACTATGTACATTACCATGAAAGGAGATTTAGTTGAATTAAATGAAGTATCTTTATCTTTATTAAGTAATAGAGAAATCTTGTCATTTCAAGAACTTAAATAGATAACCATACTAAAGTTTAATATAAATAAGAAAAACTAGTGATTAATGATAAAATATTGTTACATAATTTCAATAAACTATTCATTAATAGATTAGATTATGCAATTAAAAATTATGAAATAAGATTACAATAATCCATTCAACAATTTGTATGTAATAGATAAGAAATACTCAAAATTAATTAAACAGATAAAAAATTAGTTACAAGATATCTTTGGATAAATGATAATTATTCTGAAATTAGATATGCTGATGCTCCATTAACTAAAAATTTTAAAAAAAGTATCTTAATCCAAAATTTTAGTCCCATTAAACGAAATTACATGTCAATACCAATAAAATGATGATAAAATTATGAAAGCACTTAAAAAATATGATCTTTACCCTGAGTACCTGTTGACAATTATTCATAAGAAAAAATAGCTTTCTGTTGTTTTTCTCTCTTTTAGAAAATTAAACTCATTTATATCATTTTGTAATTGGATTCTCAAATCGAGAGATTTACCATAAATTGAATTTTCAGCCTTGTTATTCCTAAAATTCAAATTATAATACGCAGCTTAGTAATAAGGTTTACCTATTAAAAAATACTTACTCCTTTAGTTAAATAGAATTAGAACATAACTAACTTTAAAAAGTATTCATTGATCTTTTTTATTGTTTAGGTTTAAAAGAAAAAAATTCTTAGATATTAGAATCAGGTCAATCTTCAGAGAAAAAGAAATGGTCCATTTAATTAACTATAAAAAAATCTAAATAAGAAAGTATGGAAAAGGAAAATATTAATAAAAAAATTTAGTTTTCTTGATATATTATAATTATAAAGTAAATAGTATGCTAAACAAATATCTTAAGTAATATAGTTAATACTATAAAAATAGTTTAATGTGTATGATATTTACTTAAGATTAGGATAAACTTTTTAAACTTCCTGATAATTTTAACAAAAGTATTTAGAAAGAATTAGAGATTTAATATAATAAATAATATAGTTTATATAGAAATGATATTTATAAGATATCATATCTCTTCTTCAATTTCTTTGGCTGCAGCTTCTTTTAAATCCCGTTTTTTTTATTTTTTTTGCAATTTTTTTTATTTTTTTACAAGTTCTCTACGATCTTTTTTAGTCATATCTTCAATGGTTTTTGGTTAAGTAGTTTTATTAGATAGAGCAGCCTTTTTGATCTATTATTTATGAAGTTTCTTTTTGATTTTTCCAGCCTTTCTGTAATTGACCTATTTTCGATTAATATTGCGATCACCAGTCATTAATAAATCGTTAATTTTATTATTTCAAAATACAAAAATGTTCCATACTCGTCCTCATTTACCCACTTACCCTTAAAATCGTGGTATTGAATATAACATATTGAAGCTCATAATAAAGGAGGTAGTGAAACTAGAAAGGCTATAGATCATTATAGTTATGCAATAAATGATGAAATAGGAAGAGGCTTTAGTAGTAGGGTTTATAAAGGAAGAGATGAAAATACACTTGAACCAGTAGCAGTAAAAGTAAAATATATAGAAATATAAAGGTTATTGATATGAAAATGGTTAAATAATCAATTCATGCATAGCTATTAAAAAATGAAATAAATGCTTTAAAGGCATTTAATAGTAAAAATATAATGAAGTTATTTGATGTGTTTTAAACATAGAATAATACTTATATCATAACAGAGTTTTGTGATTCGGTAATACTAAATATAATATATATTCAGGGAGATCTTAACAATTACATAAAAAAGAAGGGAAGGATAGATGAAAGTGAAGCAATTCGAATATTGCAATCAGTAGTGAGTGCTGTCAATGAAATGAATTAGAAGGGATATATTCATAGAGACATAAAACCAGCAAATATTCTTATTGATAAGAATCTTCCAAAATTAGCAGACTTTGGATTTGCTGTGCCAGCTCATGAAGCTAGATTGTAAGGGAAGAATTTCAATGTAGGGACTCCACTTTATATGTCTCCTTAAGCATTGAGATAATAAGGACATACCGAAAAAGGAGATGTATGGGCTATTGGTGTTGTATTCTTTGAAATGTTGTATGGTAATTTATTTAAGTTAATTCCTAGGCAGAACACCATATAATGCCTCATCAGAAGCTGCTCTAATATCAAATATTATGCATTAGTAATTAATGATTCCATCTTCTCCTACTGTTACAGATAAAGCTAAAGATTTTATTAGAAAATGTTTATCTGTTGATGAAAATAAAAGATTAAGAGTTAAAGAAATGGTTCATCATGAAATCATAGAATAAAGAGCTTTAACTCCTGTTGAAAGAGCTCCTCCTAGAAAACCTTTTGAAGAAATTTCTANTATTAGAATCAGGTCAATCTTCAGAGAAAAAGAAATGGTCCATTTAATTAACTATAAAAAAATCTAAATAAGAAAGTATGGAAAAGGAAAATATTAATAAAAAAATTTAGTTTTCTTGATATATTATAATTATAAAGTAAATAGTATGCTAAACAAATATCTTAAGTAATATAGTTAATACTATAAAAATAGTTTAATGTGTATGATATTTACTTAAGATTAGGATAAACTTTTTAAACTTCCTGATAATTTTAACAAAAGTATTTAGAAAGAATTAGAGATTTAATATAATAAATAATATAGTTTATATAGAAATGATATTTATAAGATATCATATCTCTTCTTCAATTTCTTTGGCTGCAGCTTCTTTTAAATCCCGTTTTTTTTATTTTTTTTGCAATTTTTTTTATTTTTTTACAAGTTCTCTACGATCTTTTTTAGTCATATCTTCAATGGTTTTTGGTTAAGTAGTTTTATTAGATAGAGCAGCCTTTTTGATCTATTATTTATGAAGTTTCTTTTTGATTTTTCCAGCCTTTCTGTAATTGACCTATTTTCGATTAATATTGCGATCACCAGTCATTAATAAATCGTTAATTTTATTATTTCAAAATACAAAAATGTTCCATACTCGTCCTCATTTACCCACTTACCCTTAAAATCGTGGTATTGAATATAACATATTGAAGCTCATAATAAAGGAGGTAGTGAAACTAGAAAGGCTATAGATCATTATAGTTATGCAATAAATGATGAAATAGGAAGAGGCTTTAGTAGTAGGGTTTATAAAGGAAGAGATGAAAATACACTTGAACCAGTAGCAGTAAAAGTAAAATATATAGAAATATAAAGGTTATTGATATGAAAATGGTTAAATAATCAATTCATGCATAGCTATTAAAAAATGAAATAAATGCTTTAAAGGCATTTAATAGTAAAAATATAATGAAGTTATTTGATGTGTTTTAAACATAGAATAATACTTATATCATAACAGAGTTTTGTGATTCGGTAATACTAAATATAATATATATTCAGGGAGATCTTAACAATTACATAAAAAAGAAGGGAAGGATAGATGAAAGTGAAGCAATTCGAATATTGCAATCAGTAGTGAGTGCTGTCAATGAAATGAATTAGAAGGGATATATTCATAGAGACATAAAACCAGCAAATATTCTTATTGATAAGAATCTTCCAAAATTAGCAGACTTTGGATTTGCTGTGCCAGCTCATGAAGCTAGATTGTAAGGGAAGAATTTCAATGTAGGGACTCCACTTTATATGTCTCCTTAAGCATTGAGATAATAAGGACATACCGAAAAAGGAGATGTATGGGCTATTGGTGTTGTATTCTTTGAAATGTTGTATGGTAATTTATTTAAGTTAATTCCTAGGCAGAACACCATATAATGCCTCATCAGAAGCTGCTCTAATATCAAATATTATGCATTAGTAATTAATGATTCCATCTTCTCCTACTGTTACAGATAAAGCTAAAGATTTTATTAGAAAATGTTTATCTGTTGATGAAAATAAAAGATTAAGAGTTAAAGAAATGGTTCATCATGAAATCATAGAATAAAGAGCTTTAACTCCTGTTGAAAGAGCTCCTCCTAGAAAACCTTTTGAAGAAATTTCTAATCTTAATATTCCTACTGAACCTTCATAAATTTAAAAGTTTAAACGCTCTTAAAGTCAAGGAGTTAAAGAAGTTCCTATTAAAGAATATAAAACTTAATAAATCGAAGAAAAAAGAAAATTACATGAAGCTAAATAAAAAAAATTATAAGAATAAATTTAAAGATCATCTAGTTAATAACAAGCACTATAACCATAAAAAATTACTAAAACTAGTGCTTTTGAAGAATAATAACCTTAAGTCTAAAAACAAAAAACCATTAGTATGGAATTCAAATCCAATAATGAAGTCCTTTTTAGTTAAATCAATTTTTGTAGATTCTTATATAAATTTTCATAAAATCTTGCTACTTGCAAAATATTTTCAACTGAAATTAGAGATAAATTACTATTTTTAATGGGTAAAAATATTGCAATCAAAATAAATAAATTGGCAACTATTTTAGATAAAGAGAATAAATAAGTTAATATCTTTTAATTAGATGATTATGAAGGATATAAAAAGAGTGAATCTCATAGTAAATTTAGTTAAGCTATCTCAGAATATAATGATAAATATATGAGACATTTTGAGAAAATTTTGAAACTTGCATCTAAGAATGGTATCATTTCTAATTCATATTAAAGAATTCTAAAAAGATTAGTTAATTGGTTGTCTCTGCAATAATGATATTACAGAAAATGAATCTTTCTATAAAATTTCATTATAATACTTAAAACAAAGTATTACAGAAATTAAATCCAATTTTAAGTCAATTTCTGGTCAAAAAGATTTATTACTACCTGAAGAGGTAAAATTTTTATTATATTATTATAGCTTTAAATGCCGTCCTTCATTCTTTTTGGTCTTCATGGATATTAGTAATTGATTTCAAAAACTATGGAAAATTGGTCAGACTATAAACAATTTTAAAAAGCATCATCACCTGAATTACTTATAGAAAGAAAACCAGGATAAATGAATTATGGATAATTGGAACAATTACTTTGAAATATCTATTGATTGTTTCTTTATCAAATATTATTAACTTGAATCTTTTATTTTTAAAATAGGAATTAAAGTGAAAAATATTACTCTATAAATACAATCTAAATATAAAAAGCTGTTTCTCATTTGAGTATTCTAATTAATCATTTCTAATAATATTTTTTCTTGTTTTAAGTGGAATATTGGAATTTTTGAATATTTTCCTCTTAAAATGATCTCAATTTTATTAAACCTTATTTGTTTTCTTATTGTTATAATATAAATATTCTAATTGCATATTTAACTTCTAGTTTTTTATTTTTTTAAGATTCTATTTAGATATATTGATTTAATGTCAAACAATTATTTGTTCCTCCTCTTTTATGTAATTTATTTTGAAACTAATTATCGAAACTTTAAACTTTGAAATCATTAAAATTCAAGAGAAATATTCTGTAATTAATTTTGATCTCTTTTTGATTTAATTAACTAAGAAGAATATTGTCTTGTAACTAACTCATTCATTAACCTTTAACAAAGACTTAATGTTTTTAATCTACAGTTTCTCTATTGAATCAAGTATTATAAAGTTTTTGTTTTCTTACTATTTTATATTATGGATCGAATTAATTTTAATTTTCTATCGTTACTCTGATTTTAACAATTTCGATATCTATTTTAATTGTTTTTGTAATAGAATTATAAAGGTTTTTAACTTTGTTTCTAAATTCATATTTATTTAATTAAAAATTTTGAATTTATACATGATATAACAAATTCAGGATGATTAGAGAATTTTATAAGATCCTAATAATTAAGTTAATAAGAATAATAAAAAAAACTTATAAGATAACTCAGAGCTAATAGAGTTAATTAGGAAGAAGCTTTAAGGACAAAGAGAAGAAGTTTAAGCATTATATTCAATAAGTGATAATTAGCTAGATGAAGAAAATTAAAGGGGATAAACTGTAGAAGACACTTCTGAATTAAATAGCAAAGAAATAAAAATTACTTATTATGAAAGCAAGTTAATTGAAAAAATTTTAACATATTACAAAACTGAAGCAGAAGATTTATTGTAGCAGCTGAATTAAAAAGAAGAGAGTTAAATTGAATTGTTATTGGATTAATTATCTCTGGAAAGATCAAAAACTTCTAAAAATGAAATGAATATTATTGACATAAAAGAGTAATTAAGAGTATTAATGAAAAAATATGAGGANAAATTGGTCAGACTATAAACAATTTTAAAAAGCATCATCACCTGAATTACTTATAGAAAGAAAACCAGGATAAATGAATTATGGATAATTGGAACAATTACTTTGAAATATCTATTGATTGTTTCTTTATCAAATATTATTAACTTGAATCTTTTATTTTTAAAATAGGAATTAAAGTGAAAAATATTACTCTATAAATACAATCTAAATATAAAAAGCTGTTTCTCATTTGAGTATTCTAATTAATCATTTCTAATAATATTTTTTCTTGTTTTAAGTGGAATATTGGAATTTTTGAATATTTTCCTCTTAAAATGATCTCAATTTTATTAAACCTTATTTGTTTTCTTATTGTTATAATATAAATATTCTAATTGCATATTTAACTTCTAGTTTTTTATTTTTTTAAGATTCTATTTAGATATATTGATTTAATGTCAAACAATTATTTGTTCCTCCTCTTTTATGTAATTTATTTTGAAACTAATTATCGAAACTTTAAACTTTGAAATCATTAAAATTCAAGAGAAATATTCTGTAATTAATTTTGATCTCTTTTTGATTTAATTAACTAAGAAGAATATTGTCTTGTAACTAACTCATTCATTAACCTTTAACAAAGACTTAATGTTTTTAATCTACAGTTTCTCTATTGAATCAAGTATTATAAAGTTTTTGTTTTCTTACTATTTTATATTATGGATCGAATTAATTTTAATTTTCTATCGTTACTCTGATTTTAACAATTTCGATATCTATTTTAATTGTTTTTGTAATAGAATTATAAAGGTTTTTAACTTTGTTTCTAAATTCATATTTATTTAATTAAAAATTTTGAATTTATACATGATATAACAAATTCAGGATGATTAGAGAATTTTATAAGATCCTAATAATTAAGTTAATAAGAATAATAAAAAAAACTTATAAGATAACTCAGAGCTAATAGAGTTAATTAGGAAGAAGCTTTAAGGACAAAGAGAAGAAGTTTAAGCATTATATTCAATAAGTGATAATTAGCTAGATGAAGAAAATTAAAGGGGATAAACTGTAGAAGACACTTCTGAATTAAATAGCAAAGAAATAAAAATTACTTATTATGAAAGCAAGTTAATTGAAAAAATTTTAACATATTACAAAACTGAAGCAGAAGATTTATTGTAGCAGCTGAATTAAAAAGAAGAGAGTTAAATTGAATTGTTATTGGATTAATTATCTCTGGAAAGATCAAAAACTTCTAAAAATGAAATGAATATTATTGACATAAAAGAGTAATTAAGAGTATTAATGAAAAAATATGAGGAGAAATTTTAATCTCTACATTTTAAAGTTAAAAAAATGTTGAAGCCTTTAGAGGATGAGTAGGATTTTGATGTTTAAATTATTTCATGAAATTTTTATTGAATATTAGATTTTTTTTGAAAGTAAAGTAATGATATTTATTTAATTTAAAAAAAATGTAAGATGAATGGATATGATCATTCTAGAATATTTCGATTGCTGTTTGTTTGGAAATTTGGATTTAGGCTTTCTGTTAGAGAACAATTAGAATTGTTAAATGATTAATTAGTTCCTTATAAGCTGGCTATACTTGTGGCAATTTTTTTATTTTTTTCATTGAGTTATGCGATCCAGTTAAATTTTTGTTTCTCTTGTGGTAATTATTTATCAATTTTTTATCCCTATAAGAAGAGTTACGATTATTTTTTTGGTGTTTAAGCCTTTGGCAACAATTTATCATGATTTTAAATTTATTGGCCTTAATAATTTTCATTTATTAGATTATTGAAAATCTTTGATTCATTCTTGATTGTTTATAATTTAATTTTATTATTATTCTCTTTCTTTGATTGAAAATTTGATACTTTTAGATCAGCTAATTCATTTTCTAAAAAATTAATGATCTTATCTTTAATTTCTAAAATACTATAATAGAATATATACTTAGTTTCTCATTTAATTTTAAATATCTTTCAGATTCCATAAATCTCTTCATTTGCAATTCTAAATCATAATAAAAGATTACATAAACTCATTTCATATTAAAATTAGTTATTTTAAAGCTCCTATTGAAATTTTGTTTTTTATTCTTAGAGTTGCTATTTTAATGAAGTAATTTGTTAGGTTTATTCTTTTAGTTAAATTTAAATCAAATTTATTTTTTCTAGTAATTATGAAATACATTATTCCTACTCAAAATTCTTTTTTTGAAACTATTGTATTTGAAATTCATATTTTTAATTTTTTTCCTTAAAAACTTCAATTTCTTAAATTTTCTAATCAATTGCCTCAATTGCTTTTCTTTCTAATTCATCAACATTTTTAATTTTATCCTAATAATCAATATTCTATTCTATATGTAAGAATCATAATACTTATTATTTTACTTAAATTTGATTTAGTTGATAAAAGTTCATTTTCCAGATTTTGACACTTTCTATTCAATTCATCATAAGTAAGAGGTTTCACTATTGATTGAAAATTAGGAAGCATTTCAAGAAGCTTCAATATAATAAAAAAATACATTTTATTCTTCATCAGTATAATTATTTTATTCCTCCTCTTTAATTATATTTACTTCCTAGGTTTAAGGTTTTTTTTAATTATAATCTTCATCCTTTGACATATTAAAATCTGATATATCTCTATATGCTAGAGATCCTTGCTAATTAATGTTTTAATTTGAAAAATTCATTATTTAAATTTCTGTAATGATTAATAAGATAATACATCTATTTTATTTTACGGTTTCGCTTCCTTAAGGTAATTCTGTTTATTAAGAAGTGGTTTACGAAAAATTTGGTTAATGAGGAAATTATTATGCATTAGTATTTGTAATAATTTCTTGTTGTAATCGGTGTTCAACTAAATAATATCAAATCATACTTTCTGTTCCTGCATTTTATGAATTTTGTTCTGACATCAATGATTTATTAGAATTGTTTAGAGAAATAAAAAATTAAAAGTAAATAAATTTTAATATATGCAATTTTTTCTTTGAGCTATAAATTTTCTATTTCATATATGGCAATCTTATGTTAATAATTTTATATTAATATAGTAGGCCTTTTGGAGGAAATCTAAAAATAATATTAAAATTTGTATAATCTGATTTGTATCGACATAATTATAAATACGAAGAATTACTAAATGATTTAAAGACAGTAAAAAAAAAGTTTAAATACATAATTTTGAGTAACTTTGATAATATAGGTGGATAAAATCGAATAAATATCCACAATAAATCTAAACAATGAAAAATTATTTTTTTGATTGAAATTTTCAGCAATATATATATACCTCATTTTGAGACATTTTAGTCAAAATTAACTAATTTTTCTTTCTCCATATATAAATCATATTTCTATTTTTATCATAGAAACAAGGCTCATAAATTTATTTAAATAAAGGGTTTGATTTTCAATCTATTCTTTTAGGAACACTATTAAATATATAATAGTAAAATTCAATCTATTTTAAAGCCCCATTGCCTAAAATATTTAGCATTCTTGTGGGTTCATTTTTATGTTCTATAGTTATAATTTTTTGTAATTAAATTTGCAAAATGCATTACTAAAAATTATGAAATTATTTTATGAACTTGAAATAATAATAAAAATGATAACATTCTATTTCTATTTTCATATATAAGTGGAATTAAATCTAAATTATTTTATTTTCTAATGACAGCACTTGCTCTTTTTATAAAAAATTTCCAAAAAGTCAATCAATTTTAAAAAATTGTATTAATGCATATTTTTTTTACTACAATAGAAGATCAGTAAATTATTTAAATATGAGGATAATATAAATATACTAAATAAATGGAGAGTAATTAAAAAATAAATAATTGATGAATACCTAAAAGATAATCTTGATGTGTTTAAAAAGTAGTTCATTAGAAAATTTTTTGATATTAAAATTTGATAATTAGGATAAATACCAAGTTCTAATAGAAATAAAATGAGGTTTAAATTGCGTAACTCCATTTTAATTTTAATAAAAATAAATATCGTATTTGAGAAAATGCTTGTATAAAAGGAGGAATCTTGTTAAGGAGCATATGTAAATGGTTAAAAATATGGAAAATGGCTATGAAAAAGGGACTCTTATAATAGAGTTTGGATATAAAGAAAGAGAACTGGAAAGGGGGTCACTATATTTGGGTTAATGGACATTAATATGATGGTGAAGAATTGAATTAAAAATATGGAAAGGGTCAAATTAGATTGGTTGATGGTGGTACATGTAAAATAGACTGGGTAAATAATAAGAGAACTAGAAAAGGCCAATTTTATGGGCTGATCGATCTTTATATGATGGGAAATAAATCAATGAGCAAAGATATGGAAAAGGTTAATTTAAAGTAGCAAATGGTGAAAAATATGATTTTAATGAATTTTAGATATAAAATATGAATTATTTAAAGAAATTTATTCACATTATTTAAAGAAAATATATATTAGAATTGAAATTAAATATAAAATTATTTTTTGCTATTATATATTAAAAATTTATTTAGTTATTATTTATATCTAATTAATGTGTTATATTATTCTTAATTATAAATATTAATAGGATTTAGTTTTGAATGAATAAATTGATATCAAGAATAGAGAGAGGAGAGATCATTTTATCTATAAAATAACACAACAATAATTCTTAGTTAAAATGTTATATATTTTGTTCTTATTTATAATAATATTTTGCAAATGATCATATCTATGGAATATTCTTTGATAAATTTTGAATTCTTTCAACATCTTATTAAGTAAGGCTACTTGATAGATAATCAGAATCCTAATGAATGAAAATAAAAGATTACTGATTTGGTTCCACTTGTTTAAACATTGTTTTTTACAACTGTACTAGTAGTGGTCACAATTTTTTATNAAGTCAATCAATTTTAAAAAATTGTATTAATGCATATTTTTTTTACTACAATAGAAGATCAGTAAATTATTTAAATATGAGGATAATATAAATATACTAAATAAATGGAGAGTAATTAAAAAATAAATAATTGATGAATACCTAAAAGATAATCTTGATGTGTTTAAAAAGTAGTTCATTAGAAAATTTTTTGATATTAAAATTTGATAATTAGGATAAATACCAAGTTCTAATAGAAATAAAATGAGGTTTAAATTGCGTAACTCCATTTTAATTTTAATAAAAATAAATATCGTATTTGAGAAAATGCTTGTATAAAAGGAGGAATCTTGTTAAGGAGCATATGTAAATGGTTAAAAATATGGAAAATGGCTATGAAAAAGGGACTCTTATAATAGAGTTTGGATATAAAGAAAGAGAACTGGAAAGGGGGTCACTATATTTGGGTTAATGGACATTAATATGATGGTGAAGAATTGAATTAAAAATATGGAAAGGGTCAAATTAGATTGGTTGATGGTGGTACATGTAAAATAGACTGGGTAAATAATAAGAGAACTAGAAAAGGCCAATTTTATGGGCTGATCGATCTTTATATGATGGGAAATAAATCAATGAGCAAAGATATGGAAAAGGTTAATTTAAAGTAGCAAATGGTGAAAAATATGATTTTAATGAATTTTAGATATAAAATATGAATTATTTAAAGAAATTTATTCACATTATTTAAAGAAAATATATATTAGAATTGAAATTAAATATAAAATTATTTTTTGCTATTATATATTAAAAATTTATTTAGTTATTATTTATATCTAATTAATGTGTTATATTATTCTTAATTATAAATATTAATAGGATTTAGTTTTGAATGAATAAATTGATATCAAGAATAGAGAGAGGAGAGATCATTTTATCTATAAAATAACACAACAATAATTCTTAGTTAAAATGTTATATATTTTGTTCTTATTTATAATAATATTTTGCAAATGATCATATCTATGGAATATTCTTTGATAAATTTTGAATTCTTTCAACATCTTATTAAGTAAGGCTACTTGATAGATAATCAGAATCCTAATGAATGAAAATAAAAGATTACTGATTTGGTTCCACTTGTTTAAACATTGTTTTTTACAACTGTACTAGTAGTGGTCACAATTTTTTATTAAGTTGGAGGTCTTCTCAAAAGAGCTAATTCTGCTTCAGTTAAAGTTAATTTTTCTTAACAAGCATGGTATGTATCATTCAATTCTTTAAATTTAGATTTCCAAATTTTAGCTTCTTCTTCATAAGTTTTAACAGATTGGCTAGTGGTAACCTCTTCTGTTAAAGTTTCTATATGTTAACGTAATTCTTCAAGTTCTTTTTCTAAATTTTAGATATGTTCATCTCTTTCATCAATTTAATGATTGCTATTAGCCAATTACACTTTAATAATGTAATATAATACATCTTAAATATTCAACAAGTTCTATATTGGTTTATAATTCTATTTTTAAATTCTTAATTTTGTCGTTTTTATCATCATTATCACATCTAATTTTATAAAGTTCATCCTATAACTGTTTTATTAAAGCATCCTTATCTTCATTATCATCATTTGAAGCCCTTAATTCTATTTCTGGTTCTTATTTAGATTATCTAATTTTATCTTCTAATTCTTTTAATCTTTTATCCCAAAGTTCTTCAAATTTCTCTAAATCAACAAATTCTATTGGTCTTTAGATTACAGTCTAATTAAATTGATGATTGTTACAGTCATGATTGGTTATAGTGGAACAAATGTAGGAGGTGTATAAGTTTATCTTAATCCTGATAACCCTAAACTAGAACTTTAAGCTGGTATATATTATCCTTATGGTTAAATTGTTGTTGTTTAAACTGATGGTTATTTTTATTACTCCATTTATGTTTATGGTAATTATTTTTATGCTCGCTAAGGAATTTAAGCATAATTTTGTTAAGGCACTTATTACTAAGGTGGTTGTGATTATGGTGCAGGCTTATTATTCTTATTTTATTGTACTTATTATATAGATTAAACTGATGGTTAGCTAGGTGGAAATTGAGGTGGTTATACAAAAGGACCATTATTTCTCTATGACTATTACATCGGATAACCTTTCGGAGGAGTGTTTTATGGATATTATTAATAAGGAAATGATCTCTAAGTCTTTAGGCTTTTATTTTATTATATTTACTAAAGGTTAATTCATTGGGGATTATTGTCCTGTGAAAGGATATTAATTACCACCATATTATGGATTTGTCTGATTAGGATATCCATTATATTAAGGTGATCTCGCTCGGTTTAAAGGATTAAACATAACTGATTAATTTATTTATTAAGCAACTTAACAATAATTTTATATATATATACTTTGTTTTATTAGTCAATATTAAGCCATATCTCTCTTTCTTTCTCTCAATTATTACTCGATTGCATTAATCATTATTCTCAATACAATTTTTCAACAATTTAAATATTATACAAGTTAATATATTTATGATATTTCATTTTTCAATTTTTTTACTATTTCTTTTCTTTCTTTCTTAAAATTATTTATTTATTTCATTCTATTTTATTCTTTACTACCCAAACATATTCCCTAAAAAAAATTATACAATTATTTTATTTGAACTTTATATTATAATCAGTCAATCTAGATGTGTTTTTCTTTCATAAGCTTTAGTTTCAGAGTGATTAATTTAGATAATTTATTAATCATACATTCTCGTTAACTAATACTACCAAAACTATCTCTCAAGTTTTAGGGATAATTATTGAATCTATTAGAAATCCTCAATTTTATTTTTTTTAGTTCATCTTAACTTTTTAATTTCAAATTAGTAGATTTTATACATTTATCATAATTGTTAAGTAAAAACAAGAAAAAATATTCGTAAAACTAAATTAAATTGGATTCATATAATATAAAATTTGTAAAAATTATAAATTAAATAACTTTTATGAATGATAATAATTTTATTTAAATGAAAATATGAACATAAAATTACATTTATTTTATTAAATTATAATTCATTGAAAATTAAATGTTCATTAAGTGAATAATTCTATTTTTACAATAGTTTATTCTATAATTTTTTAATCGTAAAGTACTTAAATAATTTCAAGGGATGTTTCTTGCATATTAATTTTTAAATGATTATATTATTAAAATGCTTATTTAAATTTTGGGAAGAACCCAACATAATTCATCTAATTAAAACAATTATATTTAAAAACATGAAATTTTTAAGTATTGCAAGCATTACATTTATTAAACTCTGCCTAAATCTTCATATCAGCTTAACATTTAATTTCAATACTCATAATAAAAGGAGTAATAGATTTATCTAGGATATAATTATAATTTCCAATTGTATTATAAATTTAATTAACAATGTCAAATTTTAAAGAAAATTTAGGTAGATTAGTTAAATCTTAAATGTATTTTCTACTAGTTCTTATAGTAAAACATTCAAGAGCTTTATAAGAATTGACAAATTAATAAGCAATCCAAATTTAAGAATGAGTATTAGGAGTTTCTATATCATACCCTATTTAAATATTAAAATGAATATAAATACATGTTCCCCAAGTATATGATATTGTAGTTGGTGTATTAGTAAATATAGCTTTAACTCTAATATTTTTAGAATTAGAATAATTAAATCCTTAGATAGCAATAGCAAACCATCTATTAGGCTAAATAGGAAGTATTCCACTATTAAAAGCGCCTGTAACAGATTATAATCCTAGATTGACAAATGCTTCATCAACTGCAACAATAAGTTAATATCCAATTTACTTAAGATTTGTAAATTTTCCTGCTACTTTTGTTATACTAACAGTCACTTATTACATTGTTATTTAACTCATCTTTATAATTATTAAATATTTATACTGATAATAGAAAATCAATTGGACCTATATAATGTATACTTGTCATTACTACAAAACCACTTTATGCATTTCTATTTTTTATTTAAAATGTCTTATCGTCTGGATTAATCATATTAAAATTATTAAAAACTTCTATTCTTTAATCATCTATTGCAAACCATCTTATTTATATTGTTGTAACTCTATTAAATCCACAATAGGCCATTACCGAAAATGCTATTTATAATTATCATTATTACTTTGTTTAGTTATTGAAGTAATTTAAAATTCAAGTTACGTTGAAGCTGTTGTTAAATCTATAAATTCTAAAGTTGTAATAACTTAAGGGGTATTCTCAAATTGCCCAGAGAAAGTAATCGTAGAAGTTTTTGTAAATGAATTCATACAGGCAAAACCTGATGAACCAAACCAATCAAAATCCTAAAATAGTCCAGAATCATATGTAATATAGTTTAAGGCAAGGCTTAGAAGGAGAATGAAGATTATAATTTATAACATTAATATTTTGAAAAAGTAAAATATCTTTTTATATACTACAACAAATAAAAAATGTTTAAGAAACATTAAAAATGAAATGAATTAAATTTAATTAAATAAAAACATTTTTTTTGTTTAGAACATACAACATTTTAGCTTAATCATTAAATAAAATATTCAATAAGAGAAATAACATGAATCTCAATATGTTTGAAAAAAAAAATGAATAATCGTTTTAATAGTTATTAAGGAAAATTATAATGTACTTTAATAAATATAAAATTATATATAAAATGGATTAAAATAATGAGGAGGAAGAATAGGGAAGAAGCGCTTAACAAAGAGTAAAAGTAATTGATAGATATAGTCATAATCAAGAGTGGATCCATCTTCACCAATTAAGAGAAATAGCCAAGCTGAAGTAGAATAAGCAACAAGAACAGTAACACATAGAAAATCTGTAAATTTAGGTGTAAAAAGCACTAGGACAAATTTTGAATTGAATCAAGGATTTCGGGTAATAATTGATATTATTTTTAAGCATAAAGTAGAAATATTTTTAGAAAGTCTTAATTACATGATATTTATGACATTTGTAACTGTATACGCATTATTTGGAGATGATGTGCGAGTATTAGCTACAAATAAGGTATTTTTAATATTAAAGAGGATGGAGACGAAGTATTTTGGGTAATAACAGCAATTTGTATGAGTCTCTTTTTTATAGAGATTGTAATAGCATCTTTTTGTAAAGTATAATGATATACATATATATAAATAAGGATGGATACTTTGTTGGTTTTTTTTTTTGGCTTGATTTATTATCCACAGTATCAATGTTATTAGATATTGGTTGGGTGAGTAATGCAATTTTTGGAACTAGTGGAGGAGCTGCATTAAGTGCAGTATCATTAGCAAGGTTTTATTAAATATTATTTTTATTTAGAGCTGGAAGAGCATCTAGAGTCGGTACTAGAGCTGGAAGAATTGTAAGAGTTGTAAGATTAGTAAGATTATCAAAATTATATAAACATGCCAAATAATCTTTAGAGAAGGAAGCAGAAAAATTATTGGCAGAAGAAATGAAAGAAGAGAACTTAATGGATAATAATAATAATAATAATAATAATAATAATAATAATAATAATAATAATAATAATAATAATAATAATAATAATAATAACAACAATTAGATTGAAGAACCTTAAAGATAAGAATAACTTAATGATGCAATTTCATCTTAAAAATCAGTAGATTCATCTGAAAGAAATGTTAAACAATCAGGAATCAATATTATTTAATAATAATAGGTAGCTAAAAAGTTTTAACAACGAACCTCTATAATTATGTATAATGGATAATCAAATAATAATTAAATTAATTAAGAAAATGATTAAAGATTCTAAAGAAGACAAACTAGAAAAATTATTATGTCTGGATAAATTTAATCACTTACAACTATTTAAAAAAGAAAGTCTATTATTATACAATCTCCAAATAAATTATCACAAAATCGTTAAATAGATGAAGGAGAAATTAAAGAAACAAATATTGGTAAAGAACTAACTGAATTAACAAATAAAAGAGTAATTACTATTGTCATGCTCATTTTGTTTAGTGTTCCTATATTAAATTTAAGCACATATATTGATTAAAATGTCAGCTTTACTACAGGATTATAAGCAATACAATATTGGGCTAAGGATCCTGAAATTTATGATTATCTTATTAAAGATTTTATCACATTTCATGAACCTTTAAGAACGAACTTGGTGTTCTTTGAAATTAATACTACAATATACTATCCAAAAGAAGATCCTTATTAATATGAAAATTAGAGAACAACGTCTTTGTAATATTATACTACAACGGATTCTGAAGGAAATGATGCAATATCAATTTGTTTAACAACAGCAGATGATGAATTAAATGCAATTTTATCAATAATAAGAACAATTTTTGTATCAATAGTACTTTCAGTGGCAGCAGTAATGTTTAGTAGAGATGTTTAAGATTTAATTTTAACCCCTGTGGAGAAAATGTTAGAGACAGTAAAAAAGATAGCAGAAAATCCTTTAGTAGCAGCTTAAGAAGAGGAAAATAAAGCATTTATATAAATGATGGAGAATGGTGAAATGAAAGAATTAGAAGATAAGGAAGATGATAAATTAGAAACAGTTATACTGTAGAAATTGATTGTTAAGATTGGAAGTTTATTAGCTTTAGGATTTGGAGAAGCTGGATCATAAATAATAGCTTAAAATATGGGTGCTAATGCATCTATAAATCCTATGTTACCAGGTAAAAAAGTTATGGCAATATTTGGATTTTGTGACATTCGAAATTTTACAGATGCAACAGAAGTTTTATAATAAGATGTAATGGTATTTGTAAATGAAATTGCTGAAATTGTTCATGGTGTTGTAGATTAATTTTCAGGAAGTGCAAATAAAAATATAGGAGATGCATTTTTATTGGTTTGGAAATTCGGTGAAAGTGATTATTATTAGGATAAAAATGGTAATCTAAGTTTAAAATCTTATGAACATATTGCATAAATAGCTGATATGTCAATTTTATCATTTGTATCTATTATTACAAATGTTACACTATCATAAAAATTATAAAAATATAAATAACATGAAGGATTGAATAATAGAATACCAAATTATTGTGTTAAAATGGGATTTGGTTTACATGTTGGATGGGCTATTGAAGGAGCTATTGGTTCAGAATATAAAATAGATGCATCTTATTTAAGTCCAAATGTTAATATGGCATCAAGATTAGAAGCAGCCACAAAACAATTTGGATCTATGATACTCATCTCAGGATAATTAAGAAATGTAGCCACTACAATAACCTAAAAGAATCTTAGACATATTGATAGAGTAACTGTTAAAGGTAGTATTGAACCTATGGATATTTATACTGTTGATTTAAATGTTGATTCTTTAATAAGAAAAATTAATAAAAAAAAGACTGTTATAGATTTCAATAAGAAAGAAAAATAAAAATAAGTTCCTCTTTAAGAATCAGAATAATCTAAATAAAAAAAGAAGTAAAAAGTTTTAAGAAGAATGAAAAGAGATAAGCTCAAATAAGCTGTTTTAAAGAATCATGTTGCTATATCAGAAACATGGATTAAAGATAATCACATTAAATAATCTAGAGCTCTCTTTAACAAAGTAAAGCATACCTATTATTTATTTAGGAATTTTATCATAAATGGGAATAAGGGTTTTCCAGCTATTTATCTGGTGATTGGGATTAAGCGAAAACTTTATTCGAGGAAACTTTAGTATTCTATTTTTTTAATTTCTAGAATTTCTTACCCAATTATAAAGATGGTCCAAGCAATACTCTATTAAGAGTTATTAAAGAAGAGCCCTACTTAAAAAACAATTGGAAAGGCTATCGTGAACTCACTGAAAAATGATTATAAACTTATTCCTTCTTTATTGTAATAAGATATAAATAAATTTGATTAATAACTTAAATAAATATTAATTAAGAATATCATTTATTATATCAATGCTTCTTTTTTGCTGCATCGAATTATACAAAAACTTTATTAAAATTTATTAAACAAGCTATTTAATGATTAATTTTACATCTCTTATAATTTTAAATTTGTTTAGTATTATGTAATATTAGTTGATATTAATCATTCTCAATCCTCAAGTAATTTTTTATAAATTTTAAGTTAGTTTTTTGATGTATATAAAAATTTATGAAAAAAAACGTAGAATCAAAAATGCGTAATAATGAGAGTAACAATTTTATTCAGATTTACTATTTAAATCATAGTAAAGGATTAAATGGAGAATAAATAAATAAAATATTTTATTTAAAATGAATGATACAATTGAATTCGATGATTGCCTAAATGATGTTACTTCCCAAGAGAAAGATATAATCAATTATTTACAAGATTTAAAATTAATATTCTTGACTGACCCATAATAAAAATAGTTTAAATTTGAGCAAGCAAAAAAATAATTGATATTCTCTTATCGTTCACTTGATTCCGATACAGATGTATCAGAATCGACACCACCAATGTTAGTTAAAGCATAATCCTTATTATTAACGAAATCCCCATTAAGATAAAAGAGATTATCAATTCTTTCAGAACACCCTTTGATCTGAAATATTTTTGTATTATATTTCAATATTTGTATGATTTTTGTCTAAATATTCTTTAAAACAATCAAATTTATAGTTTATAAATACTTAGAAGTTTGTAAATCAAAGATGAATAAACCTATTTACATTAAGTCTCAAATTCAATTAAAATTATCAATTATTGATACTTTAAAGGAAACTTTTTATGGTAACAAATGAAAGTATCCTTGTTTAGTAGCATTTTAGATTTTAAATTAAAATGACAAGAAAAAGTATTTAAATAGATATTTTTTGAAGAAATTTTCTTTTAGATAAATATAAAATGAAATTTGCTACAAAAAATTAGTTTAATATATAATTATCAAGCTTTAATAAGTTTGAAATATTGATTTATACTAAATTTAATTGAGTTAATAAATTCGTTAATCATAAATTAAGATAGCTAATAATGGCATCAGTGTAAAAAAACTAATAATTTTTTAGGGAAAATGAAAAGAGTAAATTAAAATTTAATAAATAATTTTTATTTAGTAAATTTAAATTGCAAAAATATTGAGTAATTCATAATTTATCTTTTAGTTCCTGAATATAATTATTGAGCATTTTACTAAAATTCTATTTTTTTTCTAATTAATAGTTAACAACTAATACATTCTAAAAGATATTCTACTTCTTATAATTCTCTGGCTTTCTTGACTTGCTCTATCATAAAATTTTCGAGTGCCAATTACATTTAGCTATTAGAACCTTTAGAATTGTTTATAAGAATTTATAAATCTATTTTAAATTGATCTGATTGAATTAATTACATTAACTATTCTTAATTGGCAGAATTCTAGATTTCTTCAACCTTTTGACATAATTTTAATAAATGTTTGGGATTCTATACCACCTATTTAATTCTATCATTTAAAGACTTTTATCTTTATTAATGAATTGAATTGTTAGCTATTTATGAAATTGTTCTTTTTTATCTATTTTCCTAAGATGAATTGATTTTTTTAACTTTTTCAAAAGAAGTATTGAATGTTTTTTTAAATAAAGACTTACTTTTAAGAAGAGGAGTGACTTTTTCACTATTTTCGTTATCATGACTTTTATTATCATAGAGCAAAGGAGGTAAATTATAATTAATTGAAGGTGTAAATATCTTTCTAGGTGTGCATGGTTTTAATTAATGTATTTTAAGTAAATTATCTTTTTCGAGCATATCCACAACTTCATTAATTTAAGTATTTGAAGGTTAAGAATATTGAGTTGGATATCTTTCCTTAAGAGGTTATCTATAATTAATTTAAGTTTAGGTATAAATTTGTTAGGATTGTAATTATTATACGGTTCTTTCAATTTCCTCATGAATAGATGAAGAACTATTTGATCGACCAATTACAGGATTCTATGATGATTAATTAATAGAGTGTCTAGGGTTTCTATTGTAAAATCGATGATGAGTATAAAAAGAACTATTGTTTTTGGCAAATATTCCTTCCTTTTACATAATTTCGTACTATGTTGGGACTAAGACTGGATTATTATTTTCTTTATTTTATTGTCTATTGACGAACATCTCCATTGACAAATAAATTTTATTATTATTATCCGTTAATGATTAAATTGTGTTTTTTACAATAAAATTCATAAAGATGTTTATTTTATAATGGTGGAGTGCAAATATTCATTAAAATATTGAGATATATTTAACAAAGTATATATCATTAATATTTTGATAATGAATTTGAAAAAAATAAATATAAGAATATAAATTAGAAAACCATACAAATTTTATATGAATATACATATGTAATTAATTCATCCAAAAACGATATAGAATGAGATGGCTAACCCAAACAAAATTATTGAACCAATAATCAATCTAGTTTTTAATTTTTTCATTCTTTCTTTTCTGTGTAATTCTTATGCTGAACTCAAGAATACTTATGAACTATTATCTAATTCAAGTGATTAAACTAATGATAATATTATTTCTTAATACAACCTTCAATATTTAATAGCTATTCTTTGTTATTGATAAGTTTTTCAATATTTTATTAAACAGTTTACTTGGTGTTATCTAAGGTTTATAGAATTTACTGAATTTGCTTAGGTTCTTTGCCATGAGCTGAATCAAAGTATATTAATAAATTGTAAATATTTTATTTTTGTTAAATGGTTATGCTTTATGGAGTTGTTGGATTATGATCAAACTAAAATATAATTGAATTAAGAATACAATTTTAGCATTAATGGAATTAAAAAGCATTTCTACATTTTCTTGATTATAATCATTTGCAGCTAATACTAATTGTACAACTTCTTTATTAAAGGGCAAATAATACCATTTTCCTCCTTGAGTTGTAATGGCTTTCCTAAGGATTGTATTATAGTATATATTTACATTTTTTAAAATTAGCTAATGTTCTCATTTTTTAGAAATTATAAGGCATTTTGAAGATCAAATGAAATTTGATTATCATTAGGAACTAATGAGATTAAGCCAATGGTTGAAGCAGTTTACCATTTAGCTATAGCATATGCCATAATGTGGTTCATATAATATTATTAAAAATATAAATGTATAATTATTATAGAAAGGAGAAGTTTGAATAACTGATTTAATAAAAAGAAAAAAGATTTGAAAAGGAATAGATCGCAACATAAGAAACTAAAAAAATAAACAACATTTTAGCAACAAATTATGATAAGAGAATAATGAGTTTTTTAGAAAGGATGTCTCAAAAACCAATAGTTATTCATGATTCAATATATATTAAAGAATCAAGATCAACAAGTAATGATAATAGAAGATGGCTTAATGCTTCTGCTTTACATTCATTGGAATATTATTAAAACTATAAAATAAATAATCGATATCTCAGTGATAGAAAGTAACTTAAACATAAATTAACAGAAACTCTTCAAGATCAACAAAATATAAATGTTTCTGAAGTTAGTATACTTGATTCTTTTAATCCAAAAAAGTTGGAATCATCTAGAAGGGAAAAACAAAAACAAATTACATTAATAGATTCTCCATTAATTAGAAGGAATATGAGAATTAATTTGGATAAGATTTAAATTAAGAGGAGATTAGATAAAAAAGAAGAAACAAGTAATAAAATGTAAAATATTTCTTTAAAGAAGGCAGACTTTATTTTAATGGTTTAAAATCTTTAACTGTCTAATAAAGAATGTTTGATAATGAATAATCTAAAAGAACTATCTCTGGAAAAGCTAGAAGCATTTTAGAAAAATGCAATATCATTTCTAAAAAACCATGAAACTAAATTCTATAATAATAAATTATAAATGATATCAGAAACACAATTCAAGAGAGATTTAAATATGAAGTTTTCTAATACTAGCCTAGTTCATGATCTCAGTGAGTATGGGATACAGTAAGGATCTAGCTAACAAGATTTCTTTATGAAGCAATCCGATTGTATAAAGACAAAAATAAGATGAACAGGAAGCAAATGGTGAATTCGCTCTAAGAAATAGCTAATGTAATATACATCTAAATAACTTTTTAGAAACCTTTGACTGAATCACAATAAGCTGAGTTATTGGATTGGTTTGAGGATTATTGCATTTAATAGTCAATTAAATATAAAAAGTAAAAAAATAGAAGCTTATTCACCAAATCAATTCAAGCCATCAAGAATGACTAAGCTAGAGATTTTAATTTGCATTAAAATTAATAATTATCTTAACCTATTAATAAGAAAATCAAACTTAAAGATGATAATCATTATTAAAAACAGGATACTATTATTGAGGATAAAGATGATCCTCAATCCATTTCAGAAGAAAATCAATCTAACTAGAAGTAGAAATATGTTATATTTTTTACATTTAGTTAAAATGATTAATTGATGTTACTCCTATTATTAACAGCAGTAAATCAATAAAAAAATGTTTAAGAAATTCCATCATAGGTAAAAGTACATAATTTATAATTTAATTTATAATAGCCGAGCATTAACATCATTAATCAAAGATGTAGGTACTTTCCCAATTGTACCAACAAGCATTGTCAATATATTCATCCTAAAATTAAAGTATCTAAATTACATTCTAATCTAGTGCAAATATTTCCCCAATTGTAACAAGGGACATCTATGCATTTATATGCATCAGCAATGCAAACATGGAATTCATTGCAAAAATCCATAATGCAGCTATGAACATCCATATAAAAAAAAATGACATCATATGAAATATATAATTAACTGGAGATTTAATTAAACTATTTAATATTAGGATACGTTTTAAGAATTCCTGAACTTTTCATTTAAGCCATTAAATTTATAAGCAAAATTAAATTACAGGATTTGATAATTTTTTCATATAAAAATATTTTTTATTATGTATAAGAAAACTTTTCTTGGTCGCACTTCTAGTGAAGTCAATTCTGAAGATTTTTAAGAAGAATATCAACAAATGCTTGATAATGAAAGTTTTTTTGAATATTAGTCTTCAAATTCCAATGCAAGTTCATTTATTGATGAAGAATCTATCTCAAAATAATCTGTAAATATACAATTATTGCATCAAAATTTAAAAAATTATGGAACTATGAGAGGATTGCATTCTTAAATTGACATATCCACTTTAAAAAGATTAAATCAATCATCATATGTAGAATTTGATGATTAACAAAAATATAAAATGAATTATGATATAAATAGAATTTATAAAGGTGTTCCTGAAAATACTATTATTTAAGATTAAGAATATGAAACTAAAACTATATTTCATGATTAACTATATAATATTGAAGATTAACGTCATGATATTGATGTAGAAATTTTACAATTAAAGTTTTTACTGAAAAAAACTGGAAAATTAAAGTTAAACAGTTATAATGCTTATAAATCTTTCATGAATCAATAAAAATATGATTTTATTTCAATAATTGAATCTTAAATTGTTGAACTTAAAAACAAACGAAAAGCACTTGAAAATAACATTTAATAAGAAAATAATTTGCATTAATTATCAATTGATTAAAAATATTACAATAAAATAAGCTTTGAAAATGAGAAATTATCCTCCAACTATATTACTACTTTTTATATGAATAAGTAAAATTAAATACTTACTAATGTATCGTAGGCATTTTCAATCAACTTTCTCATTTCTTAACCAGATTGGTTAAAATAACTTGAATTATAATACACTTAACTTTAACACACATAAAATCTCTTAATTCCTCCTATCTAAATATTTTAATTTTAAAATTAAACAGCATTACTTTATTCATTTTTATTGTTAAATCTAATATTTAAAAAGTTGCATTAAAATTAACATAACATTTGGATGACCTTTCTTTTTAAAGATTTTTTCAAAGCTTCTTTTTAAGTGGAAGAAGAGAAGCTTAAATAATTAAATTTAGATTTTAATAGTTCTTTATTTGATACTTACTTTAATGATATGATTGAAAAAGGTTAGAATGAATAAACTAATTTAAAAAATTAAGAACCTTAAATTATTAAATTCACAGATCCCCAATTAGAGCAGATTGATTTTGTAAATTAAATAGCTGCTCCTAAATAAAAAGATAAACTTAACTTTTTCCCTGATTTTTAAGATATCCAAATTTTATATGGTGAAATGATTTTTCTTGAAATATTTCATTTATTCTTCAACTTGTATTTAAGAATTTATAGAATACTTAATTTATAAGAATAAGTTGAATACTTAGGATAATAAATTAAATTGAATGAATTATTGCCTTATTTACTAATTAAATAACTAGAGGAGAAAATAAAAGATTATTAAATTTATACTTTTTTTAAAAATTCTTTCATAGAACATTAAGCGATTGAATTTTAAGGAATCTTTGCAATTCTATCCAAATGTAAAAAAGGCTTTCTTAAATTGGATGAAAATTCTAAAGAACTTTTATTAATTTACACATAAAAATAATTAGGAAATTAATCTTCAGTTAAAATCTAAGATGCAAAATAAAACTTACTTACAACGCCTGATAATATCCTTAGAAAAATAAGCTATGAATCATAATATAAGTAATTATGTCGATTATAAATTGTGAAAAATTTAGTCTTTATTCATAGATTTATTTTGTAAGACACAGTTCTATGAAATTATTGTTTATAATTATTTTACATTGATTTGATCATAATTTATTCATAAAAATAAGTAATTAGCAATTTTCTAATATAAAATCTTTTCAAAGAAATAATAAAAAAACTAATGTAAAAATTGATATTATTATAATATCAATCTGAAAGCATCTTTTTATAGATTTGTTCAGTTCTTTTTTTATATAGTTTCATTCTATTTTGCAAAATTTATTTTAATTCTTTGGTTTCTTATAAATTTTAGTCCAATTTTTTTACTAAAGCTTAGCATTATTCCAGATCATCTTTTTGTAATAAAATTTTAGCTTGCCTAAATATTGCTTTTTCATTTTTTGGATTAATTCTCAATACTTGATCAGAATAATTCCATGCTTCATCTAAATTTCCTTAAAGAAATCTACATTAAGCCATATTATTATTGCACTATTCTTCTAATAATTTATATTTCTCTATCTCTTAGTCACCATCAGGAAACAAATAATCAAAATAAATAATTGCCTATAAATTAAAAAAATTTTATTACTTGTTAATAAAAATAGGCTGCTTTGTTATACTCTTTATTTTTAAAAAGCAAATTTCCTTCTAATTTAAACTATTCAAGATTTAAAAATTTTTCTTCATTAGATTTTTCATAAATTTCTATTTCCTTTTTTCCTTCTTAGTTGCTAACAACTTTTGATAGATAAGGATTGGATTATATGATTTTTTCTATTTCTATTTCTTCTGCTGTTTTTGTGTTTGTTTTTGTCTTGTCATTGTTTCCAATAGAATTTTATACTTTATCAAATGTTTAGGTATTCATGAATAATTATTTTATAATTGATTAATAAATAAAATTATAATGAAGGTAATCAATTCAATAATTAATTTATTTTAATTTAGATTTAAGCAGATTATTTTCTTATTTAATGTAAGACAGCTCTAATCTCAATTATTCAGATTCTATTTTCAATTATTAATATATTCTTAAAGCAACAATATATTATTCTTCAATCTAAAAATGAATAAATTAAATACTTCTGCATCATTTTGATAATTTTGTTCAAAACTTGCTATTTACTACTTTAATTATTTTACTTTTTCTCTTAATAGATCATTTTCTCTTTCAAAATTTTCTTATTACTTTTTCATGCTACTTTATGGTTATTAATCAAAATGAGAATATGATCTTTATTGTCTTATTGGAGTTTAAGTTCTAAATTATTAATGTGGAAGAATTGTGGATTGTCTTAAAATTTCTATCAGTAAATCATATAAATAAATACTTTAAGGTGAATGCCTAACTTATCTATAAATTATTTATTATGGTAGCATTAGCAGTTAAAATAATTTAAATTATATTAATATTTTAAATATTAAATATCCAAATAATCAGAATGATAAAATCTACTTCATTCTTATTGAATATTTCATTTTATGCACTTATTTCAAATTAACTACTTAGTATAATTTTCAGAATATTATAATTAAAAATATAAATTAGATAAAAATTTTATCCAAATTTGATATTCAATAATTGATAAATCCAAAATAACAATATTTAAAAAAGAAAAAATTATTGATAAACAATTACAAACTTATATAAAATTCTTAAATGTTTTAAATATTTAACATATATTAACAAAAAATGAAAATTAAATGTTCATTAAGTGAATAATTCTATTTTTACAATAGTTTATTCTATAATTTTTTAATCGTAAAGTACTTAAATAATTTCAAGGGATGTTTCTCCATTAACAGATTATAATCGTAGATTGACAAATGCTTCATCAACTGCAACAATAAGTTAATATCCAATTTACTTAAGATTTGTAAATTTTCCTGCTACTTTTGTTATACTAACAGTCACTTATTACACTGTTATTTAACTCATCTTTATAATTATTAAATATTTATACTGATAATAGAAAATCAATTGGACCTATATAATGTATACTTGTCATTACTACAAAACCACTTTATGCATTTCTATTTTTTATTTAAAATGTCTTATCGTCTGGATTAATCATATTAAAATTATTAAAAACTTCTATTCTTTAATCATCTATTGCAAACCATCTTATTTATATTGTTGTAACTCTTTTAGAATTGCAGCTCATTTGAATTATAAAATCTTCTATATATTTCTATTATACATGCTTTGTGATTTATAACTTATATTCTTATTAGGCTGTTTCATAATCAAAATACTTATTTATTATAAAAAATACTTAAGGAATACTCCCAAAAATGTATTAGAAAATGGAATCGTTGCAGTTTTAGAAAACCCACCCAAGCAATGATAACTTGAAGTAGAAGTATAATCAAAGTTTTGCAAGCACAGTAAATAAATGAAAAGATAGTATTCTCTAATATAATTGTTCTAAAATATTATATAGAAATTTAAAGGCCTTTAGAATTTATTTTGAACTTATTCAAATATCCAATTTCTGATATTAATTCATTCTCCACTTTAATATATTGAAAAAGAATTTGGTATAATCAGTTTAATATTTCAGAATACTGTAAAAAAGTATAATTTGCCTGGCTCCAGTATTTTCATTCATTTAAATACAATACAAATTATAGTGTTAAATCTTTTAATAATTTACTATTTAAAAGTAAAATAAAGGAGCTTAAAATTTTTACAAGTACAATTTAATGACTTTATTTAAAATAACTTTTTTTATATATATTATTTTAATAGTTTAAGAAAAAATATTCAAAATCATTAAGGAGACCATTGCATTGATAAAATCTGAATTTATTTTAATTATAACAAAGAAATATCGATTTAATTTTGTTGAATATTTCATGATTTGATTTAAATATAATCTTAACTGTTTTAGAGATACTTGCAAATTTTTAGGATTGTATAATATAAATTTGAAATAGATAAAATTATTTGTTTTGTAAATTATTTTTCAAAGTAATATGTAATTAAAAAAAATAATTATTGAGTATTACTATACTGAAGGCTTTTCCGCTAAGACTTTTATTTCATTGATTGTGTTAATTAAATAATTAATCGGAGAGAGGTCTAAATGAAAAGAATAAAAATATTTGAATTACATAATATAAAAAAGATATAATAATATTTATTTTTTAATATTTTTTTTTCTAAATTGAGACTAAGCAAAACTAATATGTCAGCCTCTTTTGAACCAAGAATCTCTAGAACATCATCAGTAGATGAAAAATAAGATAATGTCCTATTATTGAGCAAAATTTAAAAACTGATTCAAACAAAGGATAATAATAATCTCTATAAGTTATTGAAGAAAAACAAAAAGAGCAGGTATATACATAACATATTTTTAAAGAACATCATACAAAAAATTAAAATACGAAGGGATTATCTATAAAATTGGTTAGAATTTATGCATAAAAGCAGATAGAAGGATAGATTATGTGGCTAAACTACTTAAGATTGTCAAACTTGTTGATAATAATGATGAAATATACCCTTTAATAAAAGTTCAATGGTATTATAGAAAATTTGAATTGGGTGATATTTCAAAGACTTATATGGATTATATATCAGAAAGCGAAGTATTCAAAACTAATGAATACGATTATATAGAGATTGAAAGTATAGTGAGTTTAGCTTAAATTCTAACTTATGAGGAATTTGATAAATTAGAAACGATGAATGATACAACTTATTTTATGAGAGCATCATATATAAATCGAACTTTTTAACCTCCAATAGAAGAATGGGCAACAACGTGTGTATGTTAAAAACCTCCAAATCCAGATTTAAAGTAATTTAAATAATTAAAGATTTTAAGGTATATATAATGTGAGGCATGTTAATAATGGTGCCATTTAAAATGTGTAGATTTGACTAAAGAAAAAGCTAAAAAAATACTCAACTTTATTTGTCCCAAATGTTAGAAATGAATGTGATTGTAAGCTAAATATTATAAAATGCTATTAATATAATAAGTTAAATGTATTCCTGTTGTATATCTTAATTTATATAATTTTATTTATATAGAATAAAAATAACTGTTATAAAATACAAAATATGTAGAAAATTAAAGCAGAAGATATTCAATTCAGCAAATATTTTAACTAATAATCTAATTAAAAAATCCAATCTACTTCATGTTTATAAACAATCTCTTCATCAGGATCACAAAATATATATGAATCATATTCTGCAACTTGTTTTTCCATGAATTAAGAAAGGTTGGCCTCGTGAACATCATCTAATGATAACATGTAATCAACAAATTTATGATCAAATTTCTTTTAACTAGTTAATTGTTCATTTTAAGCATTTTCTAATAAGTTATTTTTTTCATTGATTCTATTTTAATTAATTTCTGAAAGTTTATTATTCTCTATACTCTTTTTTTTTTTATATTTACATCTAACATTTTTTTTTTTCACTTTTTTTTCATCTTTTGATTTCATTTTAATTTAAATAGGTTCTTCAATTATTTCAGTTTAAATTTATTCTTCTTTTAATTATTCTGGTTCTATTGGTTCTTATGATATTTCTATAATTGATTGAACAAGTTAAATTGACTGATATTATTTAATCTCTTCCAGTAATTCTTCTTTATATTCTCTTTAAGTAGATACTCTACAGGTTTATATTTATTATTCAATTTCCTCATCAATATGTTCTTTATCCCAAAAATTTAATGCATATGATTGTTTTAATCTTGATTTTATTTCAAATTTACTAAAATCAATAACTTTAAGATTTTTGTATTTATTTTTAGAATCTAATGAAACATTATAAAAGTCATTATAATTTTGCATAGCAGTTGAGAAATTTGTAGGTATTTTGATTTTGAATGCTTCTTTCTCTATTCTATCTACTATTATTTCAAATTACTTTACTAAGTTTTATAATCTCAATATTATTATTTTTCATACTTCTCATCATAATCTGTATTTTTCTAATTTGTTAAATATTGTTTATGTTATTAAATTAAACTATCTTAAACTGCTTCTATATCATAAGAAGGATCTTGTTTCTTAATCATAGCATCAACTGTTAAATAATCATCTTAAATAACTGTTGGTTATAAAGCAACACTTCTAGTAAAATATTGTCTTTTGATTTTAAATAACTTTGAACTTTTCTTATGTTAATTTAAGATATTTTCAATCTTCTCTTTAAATCCATCTAATAAATATTTTTTCCATCCAGCTCTTTGCACATGATTTCCTTCTAATAATTAAGAATATTTATTTTGCATATAGTGCTTTTATAGAATTTTACCTTCCTTATAATAAACACTTAATGGACTAATATTATTTAATAATCTCTTATTGGAGTTTGGAATATCATTTATTTTTTACTAATGAGCTAAGATTTATGATATATAAGAAGATTCAGTATATAAATTATGAGAAGGGGTAACTCTTTAAGCACTTCTACTATTCTTTATATGTTTTCCTTCCAAACGTGAAGAATGTTATATTATCATATATAATTAATTAAAGAAAAATACTTGTCATATTATTTTAGGCATGTAACTATATTTCTTGGCTTATCCTCTCTAAGAATGACTACTAATTTCTTTTTTTATTGAAATTAACTCTTTTTTTAAAAAATTTGCTAAATTTTGATGCAAATGTAATTATTCTTTAAGATCAATTAGTAATTCTCTTGAAGTTTTATTCTAAAAATTTGATACTTATAATTCAATATTTATTTATTAAATTTAAGCCAAATGCTCACCCAATTTACTATTAAAATAATAAAAATATTTATACATTAATGCTAAATCTAAAAAATCTTTTAATTTAGTATTCTAAGAATATTCTTCATTTTCTTTATCATTTAATCTCGAACAAAAACTACTTGATTTTTAACTATTAGCACTTAGATTATTAAATCTCTATAATTTAATATTATAAAATACATTTTTTCCAAATCTCATAAAATCATAAGATGTTGCTAATTAAATGGCAATATCATGAACTTATGTTATTTGCTTTGACAATTTGTCTAATTTTTTATCAACCTCTTTTTACAATATTTCTTAACAATTTATCATTAAAAATGTAACAATACCTTCCAACCAACTTTAAAGGGTTTCACTAATGTTCATTTTTTACAGAATTTATTAAACTCTTTTTGAATTGGTTTATTGTGCCAATGTATTTAAACCATAAAATGTTAATTAAGTATCTGATAATACAACATTTCTTTTTGAAAATTTTGAAATCATTTAGAGTTACTTAGTTAAAGTTGATATGGATTTTTAAAATTGAGTGCCTATATAATCTACTCCACAATTTAAGAGCTATAAATTAGTCTCATATTGGATTTTCAATTATTAATTTTATTTCATCATTTCAGGAAATGACTTTTTTTATTTTTCTTCTAGTCTATCCAAATCTAATTCTAAATAATTAACTTTAGTTTCTGTTTATTTAATCAATTGAATTGCTTATTCAGATTCTCTTAATCTATAAGATATAGAATTCAATTAATCTTAAAGTTCTATAATTTGTTACTAATAATTTTAATTCTGTAATAGTACAGATTAATAATCTTAAAATAAGGCTTCATTATGTTAAGAAACATTATAAAGTTTTTATTGTAATTCTTAATTACCTCTATCTGAAAAGGTTTTCCTAACCTCAATTTTGGATGTTTTTAATTGTTCTGTTAATTATGCAATTTTATCATTCTTTTCATTTAAATCCTTTGTTGAGCTTTTTAGTTTTTATTTCAAATCTAATATTTCTTCTTCTTTTTAAGCTAATCTTTATTATGCTTCATTTAGCTTTATTATATTTTATTCTAAAAGTCTATTTGTTTAATATAGTTTGGCTAATAATTCTGGAGGCTAATCTAGAGATTCAGATAATTACATGAGACAATACTTCAGAATTTCTTTTAGTAGAATTTGAAATTAATTCTGGTTTTGGAGGTTTGAATTTAATTTGAGTATCAATACTAGCATCATGAAATGAAGCTGATTTATGTTTGAACATATTAATTTTAAATTTTATAATAACGATGAATTTATTTCATTCTCAATGTGTATATTGTTATTTATTTTTATATTATAAAGAATTAATTTATTTATCATTCATTTTCCTATTATGAATTGATATTTATATCTTTTATTTCAATTATTCTTTTTAAAGACTTTAGTTGTCTATTAATTGTATGAATTTTTTAATAAGATCTACAATTTATATTCGATTTAAGTAAATCCTTAGTTAAAAGCGGTTATTAAATTAATATTGAAATGTGTCTTAAAATTTATAGCCATTTGCAAATTATTTAAAGGTATTTATTTGGTACTTGTCCAAAATATAACACTTAATTAATATGAGACTAAACAAGAGGAAAAGAATGCAATTTTAATATATTTATCAAGTTAGAGATTTGTAATAAATAAATATCTATATAATTATTGTCCATTTAGAAAATTAAATAATAATTCATTTATGCATATAGGAAATTGTATTCAAGCCAATTAATAAGATTTTTATTATTAGTAAAGGAGTATTAAAATATTGTTATGATAAATTATACCCTTTATTTATGAACTTTTATTTAATGATGTACTAATAATAATTAACAAAAGGCATTAAAAAATATTGCCAAATCTCTTATTAAAACTTATCTTTTTACCTGATATGAATAGATCACTATGATTTTATGAAAAATTTATTATAACTTGGTATTTAAAAATATACTGATTCAATAATTTTATGAAGAGGAATGCAAATGTAAACTATTTTATTAGGAATGAATCTTTAAGTATCACTATTTTTCACTTTAGAATTAAAATACCCAAGTTCAGAAATTTAAAAAAAATCGATAAAAGGAATAAAAATGGCTGAATACAAATTAACTATGAATTTTAAAAATTAGCTATTCGATATTTTTAAGGAAATCTACTTTATGTAATTTTGATTATTACTTTTATTGTATTATTTAGGAAAGAAATTAACATATTTTTTAGAATATTTAAAGAATTGCTTGATAAGAAATTTTTCTTTTTTTTGTATGTAAATTTCAATATTTGATTGCTCACAATTCATTTTAATTTATTTTATTATGTCTAACATAAATATCATGATGAGCAAATCAATTTAAAAATTTAGAAATCATAAGCGAATAGACAATTAAAAAAAACATTCTTTAATCAATTTAGTACTCTAAGAGAGTTTATCAACAAGACAAGTAATAATTTATTTAATTCAAGGCAGCATAGAAGCTGTAAATAAAATATTCCACGGCTAAGTATATTGTGAAGAATTTTAAAAATAGAGGAAATAATTTAGATGAGCACCAACAACCTCAAAGCAAATAAAAATCAATGGTCTCGAATGTAAGTATTATAATAGATATCTCTGATGGTAATATTGCTTTGGTAAGGAATACTTAAAAATAATGTTATTGTGATTTACATTCTCTTTAAGAGGAACTCAAAAATAACAATCTACTTTAAACTTCAGAGTTAATTTTTTAGAAACTAGGGAAAATTCCTTGGAATAAAATAAACAACAAAGACTGTCGTGACCCTGAATATTTAAAGGCCTATCTATTAAAATAACATCGATTGATGAAAAATTCATGAAAATTTTTTATATTTATAGTTAATTAAAAAATCTTAATCAATCCAATTTAGAGGATAATTCGTTAAATTTACTTCCTATTTGAATTGTTCATGAATTCATGGTCTATATCATCAATTCAATATTAATTTACAATTTAATTAATAGATTTAGAGTTCTCACATTTTAATTTATGTTCAGAGGCTAAATGTATATTTTTACTGACTATAAAATTATTTTTTATCAAAAATCATTTTATTTTTAATCTGAATCATCCAAAAAATGAGGAATGATTACTAAAATTGTTCTTATTTCAAATCAAATATTAATTTATTCTTATGTTTTTGATGTTATTTTTATTTTGGCAGATATTAGCATAAATGAATAGTTGTGGTAAAATGTTAAAATTAAAATATTTATTTATAAGGGTCCTTATTACGTGGTACTTCTTAAAGATTTCTAAATATACAAATTATTCAGAAATATAGCCTTATAGAAATGGTTCATGTTATCAATCTGATTGAGAATATACATAATTATGATGAAAAATCAAGTATATTATTGGAATCTATAATGAAATAGTATCAAAGATAGAATTGCCTTAATATACATAAAGCTACCTAAATAAGTAGTTGTGGATGATTCAAATAATAAGATTGTTATTGAGAAAATAATTTAATATAGTTGTAATATTTGGATAAATAAACTATTGATTTGTGCTTGATTTTAAGAAGTTGATAATAAAATGCAGAATAATCATTGTTTAAATTAATTTAGAAATACGTAATAATTTTATTGAGGAATGATAAATAAATTATGGAGTGGAATCTTATGCCTACCCATGAATTATGTAATTAAATTAAAGATTAGTTTTTTAGCTATGTACAATATATTATATGTATTTAATTCAAATTAAATAATTTGTTTTAAATTTATTGCTATTAACACTCTTAGTCTAATTAAGTATTTAAAATTATAAGATTTGGAATATAAATAAGAATATAAAGCTTTATGTATTCTGTTAATATTTATTAATTATATGGCTTAAACCTTTATTCAATAGGATTAGAAATAAATAATGCATAATGCAATGAGACAACCTTATCAAAAAATAGGAAATGATATTAGAGAAAAAGTGATATACGACATAGTTTTCTAAGAAAATTCGATAAAGCAAGTATACTTTGAATTTGATAAATTAGACGGCGTTAAAATATGGATTGAAGTATTCAACAGCAAATGGGATTGTATAGACTTATCAATAATAAGGAAGGTGTATGAAAAAAGATAAGAGAAATAAGAAATAATATTTTAAGAGAAACAAAATTCTTGTCATAATTGACATCTAAACGGGTGATATCAATCTATATTAATAATAAACAACATCTAATGTATTAATAATTGAATCATCCATTAATCCAAACAATTAAGGTAATTTCAAATAGCAAGATTAATTTCGTCATTCAAAAGAGTGTACTGATTAATTCATCCATCAAGACATTGAATCAATCTCAAATAATTTGATATTCTGGATGAAAAAGAAAATGAAATTTGGAAATAACATAAATGATGTTTCATTTTATAATTTCAAAACTCAAAAAAGAATAACAAAAAGCAAAAGCATACTAACTTTAAAAGAGAGTCAGCCATTATAGAAATTAAATAAAGAGATTAAATGTGAAGAATAACATAATAAAAATAGATCTGAATATAACAATTTTGAGAAATAGGCTAAGAGCATATAATAAGAATAGGATAATAATTAGGAGTAATCTGATTCAATGAGGAGTTAAAGCTCTGAAAGTTATTGTAACGAGTCTCATATTTTTGATTAGGATAAAAAATATTCAATCGAAATATAGTTAGATAATATAATTAAGTTATGGAAATAGTAAATATTTTTGATGTCATAAAAGTGATGAAAGAATTAATTTCATCTAGAAATTATATATAAACTTTTTAAATATATAGTATTTTCATAATTTTTAGTTTTCTAACTTAATTATTATTAAATTTGTATTTTATTTGGTATAATCATACATTTTTAATGTTAATACAATATTCAACATTCTAGCATATATAAAATTGTAAATATTGTTTAGAAATAGGTTTCAACTTTTATTAATAATTAATAAAGTAAATATGATAAGAAAGTATCTAATTTTAAAGGTTAACTCTAAAATTGGAAGAAATAAATTTGTATTTTAATCCATATTTATAAATAATTGAATAGATGAAATGTTTATAATTGAAACATTCTTTTTTGTTTTAAATAATAGTATGTAATAATTGAATATAAAAGAATTAAATAATGTATATAATTAAATTTCAATTTCTGAAAAAAAGAGAAAATATTTTAATTAAATTGAGATTAAAAATATATAAAGATATTATTTTGAGGTTAATGAAAGAAATATGAGAATAATAATGGAAACACACGATATTGAGATAAATAGGAGTAATATGAATAAAATTATTTGATATAATTAGTAGAAAGAGATAAGTATGATGTATTAGATAGAAAACGAAATGGAAATAGATTAAATGAGATGAGGAATTGAATGATGTATTAAAAAATTAAAGTTTAAAAAGAGAGATTTAAAAAATGTATATAGATTAAAATATTAAATGAAAACTATTTATTTATTGGTATTAATAGGTTTGTGTCTTGGTAATGATGGGACATTATATTCAGTGGATTAGAGATTAGGGAAATACTTAATAAGTGAAGGTAAATCTGCAACAGCATTGGCTTGGGGATATTATAAACATGAAGTAATGTAAGATGGATGGGGTAAATTATATATTTGGACAAGTGATAGATTTGATGCACATGATTATAGTTTAAAGACATCTTATGCAGCAGGTATATAATAATTTAATATGATTTATAGGTTATTTGGAAGGATCATTAACATACGAACATATATATAATCATTATTGGTCTTGGCATGATTTTACTTTTGGAAAAGAATAAGTAGATATTAAATTAGAAGAATATTTAATAGAGTAATATGAATATGCAAGAATGTTGGTGAAATAAAATAAAGGAGATGAATATTATGAGGCTTTAGGAAGAATCTTAGCATAAAATGATGGATTATATTAAGCTATTTAAGATAAGGCTCCAGTAAATAAGAAAATTAATTGGATTTAATTATTATTATTGTAAGCATGTGGTGATATATATGAATTAAAAGAAGCAATGAAAACTAAGTCAGAAAGAATTTAATGGCATTTGTTAACTCCAGAAGAATTTGAATGGGAAAGAGAAAAAAGAATATCTTGTTCTGCATTGATAAAAGCATTAGATGATTGGAGTGATGTATGGATGGCACATACAACATGGACAAGTTATTAAAATATGCTTAGAATTTATAAATACTATTCATTTTCTGGTCCAAATCCATATAGAGTTAGTTTTTCATCAAAACCAGGTTTATTATATTCAAAAGATGATTTCTATGTTTTACCTGATTCTAATATGGTTGTTATAGAAACAACTAATTCAATATTAGATTCTTCACTTTATGATTTAATAAATGCATAAAGTTTATTAACTTGGTAAAGAGTTCCAGTTGCTCATGCAATTTCCAATGGTGGTGAAAAATGGACTGAAACATTTATTAGACATAATTCAGGAACCTATAATAATTAATATATTGCTATTGATCTTAAAGTAGTTAAAAAAAAGTAATATAATATTATTTAATTTTAAGTGGTCAAGCACCTGAAAAAGATTTTATTTGGATTTCTGAAACAGTTCCAGGTTTTGCTATCGTTTAAGATGTTACTTAATAAGTTATAACTAATGGAAATTATTGGAAAAGTTATAATATTCCATATACACCTGAAGTATATGATAAAGCTGGTTATACAGAAGCTGTTAAGAAAGATCCTATTAAATATTCATATGAATTATGTCCAAGAGGATAAATGATGAAAAGAGATGCTCCTAAAGTTACAAGTTTAGATAAGATGAAAGAATTCATCAGATATAATGATTATAAAAATGATACTCTTTCATAAAATAATCCTGGAAATGCTATCTCAAGTAGATTAGATTTATTAGAAGTAATCTATATTAATATTATATTTTAGACCAATCCAAGAGCACATGGATCAATTGATGGAAAAGTAGCATCATTAGCTTCAGTTCCATTAAATATTGCTTATATTTAAAGTGGACCTACCAAAGATATTTAACCAGTATTTAGTTGGACTCCTTAATTCACTGGAATTCATTGGGGTTAACCAACTACATTTAATTTCTCATGGGTTGAAGTTAAAGAAGAAATAATTCCATGAAATATAAATAATATCATCAATTATTTAATCATATTCCTATTTTTATTAAATAAACTAATTATTAACTAAATCCATCTTTATTTATTAATTTATTCCTATATCTATTAATATTACTGAAAATTTAACTTACATTTTCAATTTACCAAATTTTTCATTAATGAAAATATCAAATAAAACATCTAATCCATATATTCACTACAATTTATTAATTGTATTTACATATTTTTACAATTCTTGATTTTCTATTCATTTTTTAAATTGCAATTAATTTTTTCATTTTCATAAAATCAAAATTAATTCTTATATAAAATCATATACATTATTTAATAAACTTTATTATATTCTTATATTAGATGATATGTCCGTTCATATTGATAAATTATTCTATTTCAATTTTTTCTATCAACCTATTAACAATATTGTTGAAGGATTCAAATATAATCTAACAGAAATTGTAATTAACATTATGTTATTTTTGACTTATCAATTTTTAATTTCAAAATCTAAACGATAAGTAAGATTACTACAAATAAAAAATCTTTTCATTTAAACAATCATATAAACAATTCTCAATCCATATATTATATATGAATAGTAAACAAAAATTGAGTTGCATACAAAATTTAGATACCAAATAACAACTATTTATTTATTAAGGTTATTTAAATTATATATATATAAAGTTTTATTATAGAATGAAAATTATTTTTTTGAGAGATCTTAAATCTTAATAAATATTTGATGAAATAGATCAATTGAAATCATTTAAAAAAATATCAAATATTGAACATATTATATATAATGTATTTTGCTTCTATATTATTAAATGAATATATCTCACAGTTTATGTTGCATTTAAATTAAAAATAAAAGCAATCGATAAACATAGAGTATAGAATTGAAATAAAATAAAAAAATATTATTTGATAATAGATTAAATAATATAAATGAATGAAAGAGATTAATTTAGTTTAAATTTATTCACAATTTCATATTTAAATCTATCTTTTTTGCTTAATATTACTAATCTCATTAACAATTAATTATCCTCCTTCTGTATTTATTTTCAAAATTTATTTGATATTCTAAATAAAAAAGGAATAAATTACTTTTCTACACAAATAGCATTGATTAGATTTAACAACTATATCTTCTGCACATTTTTCACAGATTCCTCCGTGTCTACATGGTACAAATAAAATATTTGGTTAATTTTCATAACAAATTAAACATTTATCCTATGTAGATTATTAATCCTCAATAATGGAATTTTGAGATTTACATGATTTTTGATGTTCATCTGATACTTTTTTAGATATAACAACTTCTTTAGCTTATTCTTCAATGTTTTCATTTTATTTTTCTAATATTTCTACATTATTAATCTTTTCATCTAATGAATTACTATTAGCCTTAATTTCTTTTTAAAATTGCATTCTATTTGATGACTATTATCCTAATGCTCTTTAAGATATTTATTCTGTTTATTTAACATTAGCCTAATCAAAATGTAATTTATCAAAAATAGCAAAGAAAGTACACGACATTTTAATTAAATATAAAGGTGCATTTAATTTAATAAATCTAAATGGTTATTTTCTCTTTTTTTTTGATAAGGTTTCAATAGAATCAGGTATATTGTCAATTCTTTATTCTTATTCTTATTAAATTTATATTGGTTAATGTGGTAATCCAATTTAATATTATTCATATCCTTACAATTCCTTTAAGAATATTCTAATAATATATAAAATTAATGAGTACCTTATATTATTTATAAAAAAACTAGTATAAACAGTTAAAAATAACATATAGATTCCACTTAAAACGATCAGTTAAACAGTTTCATCTTCTCCAAATAGTTCCTAATTATCATATAGTTATGTTAATTTATAAAGGAATGTAAATGGTAATAAAGTGTAACCTATTATATTAATGAAAATCCAAATATTTCCTATTACTATAATAAATATAAGGAATACAATAATTATGATTAGTTTATTTTTTTAGAAGATTAATAAAAGTTTCAATACATCCAATAAATGATATAAATAATAATAATGCAAAGACTACTAAAAATACCCATAAGATTATAAAGATTTACGACCAAACCCATTCAATTTTCTATTCCCATTTTAAAGCTATAAGGGTCATCTAAACACATAATAATGTTTTAATAAATTAAATAATCTTAATGATAAATCTAATAATTACAATTTATTGATTATTCTATAATTAAAATTTTAACTTTTGAACTACTCGCATAAACAATACTAATATTGAAAGTGAAATCATCATTATTGTAATAAAGTAAATTTTGAATTTTTGTATTTCATAATAAAATACTATAAAAACCTGTTTTAAAATTGAATGTTATACTTTTAAGAAAAATAGAAACATAGCTTCTATAAGTTACCAAATGCATTCCTCTCCTTTACGATAATTAAAATAAATCAATATGAACATTGTTAATAAATCTTATATCCATAATTAAAGTAAAACATATCGAAAACTGTATTACCAAAATAGATATCCATAATAGTTGATAAAGAAACCTTACAAAAACAAATTAAATAACAAAGATTTTGTAATTTATGATTGACTTGATATTGGCTAATTTATAAGATAAACTATTTTACTTTTATTGATAAAGGAGCTTAAGGTAATTATAAATTTTATCTTGTGGTTTGTTATTATCTAAATAAGATAAATTATTTATTTTACAATTCTCTAAATAATGGCAAAGCAGTCGGAGACATAAAATTCCTCCGTCTTGTTGAAAGTTATTAATCATCTGTCATTTCTATTCTTAATTAAGAAGGTCTCATTCTTAATGAACCCATTTATGATTCTGGCATTTGACTAAATTAATCTATCATTCTTTATACATCATAATATTTGAATAATAAGTTTATAAAATATTTTTAATAAATTATTTTTCTATTTATCTTCTTTTAAGAAATTATCAATCTATTTCATTTGAAACTATTTATCCTTAACTTATTTTTGTTCTCTATTATTGATTATATTTGTTTCCGAACATTAATTTTATATAAATTAAATTATGTCAAATAGTTAATAATATTAATATTACAATAATCTTAAAACAACAAATTAAAACCATTAAACTACAAGTTAGCGTTCATGATAATCATTATATTAGTAAACATTTATACCATAATAATAAAATCCTTATATGTAAAATAATTCAAAAAATAATCAAAATTTAAATTCTATAATACCTAAAAACAATATAAACCCTTTTAATCAATAAACTAATAATATATCATAGCAATAAATAAAGTAATATTTTAATAAACATCTAGAGGACCTTAGTTTTTATTTTCATAAGAATAATTTAATCTAAATTAACCTGTTGCATAAAAATTATTAAATTAATAACAAAAAAAAGTAGAACCTAAAATTATTTACAATTAAACCAAAGTAAAGGATGATGAATTGTAAACTTAAAATTAATAAGAAGAAGAAGAATTTAATGAGGATGATGAAGATTAATAAGTAGATAATGAAAATGAAGAAGATGATGATACTGAATAATATGATAGTGAAGAAGAAACACAAAATAAATAAAATGTTTAACAAAAAAAAAATATTATATTAATAGCAAATGCTGATAAATTTAAATCAGTTACAGAAATTGAAACTATTAGAAAAGTTGTTAATTAAATAAACAAAGAATTAGATCGATTAGATTAAGAAATACAAGGGACTTTAATTATGAGTAGAATTAATTTTGTTGATCAAAGTGTTTTAAAAATTTCAGTATCCCAAGATTAATCATACTAATAGTACCTAAAAGAATTTGAATAGTTTAAGCTATAAAAATAAGTTAATCCTAAATCTATGATAGGGTGATAAGTAATTAATTATAATAATATTTTATTAAACATTTTTTTTATAATAATATTATATTAAATAATATGTTTACAGATTGTATATAATAAAAATTTACTTTCATAAAATAATAAGAAAATTCAACATAGTGAATATTTTTAATGTCCTTGAAAATAATCATTATAAATTATTCTATTAAAGTGAAACCACAATATTTTCTTAGTTTTTTCATTATACAATTAGAATGAAAAATTTATAAAATTGAATTTAGAAGCATTTCTTAATATAAATATGAGATTAACATTTAAAATAATTAATAAAAGGAGTATATTTCACAAAATTATATTATCATTAATTTAATTCTATTTTCACTTTTTTTTATTTCTCATCTAACATCAAATTTCTTAGAAGAGAAAGATCATCTAAAATTTCTTTATTAGATAATTTAATTATTTTTACAGGTTATTTTATTTTAGTATTTATCTATTCTTGATTTTAATATATATCTTTATTTATTTTTAACCTCGCTTATTATTTATTTTTTTTTTGACATTAGGAACATCTATATTTTGTTTATTAAGAAATTTAGTGTAAATTCTACTTTCCCAAAGTTTGTTCGCATTCAACATGATTCTATAAAAATAAAAAATTAAATATACCCATCTGCCACATTTTTCACACATAATCCATTATTTATCATCTATCTCATACTTTAGAGTGGGATCATATATCTTAAATTATTGAAAATATTATTACTTAAATACAATATTCACAATAGTTGTTTAAGTTCAAATTGTTTAAACATCGATTACATAATAGGATAGTTTTACCTTCGAACTAAGTTTCATTTAAATTTTTTCTTTTATTCTAACAATTTTTATTTTAACAATTTATCTGTTGTTATAATTATTTTTGTTAAGCTATATTTCTATTGTGACATTTTATTTTTATTTGATGAATCTGAGTGGGACTACTAGATTGAGAATCCTAATTTTTGAAGCTTGTATCTGTTTTTATTAGTTAACCAAGATAATTTGAATTTTAAAAGCTATCTACTATATTATTAGTATTAATGATCTTAAGAAATTCTTAATATAAAGTAGAAAACTATTCATAGTTGGTAAAAGGGAAGGATTCATTTAACGATTATTATTAGTTTGACAACATGTATTTTTTTTAAATTATTGAAATATTTTATTTTTTATTTATTAAAGAATAGGTATTATATTTTTTACTATTTTTAAATTAATATGGAATTAATAGAAAACTGAAAAAAAGTATGAATATAAATTAAAATAAAATATTTTTGAAACTATAAATTTATCTATTTAAAGTTAGTAATAGAAGTGTAAATTATTTTTTATATGAAGGTATAACTATTAAAATACCAAAAAAAAAGAGAGTAAAGTTAAAAATTCATGAGCAAATAAAGAATTATGAAATAAAACAAGAAAACTGTTTCTAATTTCTAGAATTTAAATGAGCTAAAAATAGTTGATTTAATTTAAATCTTGCATTTATTTTTTAGATAATAATATTCAAAATAAATAACAATTATTGATTGGTTCTAATACATTTATCACATCTTTAGAGTTAAAATCTGATATTATAAATTAAAGTATTTTTATGATGGTAACTAATTACATTCCAAAAATGAAAAAGCTCAAACATGTAATCTATTATATTCATCAATTTCCATTACGGAACTTATATATAATACTATTCCTATGAAATCTTTTATTTACTTTTAAGAATACATAATGTCTTACTATTTATAATTGGATAAATTAAAATAATTTGTTTACTTTCTTAAGGTATGGTTATAAATATGAATTGTATATAGATTCTGATATTTATCATTAGTATTCTCATTATTTTTAAAATTTTGGAAATGAAGTATTGTCAAGAAAATATAATTTATAATAGATAGAATAGAAATTTGGGGTTTTATTATAATGTTGTAAATTAAAAAGGACTTAAAAATATTTTATATATATAATCATAATTATTTCAATATATTGAAAAAATCTTGAGGAATTCTTCCTTAAACAATTATTTTTCTTTTGTTTTTTTATTTTTATTATTAAAATACTTTTTTAAGATCACAAGTATTAAGTAATAATAAATCAAGTATTCTTTCAGTTGATTCTGGAAGTTCTTTTATTTATTTATTTTAAACTTTATTAATTTCATCTAATAATTAAAAAACAATGTACTTGGTATTATTTTAGTTTAATTTAACTCTGTTATAATTGGCATATGTGGTATAGTTTGAGAATCTTAAAATTAAGGAGATGGAGATGATCTTTTTTTCAAAATTGGAAGAGAATATTTATTGCTCTGTCTTTATTATTAATCACCTGGCTTTGATTATTCCTCAGACATATAATTTGTAAGAGTACCCAACCTCTCTAAAAATATCATATACGAGTATCTTGTCCTCTGATTTTTAACGGTTATCTCTTCTATATTGCATACTTTTATTTTAGTCTTTTATTTATTAACTTTCTAATGATATATTCACTGAGTTAAAGTATTCAATTTTCTTTAACAGCTGTGTCTTTTCATTTAATTTTTATTCATTCAATGATTTTCGTTTTTAAACTATTTAATATTTTCCTCTTATTGGAGTTTGATAATTTGTTCTCTTTGGACTTCTTGGTTAATGAATACTAAATGCATGCAAAGAAAATTTCTATGTGGAATCGTATTTTTCTCTTTCAATTGATTTTCTTAATCTCAAAGCTATATTTGATCTCATTTTTATTAATATAATTTTGAGATCTAAACTAAGAATTTCAATAATTAAATATTATAAATTATATTTATAAAAAGTGTTGTCTTTAGCTTAATACAAATTAAGAAAAACTTGATAAGTTGAGTGTGTTAAAATATTTCAATTATGTTTTATTAGAAAGAAATTCAGTTTAAGTAATATAATTTAATTAACATTATCGAAATATTTAAAATATAAATGTTTTTAATATATAATAAATATTCTTTATTTTTAAAATGATTCAATTATATAAAACAAGAATCAAATCTTAACTTATTTTGATTTTATTAATATTGATAAATTAGAGTCATTCTGTTTTAATTTCTTAACTATTTAAAGTGGAAAATTAAAAATTTATACTTATTTTTTAATTTGCATAACAAATTTTCAATTATATTGAATAATATTTTGTTATTCTACATAAATTGGATTTAGTAAAATTGAGAATAAATTAGGATATAAATATTAGAAAGAAGTAGTGCAATAAGATTAGTTTTAAAATTATTTATTTAAATTTTATATTATTGCATTTTTTTATATTTATTCATTTTAAAGAATGAAAATGGGAAATTTGGAGTAAATTTTATAATATTTAAAAATATAAGACATTATCTTTCAAATAGGTTATGATTGTTTAAAAATATAAAAATAATAAAGTCATATATTTAGTGTTTTTCCTGAAAATCTTTATAAAACAACCTAATCATGAGCTATTTCATCATAACCACCAATACTTTAAAAGGGTGAAAGAGAATTTAAGATAGGAGAATCTAAATAAAAAAATAATAATACTCTCAACAGAATTGATTCTACCTGTAATAACTGGTGTTCTCATAATTATTTTAAGTTCATCATCAGAATTTTAGTTTTATTTTAATTCTTAAGTAGCTTATAATGGTAATTCTTTAAAATTCTAACTGTTTTATCTTTTAATTCTTGTGAAATCAACTTTTTCAGTTCTAAATGAATATAAAATAATTTATAACTATTTATTAAGTATTTTAATTCTTTCCATAAGATTTGGATCATCATCTGTAGAAATATGAGCTTCATCATCATCTATCAATAGAGCACTTTATAAATAAGGATGTAGTAATGCTTCATTACTCTTAATTCTTGATAAAGGATCTTTTTATAGCATTTAAAATATTAAATTTTAAACTTCTATAGGTAAACTTTAAAAATGTGGAGAATCGAAATTAACATTCGCTTCCTTATTTTATTAAACAATTGTATTATAAGTTTTACCAGTAAATGCAGGTCTTCCAGTTAATCTAATTATAATATGAATGTAATAAAATACAAAATATAAAATACAATTCCCATTGAATACACATCACATATTGAATCATAAGGTTAATAGATATTTTTTAAATTAATAATTTCAGGAGCAACAAATCCAGGTGTACCACATTTTTAATATAAATATGGTTTTTTATTAACATGAGTAGCTAATCCAAAATCAGCTATAACCACAGAATCAAAATTTCTTTTTTAATATATTTTAATAAATACCCTTATTATTTAAATAAAATATTCTCTAATTTTAAATCTCTATGCATAATTCCTTTAGAATGCATATGTTTTAAACCCATTAATAAACCAACCATTATACTTTGAACTTATTTTTCTGTAAATGAGATTTTCTTTTTCAAATACTCAAATAATTAATCTCCTTCTAGTAATTCAAGACCCATATAGATAGAATTCTTAGTTTCATATACTTCATATAATTTCATTAAATTAGGATGATCTAACTCTCTCATTATCTATATTTCATTAATTAATCCTTCCTAAAATGAAGAACAGTAAATTTACTCGTCCTTTCTCTTCATTATATACAATTTATTTTGAAAATGCTTTCACTGCCATTCTTATATTATCTTCTATTCGTTCAGCTAAATAAACAGATGCAAAATTTCCTCTTCCTATTTTTTTATAAACTCGAAATAAATTATGAAATCCAATTTAATTGATTTTTTTACCCAAGAAGTTTCTCAATTAATGCAATTATTCTGTTTTACCCTATATTTCATATGATTTATCAATATTTTCAACAATCAAACGTATAGCTACTATTTCTCCTAATTCTAAGATCTCTTCACCTCTAACTTTACTATGATGTTTCTCTTTTTTTAATTTTGAAGGAGTTCTTATCACTTCAAATTTGCTGGTGAATTCTAAATCAAATAATTTATAAGCAATTGTATAGAATGGATCCTATATTCCTTTAAAAAACTCTTACTTTATATTTTATCAGATATTCATTAAAACATCCAATATAGAGATCTTTTGATTTTTTGCCTACCTTTTCAAATTTACATTATAGTATAGGCTTTTCTCTAATATCATAATCTATCTTTCTCCAAACCTTGTTCTATTGCATTAATAAATAAACTTATTTATAAATATAAATTCAGACTGTTTTTCATTTATTTAATACTTTAATTATGCGAGTATATTTTATTCAATCCTACCTTATGATACTATTACATTATAACATGTTATTTAAAAAAATATATTCTTAAGTTATATTCTTTTATATTATTAAAATATATTTTTATCAATTTACAAAACAATTCTAATCTATATTTATTAATTCATAAATAAATGAACAATTTATTTAGCAAACCTAATTCCATTAAACATTATATTAAAAATCATTCTGATATACTTAAACTAATATCAGTAATGAGCTTAGATAATTAATTGTATTAGCAATAAAAAAGTTTAGTACTCTTAGAGTAACAGAATTTCATTTAATAATAAAGTAATAATTATTATTTCTAAAATTGAATAATATTTTTACTTTGTATTAAGAAAGTTTGGTGGAGAATGTATTGAAATGATAATCGGTTAATAATTTTGAAACTTTTACAAAAGAAATAGGCTAAAGTTTTTTTAAAGTATCGATACAAAATTTGATCAATTCTAAGATGAAATTAATTGAGTATACAAAACATATATCTCATATTTAGATATCACAAAAATTGTTAAATAGAAATTATATCGAGAATTATAAAATTGGATGAAGGATCTTTTGGTATAAGAATTATAAATTATATATTTTTAAATTCGAATCTCTAAATATATTGATAAATAAATCTGAAAAATAGAATAAGATGATATAATCGATAAGATTATAAATAAAAGATAGAGATTAATAAAAAATATTATATATAAAACTTAGAATAGTTTAATTATGAATAAGGAAAATGATAAAAAGAGATAGAAATGAAAGGTTGATATCTTCAAGTAAGGATAAATAATATAAATTATGGTCAACTAATATAATTTCATACTGGAAAAATAATTTAAAAACCATAAATATGGATTTTCTTTATATTCTCAGTATATTAATTGATTGAGCATGATTGGATAATAGAATTAGAATTTAGAAATGTGATGATACGATTTAATAGTTAAATGAATAAGTAAATATACATTATGTTTAATTAATGATATATATATTAAAATAAAGATATAATTCATTATGTTTCTATAATGCCAATAACTTCAACAAAGTTAAAATTGTTCTTTTGTATTTAGAATATTTTCATAATAGGTTATCGACATAAATAGCATTCTTTATTTCTCAAGAGGAGATTGGATGCACATTTAAGACATAAACCACCTAGAAATATATAATTATTTATACCATGTCCACAATTCATAAGGACATAACCACTCTCATTTTCAAAACAAATTAAACATTTAATATCAGCATCATTTGATTTACGAGGTGATGTAGATAGAATTTCAAAAGGTTTTTCAGTTTATTAAAAATAAGTAGAAGATATTTTAATTAAATATTTAGGAATACCTTCATTCATAAATACTTCATTATCAGATGTACCCATTTATGGTATTAAAGTATTCATTTACTAATAATATAATCTGATTGAATATTTACTGTTACTTTACTTCTTTACGAATGACAAATGATATTATCATCATTATTAACCATCCTATTAAACATACTATAGGAAGATAAATGTTACTAACATTTTGATCCATCGTCAAACAAAAGTTTAGCAAAGTAAAAAATGGATTGAATGTTAAACAATGTAATTATATTGTATACCAAATACCACCATAATATTTGATATTTGAATTGTTTCTTCTTTCAATTGAAAAATTTAATCTTTTCACTGTTTTATACAATAAATTCAATATCATACAAATCTAAAATAGTAAACCACAAACTAAAATAAACCACAAAATAACAAATATCTACATCCAGCTCCATGGTAACACAGAATTTAAATGAAGTGATAAAAATAACAGTTATAAACTTAAAAAACACTTCAACATTCCTACACACTTTCAACTATCTATCTATATATAATTACTAATTTAAATAGACCTAATGATTAATCAATATTTAATTAAGTTCTACAAATCTTAAACAACACTGAAAGTATTGACAATCCTAATAATGAACTTGATAGATATATAAGTAATTCCTTCATAAATATTCCAAGAATCTAATATCTCTATTTTCAAATCCATACTTATATTCCAGCCAATAATGAATATTCCACTATATACTTTATCTTACTACTCTTCAAAGGAATAATATGATAAACACAAGCTATGAATATTATTCCTAACCCATTTAAAGCTATTGTATAAAAGTAATCATTCAAAAAACAACATATATTTATGTTAATTAAATATTACTGAATTAATGCCTATTTTACCAAAATCTAATTTTTAACTATTATTTACTTTTATTATGACTTTATTTTGTTTTTATTCATCCATTCTTTTCTTATTTAATTTGTTAATTATATATATATATATATTTATTAAAAATCAAAAAATAATAAAATCATGATTTCCCTGAAAAATTTAAATTGCTTAAAGCTAATTACATAGCAATTAAAGGACTTAAAGGACTCATAAAATCCAAATTAAAGTGATTTTTATTTACTTTTCCAAATTATGCATATATTATATCTTTATCATCATTTTTCAAAACCAATTAAAAATTCTTAATAGATGGCTTTTTCACTCTACCAAAAAAATCAAGAGTATAATATTTTTCTAATTATTTAAAAAATACTTACATGTTCCGTTTTTAATAACTTATGGTTTACGACTTATAAATTATATAGTTTCTTTCTCATTTTTTCTCATTGCTAATACTATTTTCCTTGGCCGAGATTATTTATCATAAGTTGTATCAAAAAGTACACTACCTAATTAAGTTCTTAACTTTTTGAATTAATTCTAATCTTTCTTTTTTACTCCATTATCAAATAAATGATAATCTCCCTTATATTATTTACTTTATTCAACCTTTCCTAATGTTAGAAAATCCTCTTTTTTCTTAAATTCTCCATCCTATGTTATTATAAACTTATTTTTATTTAAAACTTTCTTTGCAGCAAGTAAAAATTATCCATTATGACTCCAATACATTCTGTATTTAGGAACGAATCTATTTAATCCAGATTTATCTCTCTAAATAGTACATTAAAACATTCCTTCATTAGGAATGGGATTAATTAGAAAATCTTTTAAATAATCTGGTAATTACAATTAAGTAATTTTTTCAGCATATGGAGGAGTAGGAGGAATAGCTATTAATTCTTATAAAGTAGTCTCTTAAAAAAAATCACAGATTTCTATTAGGCATTCTTTTTATTCTTATTAATTTTATGATTCTTATGATTCTTCTTATTTTTTTTATTCAAACAAATTTTAATTAAGTTCTAATTAACATTATTATTTTATTGAAATATTTTATATATTTTATACATTTTTATGATCTTATACTTCTTCTAATTATAGAGGGTCAAATTACACAACTTCAAAGAATTATGGAGCTTCATTCAATTCTACTGATCCTATTGATTATTTTTTTTCTTATTTAAATATCTATTTTTCAATAGTAAATGAACTAAAATCTATATCATGAGTATCATATTTAGAATTTCCAACACCTAAATTTTTAGTATAATTTTAATTTTTCTTTAATATTTATTTTTACTTTGCTATATATTAAATAGAAAATACTTATTAATCTAATTCTTAGCTTAAACCTAGAGTATCTAAACAAATGTTAGGAGTTTCTAACTCTTCATTACTTTAATTCATATTGGAATCTAGAAACATTATTAATTTTATATATTAATTATAGAACATTTTTATAAATAAATTATAGATTAAATGAATTTCATTAGATTTTGATTCCCACATTCTTAATTATTTATTTAAAGTTTTCATGATTATATGATAATTTTCTATCAAACAAAGACTTACTACTTTAAAGAATCGAAACTTTATTAATGCTTGGTTAACTAAGTTTACATCTAATTAACATTTTAAAATCAGCATTTCTTTTTAATAAATATGACATTCTTTAACTCTTAGAAACTCTTCCCAATAAATTAAGCAAAAAAGTTAAAGTTTCTTCTTCACTTAATAATTCTGGATCAATTCTATTTGAGAAAACATCATTAATAATTGTATCATTTTTAGGAGATGTAAGTGTAAAAGTGGTCCTAGTTCTATTAATTTCAGTTTCTAAATTATTTATTTTTGATTTTAAAAAACTAATCTAATTCTTAGAATCTTATTCTTTATTTTATTATTATGAACTAACCCTTTTAGCAACTGACAATTCAATTCGTAAATCTTCAATTGTCTGTTTTTGTTAATCATTAATATTTTATAATTAAAATATCCTTTTATCATCAGTCTATTTTTATTCTTAATTATCCTATAATTCATTGGTTAGATATTCAATTTATTAGTTTATTTATCCAATCTATTTAATCTATTGTGCAATAACTATCTATTATTCTTTTATTTATTATTGTAATCTCTAAATATCAGTGTTATTTAACCCATCCTTTTATTTAATTACTTTAAACATCTTTTTATCATTTGAATTCTCCTTACAATTAAAAGTTTGCATAGTTAAGACTTTCTGTTTTGTAATAGGAAATTAAGGTTACTCTATTGTTCTTCTTAAAATCCTTTAAACTTGCTCTCTAGTTAGGGATTATTTTTTCAAAGATTAAGGAGTAAGTTGATCTGATTATTATGACATTGAAGATACTGTAATCTCAGGAACAGGGATTCTATCTATCAATTTCTCTAATTCTCTATAATTCTATACTAAAAATACTTAATTACCATATTATATTCATCCATTTTGATATTTTAAATTTATTAACGATAGTCAAAAATTTATAAGCCTTATTCATATTAAAGCAATATCTTTATTTTAATCCTAAAAAAATCAAATTTATTGTTATTTCCCTCTCTTCATTATCAAATTAATTGATTCCAACAAAATCAATTATTTTTCATATAACATAACAAAAATCTTTGTGTTTTTAATTGTCTTGTCTATATAATTGTTTAAATGAATTCTTTAAGACAAAAAAGTGTCTTGATGGATAAATATCTATAACTAATAGAACTTGAATCAAATACATTTTGCTTTTGTGCTTTGCAATCTATATTAAATTTGAATCTTTAACTATTTTTTATATGAGATATTCTCTATTTCATATCATACTACAAGTTAATTGCTTTTTCATTTAGAACAAGTTAATTACAAGCACAGATTATTTTAGTTACAATATTGAAATCTTAATACTATAGTTTAAAATTATTATATATAATAGAAGAATTCCAATTCACCAATTTTCATTAATAAATTTATATTGTCAATCCAAAGTCTAATCTGTTAGTTGTTTTCCATTCTGAATTTAATATTAATCACATTTTGAAAAGTGATCTAATCATTTCAATATTAATTACTTAACTCAAAGAATCCATGAATATAGATAATGAAATTTAGTGTACAGTTTCCAGTATTTAATTTGTTTATCTATCTATATTTTTAGCCATCTTTTACGCTCGTAATCCCCATAATAAAAATGTTATCCCATAACATTCTTTATTTATATAACAACTATTTTAATTATACACTACAACATAACTTCAATCATTTAATCTGTAAAATACATCCAATAACAATCTTTTTGGAAATTAGACCTCGAGCTTCAAAAATGAATTCAATATTAAGTATATAAAAACACCTTATTAGATCCATATTTAGGCGTATTCTTCATGTTGTATAATCTAAAATCCAAAAAGATATCTGAAGAAAGCAATCTATAAATATTTTTTAGGCTGGGATGTAACTTTGTTTAAAAACAAGGAATCGAAAAACATATTCTCATTCATTCATTTTGATTAATGTAATTTTATTAATTTAAGTAAGTTAGAATTCACTGAATAATATTTTCTCAAATCAAGGATAAAATTTTTTAGATTTAAATCCTTATTTTATGATGTCAGATATATTTTTGAAGTTTGCTTCTTAATTCTTTAAACTCTTTTACCAAATAAATAAGCATTATTAATTCATCAAAAGGAACTATACCTTCAAAAACAAACTTATTCATTTATCAAAAGAAGTAATATCTATCACTCCTTAACAATTTGATTAACATTATTTTATTGCTATTCTATATATTCTATTTTATCCTCTTATTGGTAGGGTTGTATTGTCTTTTACTTTTTTGGAGGCATTTTAATGTATTTATATTAAAATCTCTACAATTTCTGCTTTTGTTTTTATATATTAAAATATAATTACAATCTAAATCTACTAAATGTTTCCAAATTTGCTAAATAAAACCCTCTGTTCAAAAGCTTTTTTGTTTAGATTATATAATTGAATTAAATACTATTTGTTATTCCTTGAATCTCATTATAAATAAGCTTAGATAACTTTTTCTTAAATGTTCACACTTTATTATAATCACAAATAACTTAAGCATAATTAACATCAGAATATTATAATAAAAATAAAATACTTTATATTTTTTATCATTCCTTTTTAAACAAAGTCTATTCATTTTTTCATTCTTATAAATTTCTTTATGTTTTTGATATCTCATTTATTTTCTATGAAAAGTTTTAATTAATTAAAATAATGAATAGGAAAATGCCAATAGTTGAAGATTTTTATTTTGTTAAGACTCAATCCCCTTTAATGATGCCAATTGCAGGTGATCCTTGTAATTTGTTTCAGAATACAAACTTTGATAACAATTGTTCAAAATAAAATCGAGAAGAATAATATCTAAGAAAATATAAGAATGTAATGATTGAAGAAGATTAACAAAAATACAAACTCTTGATTCTCTAATAAGAATTGTCTTTGTATTTTGAAACACTAAGGAAATTTAAATTATGAAAAGCTACAATTCATTTAAATTATTATTGATTATATTTCATCAAAATTACAATTTGCATATTCTTTATATATGTATTTAATTATCATCTAAAAGATAATCTATCTGTATTTTTTCAATTTTTCATAGAGCAATTATATTCATCATTAATTAATAACTCAAATTTCACTCAACTTTCTGACGAATAAATGAATTAATTTTATTATTAATGTATGAATTTTATTCATAAATTAAAAAACTTCATCTATTATAAATTTCTCATTCTTATTTAATGTATATTAAACTTTACCATATTCTTTAAAATATTCTCACCTATTATTTCTAACTGATCTTATAATTAATGGATAAACTTGTATTATATTACATCTTATTATTTAGATAATTTGATAGGTTGAATCATTTTAAGATGATGTTTATAACTTTATAGTTTATTTCAAATTTGCAGAATCAAATATCACTGTTTGATATCCCTAAAACCATTTGTAATTCATTTGTCACTTTTAAACAATTTGTTATTCTTTTTTGTTTTGATTCTTGGAAGTTCAAGTTATTGATTCTATAGGTTATTACCACATGATTAATCGTTAGCATGATGTCTTCCTTTAGCTTCCTTTTTTATTGAAAATTATTATTTTTCTCTCAAACTTTTTAGTGATTTCTTACTTTTTTATTTTCTAATTATTTTACATTAGATATAATTGCATAAATATTTACAGATTTGAATACTTTAACCAAATTCCCTATTCTTTTACTTAAGCAGTTCCAGAAACTATATATCATTGAACAAGCCTTTTAAATATTTCTGTTCTTATTTTTTTCTTTCATTATCACATTTCAAGATTAAGCACCAAAAATAAAATAACGGTAAAAAATATATTAACTCTCCATTTTAATTATACTAATAATTATGATTTTAATTGACTTATATCTATGTACGATTCTATTTACAAATGGCTTAAGATATTTAATAAAGAAAATGCTTTTTTTCTAAAATTAACTAACAAAAAAAACAGTAATTTATGGAATACTTAAAATTAAATTATAATGTCAACTGTCTCTCAATTTTTTTATAACAAAACATTTTTCATGTATTTATGACAATCGAATAATGTTATTGATATTATTATATTTTTTTGAAAGTGTCGGAAAATCTAAATATATTTTAACGCCATCTAAGGTAATTTCAGCTTAAATGGATCATCAAAAATCTTTGTTTTACTTTATATCTTATAATTAAATCATACAGGAATTTATCTACTTTATTATCAGAATTCAAAGGATTGTTTATTCGAAAAGAAAATAATATTTGATAATATAAATATATAAAATTGTAGCTTAACATAAACTATTAAAATAATGTAGTTGTTTTTTCTTAAATTATTTTAGAAATCTTATCTTATTCTTTAATTTTGCTTTCTATAATTAATTTTTAGATAAAATTATAAAAAGATAATTTATAATTATAAAAAATTAACCTAATACTATATAGATTAAAATCATTAGATAGAACAATAATAACAAGTTGATCTATCCTTAGGTCTTTTAGTTTTTGCTTAATTCTACTATATTTAAATTTATGTTTATAACTAAACATCATCAATAACAACTTAAAACTTTCCTTCATCATCTTTGAAATCCTATTATTAAATTAATATATATTACTTCATCTGTTAATTGAAACACTTAGCTTTTAGTTGAAGTAGTCCAATTCATTATTTTTGATGTATCTTACTACTATATATTTTAATTTCCATAGTATGCATTCTTAAAATTTGAAGGACCTACATTTTTATCTGCTTTTCCTGCTACTGTAAACATTTCTCCAGATTATGTTTATGAGGGTCTTCGAATATCTTTCAATATTATTTTTGGACGAACTTGATGTAATGCATTTTTTTCATTCTTCTCTTCTTAGTTTTCTTATTCTTTTTCAAGCTCTTCTACATTATTTAATTAATCTTTATTTTATTTATTTTCTTTTTCTTTCACTTTCACTTTAATATTTTTTATAATTTTAATATTATCCTCATCTTAAATCCTTTTTTCTCCATTTTCTTAAGTATCACATTCAATTAATTTTATTTCTTATTATTATTCTTCTTTTAGGGGAGTTTCACAACATTAATTTGATATTTTATTTTGCTGTGTTTTTTAATAAATTTAATTTTGCCTTTTTAAAAAACTATCCATTATTAAACATGCTTTTAAAACATCTTTTTTTTAATCCATTCCTTATGCAAAAGCTTATTCTGAATTTATGACTTTAACTACTCTTTTTAATTTATTTTTTGGTTTTATTTCTTTTTCACTTTCACTATCTGAATTAGAATCATTACTTTCCTTTTTTTTTTATTATTAATTAGCTTTAATAGAATTAGCAATTTATTAGGCATTAAATTATCTTTCACTTGAGATTGGCGAATTAATTTAAGGATCATCATTAAAATCTTTACCTTATCCTCTATATTATGCTAATTTGTCATTATTAGTAGATTTATTTACCCCTTCATAACTTATTCTAATATATTCTTGCAATTTTCTATATCCATCTTTACACATCATTTAAAAAAGCTCCTTTTGTAAACTATCTTTTTATATCGGAGGTTAAACTATTTATCTTTTTTAAAAAGTAGAATGATGCTCCAAAATCATCTTAATCAGATCTTTAGGCATTAATTGAAATTTCTTCTTGAAAAATTACTCTAATAATTTTAGAGTTTCAACTCTACTAAAACTTTAATTTGCTTAATAATGTTTATTGAGAAATTTTTAGAATTATGAATCAAAATTATTTTAAATCATAATCTATCCATACATAGCAGCATTCCACAAAACTAATATTTCTAAATACGCTGAAGGAGGTTTCTATTTTTCTTTATCTTGCTTACTTACATGTACACAATTTTAATGTATACATAATTTAAGTGCCAAAAAATTAACTATTTTATGTAATTTCAAAGGCTTTCCTTCATTTTAAGTTTTAGGATCAACTTACATTAATTTAGCTAATTAATTAATAATCTATTTGATAATATCAAATGTTATCCATTTCTATATATTTTTTAATTTTATTAAAACGTTTTCAACATCTCGATATGTCAAACATTAAGTTCTTTTATCTCTTAGATAATCAATTCCCATCTCTTTAAGTATCGTAACTAAACTTGTTATGTTTTTTATCTCAACTTCCTTCCCTTTTATTATTTCAGTACCTCTCATCAAATCTAATCTTCCCTATCTATATTTTATTTCAGTGTAAGTATATTCTAAAAAAAAACTCAGAATATAAGGAAATACAAGTAAATAATCTATTTTTGATTCCTTTTCTAAGTCTCTAAAATTTTCAATCATTTCTCCTAGTATTTTGGCGTTTAATTAGTTTTCATAAGATGAAGGCTCATTTAAAAAAATATCAGTAACAACCTTAAATTTTTTAGGCCCAACACATTTATTTATTGCAACTTCAAGAAGTTGTGAAAATTCAGTGGGTTCAAGTGAAAAATTTTTATTTTTATCAAAAGTAGCATAAAAATCAACATAAAAATCATGAAAATCTCGTACAGAGATTATTTGAAAATAATATATCAACTCTCTTTAATAAAAAGATAATTTTACGTTCTTATTGGACTTAAATCTGAGTAATTTTTATTTAAAGGATTATATGAATTTAATGGAGCAAGGACTGATTATTTTTTTAAATATTATTCCATCCCATCATAATTCAAAAGCAAATAAATTAAAACACGAATACAAGACTCTTACCCTTTATTTAAGAATTAAATCTCTAAAAAATATGATTTTAATAATAACCTTCTTCTTGTTGTTGTTTGAAAAGAGTATTTGAAAATTTGGAAAAAAAAGTTTTCTGACCCATTAGATTTCGATTTGTATTTTATCTTGCTAAAGATCCCCTTGATAAATTACTATTTTATTTCTCAAAAATGCTTCTTTTAGACATTTTAACAAAACTCTAATATTTTTATAATTATTTGAGTTATTAAAAAATAGATCTTTTGAGATGTTAAAATTTTATGTTTAATCAATAAAAAATAAAGTTTCCTGTATATTAACCATTACATTATTATATAATTTTTGATCTAAAGTTACGTTGAGCCAACAAAGAAGAAAAAATCAATAAGAAAATTTTAAATCATTAAATTAACCTGAGATTTCGAAATGAAACTTTGTATATAAGATAAAATGTAAAATAATTATAGATAAATTTTAACTCCATAATTCAAAAAACTCATTCTATAATTCAAAATCTCTCTTAAAAATTTCAAAACTTAATTATAATTTTGATTTTACTTAAAGATGAGATTTATGCACAACATTTATTAACTTTATAATTAAATAAGTCTCTCTAACTGATTTGAGATTTAATAAAAAATATAATAAAAAAAGAACCAAGAATCAATGATACGCTGGTAGAATAAGAATGAAGTGTTTTTATTGAAATTTTTAAGAGATAAATTTCATTTTTTTTTGTTGTTGGATTTTTCTACTAAAAAGTCTTACACAGTCCTAACTTGAGTTTTCGATATTATTTTTTTAGGGCTTTGCTTTAATTCATTGATTTCATTATTTCTCTCTGATTAGATTTCGACTATCTAAACTGTTTTTTTTTTTTTAATCCTTCCTTCTTCATCTGATTTTATCTTAAGGTTAGACTTTTTAAAAGTAGGTTGAGACATCTATTATTAAATGAAGTTCATATCACCATTGCATTTCTCCTTTAATGAAGGACTTTGAGATTTATATTTTAGAAGTGGACTAAGCTCGGATGATAACATACCATTCATAAAATAAGATTATGAATTGTGTTATTAGTATCTTTCTTCGATAGATGTTAATTTTTAATTTGGGTAAATAGCACGATAAGATTTGTTAGTACTAGGGTTTATTTATTGAGCCAACTAGTCTTAAGTTTTTTGCCATTATTCTTATTTCGAAAAGAAATATGGTGAATTATCAGATGTAGGTGGAGTACATTGATTTTTCTAATTCATTAAAGTTGGTTATTTTTGTTGAAAACCAAGTGTCTATATCGCCTGTTTGAATTGTTAATAAGAATTAAGTTATGGATTTTCCAGGTATCTAAAAATAATTAGAAAGGTTATTTACTATTGATCTCTTTGAGATAAGATATTCATAAATTTTGCAGCACTCATTATCAATAAAGAATTAGTTTAAATAATTTTTAAGGTTCGATAAATATGATGTTAAATACTTATTAATTCACTTTGTTTTTTAGAAAAAAGCTTTAAATTTATCAACCAAAACCTCTTCAGCAGCCTTTTCATCATATTCAGCCCATGTATCAGTTAAATCAGCATCTTAAAATACAGTTCCATTTGGAGTAATAACTGTCAAACCTTAAAAATTCCAAGTTTTTTGTTCAGCACCTCTGCAATCAAATAATGCAATTTAAATATCTTTGCCTGTAAATAAAAGAATATTTTAATACTTATTTCTTAAACATTGACTGTGTCTGGAGATTTCTCGAAAGATATATTTATCATTTTTGCAAATGTTTTACATTTCATTTAAAAGTTGCATTATCCTCTAAAATTAGCTACATCTACTTAATCATCACCTCTAAAATATATTTCATTTATTTATGTTTAGCAACTTGAACAAACGAAAGAAATGTGCCACCTTTTTTAAGATTATTAATATATAAATACTCATAATTTGTTCCTCCTGTTGAAATTGCCTCAACATTTTATTCTCACAAGAAAACAATAATTTATAATAAACCATTTATATTATAAATATTATTCTAAGTTTAAGTATTATCATTGTTTTCCATAAACACATAAATCAAGTTCTATTTTTGGTTATTTTTATGGAGTTTATTATAAGTTTTTCTCGTATTCAATTTCAAATTTATATTTACTTGGTGATTTACGATTTATGCTACTTCGACTAATATTCATTTAAGATATTGATCGTGAATATCCAGCCGAATTTAATGATACTTTGAAATTATGAAAATCATTTATTTTCAATGTAAAAGCTCTCTAACATTTATTTAATTCGTGTTATATTTTATCTTCATTTGGTAATACCATTGAAGTATCAGGAGTGTGAGAACGAGAGTTAATATAAGGTTTGATTATAGTAATACTGTCCTATTAAATATTTTATTAATATTTTTTATTCATCCTTAATCTTGAATAACTACTTCTTACAGATTATTATTAATAAATAAAATTATCTTTAGCATCAGGCAATATTGAAGCATCACGGAGCTTTTTTAACAATAATATTTTATGGCCTTTATCAAACTTCATTAAAACAGATTTTTGAGAAAATTGATTGGCAATTTAATCTATCTTCTAAGATGGCTATTTTTAATGTTCCTTGTTTTTATTGTTTTTAATAGCTCCCATTAAAGATATATAAGGATTGTTAGAATGTCGAATCTTAGATGTATCATTTATTATTTAAGGTTACTTTTCTTCAGATTTCTAATCTTTAAAAATTCTTAATTCAGAAAGTTCATCCTTTCTTTCAGTTTCTTCATCTAATTTTATTTTCTTATTTATAATTTACTGTTATAATATTTTCATTCTCTAAATCACAACCTACTTTGAGTTGGATAAAAATTAAAGTAGAGTAGCTGAATGATATTCTTCTTATATTCTTATATATGTAATAAATGGTAAATAAAGAATAAAGGTTTCAGTTGTTGATTTTGCATCCATTTATCTACTTATTTATTTTAACAAACTTCTGTCATTTAGCCAATTTTAGTTATCAATAAATTCAAAATCTCCAAAACATTGACAATGACTTAAACAAATCAATCCATTTTCACTCTTTTTTTAATTGATTGTATATTATTTTTATAAAATGATCTCTCCAGACTTAATTATATATAAATTTTAGTCTTTATTTCCTTCCCTGAAAACATATTAATTTCTTTAGAACTTTTCTTCGTTTAAGTGATGCAATATTAATTATAGTGTAAATTCACTCCAATCTCTAAAGATACTTAAATTTCTAATAAATTTGTATTAATCAGTTAATATTTTGTCAACTGTGGTCTAAATATAATTAGAGTAAGTCTCATAATTTGCACTAATTAATATTACTTCGCTTTTGCATACGACAGTTAGAGTTCTTGGTATTCTATGTTGAAGACTTATTTCTCCAAAATGATCTCCTACATTCAATTCTTTATTTGCAGTATGGTTATCTCTTATCAAAAATTTAAATACTTATATCTCTAAAATCATAAGGAAAGCTCAAAAGGCGACCAGACAAAACAAAATACATTTTTCTCCCAATATCTCCTTTATAAAAAATAACCTAATTATTTTAAAAGTATTCAATTTAAAGATGAGATATTAGTTCATAAAATTTTGATTATTGTTTTTGTTAGTTCTTTATCAAATGAAAAAGGGGGAATATCTTTAACAAATACTTCTCCAAATAACTTAAATCTTCTTTTGTTTATTTTTCAAAAGCCTTTAGCATATTCATTACTGTAACAGAATGATCCCCCTGTGCAATGACTTATGATATGTTCTTTAAATGCTAAATTTTTTGGACTACTTTTTTCATATGTATAATTTAATTATAAATTATTGATATATTCTCATCTTTTATTAATCATATATTTAAAAAATAAATCCTACATTTATCATTTCTCTCTTCCTAAGAGTTTGCTTATTTATTATTAAACCTGCATTTTCTTTTTCATAAGTTCTTAAATTTCTTCAGAAAATAATGTATAATAAGTTTGTTAAACTGAGACATCATCAATATCCAAAGTTGAGTTTTCCCAATCTTTAACACCAGATACAATTTTAATTTCTTGTTTATAAGCTCCTCTTCTTCTATTCTATCTCTAATAAAAGTAAATTGGCAATAGTATTATTCCAAATATCCCAAAAGCAATAGCAAAACCATCCACTCCTAAACGTCCTTTTTTTGCCATCAACCAAAAGTAGTCTAACTTTATATTTTAAAATTAGTACTATTGGCAGCTTATTCTTGATTTTTTAAATTTGTCTTTACTCCTTATTAAATAATATCAGTCCATTCCTACCCTATGTTAACAGCTCCTTTGATTCCTTAATACTCTGTAAGCATCTATTAAATAGTTTTTGGCATAGGTCCTTCCTTACTATATACAGAATCAACCACTGTTTCATCTTATATTTTTTATAAGTAATCGTTTTAGATTTATGATAGCTTAGGGGGTTTTCTATTTCTTCTCTCCTCTAATAAAATCTCTAATTTACTCTTAGTTTAATCAGGACTAACTAAAATATAATTATTGTTCAAATTTACTTTCATCTTTTAAAGTTTGCTGCTCTTAAAGTCCCCATTTCTGTTTTAATTTTTCATACAGTTCAGCAGGATCGTCTGATGATAATTTTATAGTTTGTTAAGATTCTTCATTTTATATTATATTTTTCTCATTCTTTATTGATTATTACTCTTCCCTTTTTTGTTGTTCATTATTTAAAAGTTAATCAAACTTTTTTTCATCTTTAATCTTTTATAATTCGGCAAGTGTTAAGTTAGATAAATCTTAATCTTATTTATTTTGTGACATTGTTTTAATATTTTAATACCATAAATAAAAAAGAATAAACAATAAAATTGTCGAATATCTTTATCTTCAATAATATAATAAAATTATCAGTAAATGGCACTGTTATGTTTTTATAACTAAGATAATGGCTTAATCTCTTCCTTGACTTCTTTTCTTCCATCTGGATGAATTATTGTTGTTTTAACTCTTTAAATAGGTTATCCATTCCTAGATTAATCATTTTTTTAACTTACATTGTAGTTGTAGTAGATTATATTGTCTTATGAGTTTACCCTTTAATCAAATTCGTACTTTAATTTGAACCATTTTAATATATAGGCTTGAAAAAATCATCATCAAAGTCATTATGATAAGAATTCGCTTTCATTAAACTTGTTTTTTATTGTTAATTATTTCCAAAAAAGTCTTAATTAAAAAATGGATCATTTTTGAAAAAATTCTAGAAAACTTGAAATGGATCAAAGTTATCTCCGAAAAAGAATTTATTTAAATCTGGCATTCTATTAAATTAAGGGAACCCAAAAGTTTATTCTGAATATTTATTATATTGCGATCTATTGTTGAAGTTATTGAAGTCATTTTAGAATCCTGAAGAAAACTCTTAAAAATCATTAAAATCTTGTTAATATGAATTTCCATAATTATTAGACTGTTAATAATTTGGAGTTGGAGGTGGTTATTGATGTCCATATTTATCATAATGAGATTTCTTTTCAGGCTTTGAAAGAACCTCATAAGCTTCGGCTATCTCTTTAAACTTTTTTGTTGCAATCTCCTTATTGTCTGGATTTTTATCCTTACAAAATTGATGACATATATACTGGATGCCATTTAAGTGCTAGTTTTCGATATGCCTTCTTGATTTCTGCTTCGGTTGCACTTCTAGATAATTCTAATACTTTGTAGTAATCCATTTATTTATTATATATATAATTTCATTGTATTATTCAACTGTTAAATTAAGAATGAGTTTTTATCTTTAAGTTTTATTCATGATCCTTTAATTTTTACTAATACTAATTTTTTAAATGATTTGGCACAATCTATTCAACTCCATTACGGGATTCTCCAGTCAAAATATTAAATCCAGCATTCCCTTTTTGATCTAGATTTTATGCTCTTACATATTGGCGAACCTTTGCTTAATCATCTTACTCCTTTAATGTATTTCCCTATTAAGTCTTGTCATATTACAAAGTTATAGGATTATAAGCTAATCTAATAATATTATTTTTTTTGAATTTATACCCATTTTAATTTCTCTTTCCTTAAGTTAAAGCTTGAGTATGGTTTATGAGTTTCTATTAATCTTTTTGTTCTTATTTCTCTTAGTATTCCCATTTTTTAGTTTCTCTCTCCAATCCTTCCATTCTTCTTTTGTCAATTACTTATTCTTTTTACTAAAGTTACAACTCTCTCTATTTTTTATCAGCTATTGCAAAGTCTTTATCAAATCTCTCGTTTTCTTCTAATATTTATGATATATACCTGGAACATATAGCGATGATTGAGGTGGTGCTTAATGTATCAAGGTTCCAACTCCTAATCCTCTTGCTTCATAACCAACTACAATATCGATTATTAATTTCACCTCTTTAATCAATTCTTGTCTTTTCAATTAAATCTTTATCCTTTTATGCTTCCTATTATAATATAATCTCACATTTTACCCTTTATTCCCTTGTTCTTGGTTGTATATTAATCATAAATTTTAAAATAAATTATTGAAACTTAATTATATCGTAGAAAATTAATTAGATTTGACTTAGTTTCTTCAAGAATCTATTTACATTTTCACAACAATTCTCTCTTTTAATTTAACATTTTTTCTATGATCCAAGTTTGCTTTCACATCATTAATATTTTCTTCTTTAGCCATCAAAACATTACCAAATTTCTTTGTATCTCATTACACATTTAAGAGAATTAATAAATAAGTTCATACTAACTTAAACTTTGTTTTCAAATTTTTAAATTGAATGATATTCATATTAAACAAAATTTTATTTTATTTTCTTATCTCAATAATCAATAAAATCTCTAAGGGGTATCATAGATTCTACTTTGCACAATCTTGCTTTGTGTCACTATTTCCTATTCTAAAGCTCTTTCCCTTTCTCTTTCTAATTAAGCTTCTAATTCCAATATTTCCAATCTTTCCCTACTTCTTTATCTCTCATATCCAATCTCTCTTTCTAATTATCTGCTTCTTTATAATGCTTTTCTCTCATTTTCTAATAAATCTATTCTATTTTATGACACTCTCAATTATTCTAATCTTTCTCTACTTTATCTTAGTTCATCTAACGCTCTTTATTATTCTCTGCTCTATCTTAAAGCCTCAATTTGTTCCAATCTTTCTCTACTCTTCTTCAATTCATTTAGTCTCTCCTAACTTCTTCTCAATTCTAAATCTTCTCTATTTCTCTTTAATGCATCTAACCTTTCTTAGCTTGTTCTCAATTCTTCTATTCTACTCCTTTACTTTTACAATTCTTCAATTCTACTTCTTGATTTTCTAAGCTCCTCCAATTATTCATTGCTTTTTCTTTCCTACTCTAATTATTCAAGTCTTTCTCTATTTCTTCTTAAATCATCCAGCCTTTCTCTACTTCTTTTTAATTCTTCAATCTATGCTTATCTATCTCTACTCTTTTTCAAATCTTCTAATTATTCTATTCTTTATCTGCTTCTTTATAATTCCTCTAATTAATTTAACCTCTCTCTGCTTCTTCTCAAATCATCCAATCTTTCTCTACTTTTTTTTAAATCTTCAAGCCTCTCTCTACTTCTTTATAAATCTTGATATTGTTCTAATCTCTCTCTGCTTCTTCTTAAATCATCAACTCTCTCTCTGCTTCTTTATAAATCATCTAAAACTTCTCTCTCTTTTTCCAGTTGGGTTATTCTTTCTCTACTTCTTCTTAATTCATGCACAATTTGCCTTTCTTTTTAAAAATAGTCAGGAACTAAAGTAATAGCCTCAAGCAATTCTGAATAAGTGATTCTACCATCTTCATCAGAATCTACAACTCTAAAGAAAGCTTATAATTCATCAAAAGTTAATTTAGCACCATTAGCCCTTAAAAAAGATTGCAAGCTATTAATATATATTCATAAGATACCTATCGATCGTAATATATCCAATATAAAGTTAATCTATGCACCTAAAAGCATCTAAAGATGTGAAATCTACACTATTAGTCAAAATTTCTGATGCGGCTATGATTGAACTAATGAAAAAATTATTATTTTTTTTATACTTACTTGAAATTTTATACCTCTTATTAAAGCACTCGTGAAAGTCCCCATTCAACTTCTGTTGGTAGAAGCATATTTACTTCAATGTAGTAGCTATCTCTTAATGAAGCAATCTGTCTCAATCTAGAGTCTTCCTTTGGTAAAATGGCTTTAACAAAACTATTTTTTATTCAATAAAAATTACTCTGGGTATGTAATTTTGCTGTCATGATTCAAATCCAATCTTCTAAATAAATATTCAATTTGAGATTATGTTGGGAAGATCTTATTGTCTGCCAAAAAGTCTGTGATATCTGCTACAGTTAACTCACCTGATCTTAATTAATCTAATCTTCTAAAAGCTGTGTATGGTTCGAACATTTTTTACTCAGCTAATATTTATCTGGCTATTTCAGTCTTTTTTTCTCCTTCAGCAATTGTAATAATTAGATTTGCTAATCTTCCTTAAGTTCTTAATGAAAGGTACATTTTATCAAATAAATTTTATTGCTAAAAAAATAAATTTAATATTTTAAAGCTAATTTGTCTTTGGTTTTTCTAGAGCATTTTAAAAATTTTTTTATGCTATTTTTCATCTGATTATCTGAATATAATTTAGTTATTTTCGTCAACAACAAGGGATTTTAATATCATAAGTGCGCTTGAAAATTATATAAGTGATTTATCTATTCAGTATAAAATATAAAGCAGGTTAATGAAGAATGAATTAATGAAATGGTAATAAATACTTACTGAAAATTAATTTTGCCAAATAAGTATATAATTCATAATTGAATTTTAATTAAATAATTACAATTAATGAAATCATCACAAAATTCATTATTCATACTTGAAGAATAACATATTTATGAAATTTAGAATTAATCACTATAAAGTTTTAGAAGCCTTAATAGAAAACCGGTGTACGTGATATAATTTAAAATCAATTAATAATCAGATCAAGTTGTATTAACAAAATTTATAATAGATGTAGGCTGGGAGGAAACAATCTTCAAAAACGAGAAATAAAAAAATACAAGCTTAAAATATTAAATTACTAGAAAAGAAGAGTTTAAAAAAGTACAAAAGTAGAGAAGAAATTCAATCTCTGGAGTTATGTATTAAAAATTCATACAGGAAAAGCAAAAAGAATTTTTGAAATTGCTATCATTCCACTTGGTAATTCTAATTATTCTTGTATTGATTTTTCAGGAAAATGAGCCAGTTTAAATTCAAGGGCTTTTCTGATTGATAATATTTTCATTTTAATTTTGAAAACAATCACTATTCCTTGTAAGCAAAGAAAGTAAAAAAGGCTTCTAAATTTCTAGAGATAAATATCAGGATTAAAAAAAATAATTTTTTTCTAGCTCAAGCAATTATTAATTTTAATTTAGTAGATTTGATAGATTATTAAGAAATTAAACACTCTAATTGTACAAATATAATAATAGTTTTAACAACTTCTTATCAATTTTAACTAAATTAATATAAACACCAATTATATAACTGTAAAATAAATTTATTAACTTAAACTCTAAGAATACTTAAGGAGTATTTACCATCGTACATTTCAGTTTCTTCTTAAATTAATTCTTCTAATAAATTCAAATTATCCCATCTTAAGTTAAGACTAAGTATATAATAATTAAATTAAAATGTAAATACATGAGGGGTGAAATCAA